TCTCCCCGGCTCTCCTGGACTGAACCCCTGGGGCCGATGGCCAGGAAAGGCAGTCCTCCTAGATGACCTTGCTATTTATTACCTATGTGACCTTGAGCCGGGTTGACTTCCTCTGAACTCTCATTTGTAAGTTAGGAGCAAAAACAGCACCTTAGAAGGAAAGGATTCGCGTCGTGACGTAACAAGCGGTGCTTGGCCCCATAGGGTCTAGCGAAGAGGGCAGAGGGCAGCCTCGGTCGCCCAGCGAGGGGCTGTTCCCAAGTCGGGGAGCCCAGTGCGCAGAGATGTGAGGGGGCTCCAGGTGCTCGCAAGGACAGGCGTCAGGAATCACAGACCGTGTTACTATAATTCTAAGAATTTTCCAGGACTCGGAACGGCTCGTGCTTGGTTATTTTACTCTCCCAGCTTGTTGCCTCTTAGTGACAAGACTCTTCAAATAGGAAGAGCCCCGTGAGCTCCTAACTAACTGGGGGTGGGGACAGGTTAGGAGCCAGTTCCACCTGAGGTGCTGGGCCAACCCTTAGGAGGCCAAGGTCACTGGGCCCAGCCCCCGGGTAGTGTGAGGTCACTGAGGAAGGCTCGGGCTGAGGGAGCTACCCCAGCCCCCCACACCCCCAGCCCCCCCCCCCGCCGTGGGTAGCGGGGTGGGGCCCTGGGCCCTCTCTCTGCATCCCCCCTTTCGCCCCGTCCTCCCCGCTTCCCCAGGAGGGGGGAACTGCTGAGCTCAGCTGTCAGCTCTCAGGGCTTGGGTTTTGCGGCCTGTGTCCCAAGGGGGGGGAGTGTAGCGACGGGGGGGGGGGGGGGGGGAGCCGAGCCACCATGGGACATGAACCCCCCTTGCTTCCCCTGCGGGGGGGGCAGCGATGGGGGTGGGGGGAAGCCAAGCCACCTCAGGTCCCTTGGGCCCGGTGCCCACTGCTTCCCCGGCAGGGGCGGGGTGGGGGGATAGTAAAATAACCCCCACATCACACCCGCTGCCGCTCAATTGTGAGCGGAGGAAGCTGGGGCCGCTGTGCCAGATCCTGCCTCTGAAAGGCCCGGGCCTCCCTCCGCGCGGCGCCTGCGGTGCCAAGTGCACAGAGCCGGGCTCTGTCCTGTCCGCAGGTTCCGGGAGCCCGGGCCTCCCCACCCGCGGCCGGAGGGACCGAGGCAGACATCGCCGGCCGGGGCTCGGGTGATGCGCCCCCGGGTGAGATTCCTGAGGTCCCGGCACCCAAGTGACTCCAGATGTGTGGCCCCCAAAACCACTGCTGAAATGCGCCGCCGGCCTGCAGGCCATAGTTTGCGATTTGAGTTTTTCAAAGATTACATTAAATTATAATCTGTCTTGATTACCGAGTCTTTTCACACCCCATTACGCTTGGCACTGGTGGCAAATACCTCACCTCGGGGTAGTCCTGGACCGGGTCCCCAGCTCCCGGGGTTCCGTGGTTTCCTTGCAAGACCCCAGGACCCGGTTTCCAGCCCTGACCCCGCCTCCCATGCCCCCAGAAAGAAACCTGGTTGTGAGTGGCTCCCCTCCCTGCCGCCCTGCTTTTTTTTTTTTTTTTAAAGATTTATGTATCCACGAGAGACCCAGAGAGAGGCAGAGGGAGAAGCAGGCTCCCTGCTTGGAGCCCGATGTAGGACTCAGGACTCTGGGACCCCGGGGTCACGCCCTGAGCCCAAGGAAGATGCTCAACCCCTGAGCCCCCCGCAGGTGCCCCCCTGCCGCTCTGCTCTGCGTTAACGTTAAGGGGAAGCAGGAAGCCATCTCCTTCCCCTAATCTGTCTGCGGGCTGGGCCGCTGCTGCTTGGAGGGCGGCCTACAGAAGTGACCTCACCCGGGTGGGGCCAGGAGAGGAGGCTGCCGGAGGGGAAGGTGATGCAGTTCTTAGAAAGTCAACACTGGGAAGAGATCATCTAGAGGACACGGGAGAGGCAGTGGCTCACGGAGCAGGAGTGTGGGGGCAGAGGTCCGTTGAGGGCCCCCCCACCCGCCCCGACATCAGGTCGGCTGTCTGGTCCCCTACCTGTGGAGTGTGGGTTTGAAGGCTGCACTGGGCGGGGGGTGGTGGGCAGTGAGCCCCAGGATAGCTGGGACACGCTCCCTGCCCCTGCCGGATGGCAAGCCCCAGGGCAGGGCCAGCCGGGTGTCCGGCCCGGGACACACGCAGGACAGATGTAGCAGGATTCCTTCCAGGGCGCCTTCCTGGCTCCGATGGTGGTTTTGTGGGAGGAAGCTTATCTGTCGATTTGGGGATGGAGAGCTTCCCAGGCAGGAGGTAGCGGGAGAAGCAGGAGAGCCTGTAGGCTTCGTGGCCCCGCGGAGCAGGAACTGAGGCCGACCTTCGAGAACTTACTGTGTGCCTGGGACTTAACCACCCCAAGCCTCAGCTCTCTCCTCTGGAAAGTGGGTGTCGACGTGCCTAGCTCGCTGCATCACCTGGTGAGGTCTGTGGCGGGTGCCTGGCCCAGCTAGCACATGGAAAGCACACCTGGAACCTGAATTCTCTGTCTTCTACCTCTGGTTACTCATTCAAGTCCCCTTCCAGGGACTCACACTCTCCCCCTCGTGCGGGTCGTTGCTTTGGGAATTAGTGACTCTCCCTGAACCCGCATCCTGTTTCCCAGCTCCCCGTAACTCGGGGTCACGTTGCTCACCCCTCTGTACCCTGAAAAGACCCCGGTGCTTAGGATGGGCCAGCCCGGGCCTGGCTGGCTCCCTCTGACCTCAGAGGACCCCTGCGCCAACATGCGCTGGGTCCCACATCCCAGGACGAGGGGCCCAGGGTGAATGCCTGACCGGACCCTAAAACTCTGGAGCCCCTCTTCTACATCCTCTCTCCCAGACTGCTCTTCTGTGAGCTCTCTCCCCCCCACCCCGCCCCCGACCCCCTCGTGCTCTTGGGGCTGGTTGTTGAAGGAGAGGCTGCCCCTCTCACTGATGGGCTCTGACGGGCAGGGCTGCTGCTCCCCCTCCCGGGTTCCCTCTGTCTCCAGGGATCCTGATTCGATTTCCTCCAATCACCAGCATTGCCATCTGCCTGGGGTAATTAAATGGTATTTGAATTGGATCCAGAAATCCTATCACAAGCAGCCCACATGGTAGGGAGGGTGTCTTCCGGAGTCGGTGCTCGCTGGCAGTGCTGGAAGCTCCCCAGCGCCGCCCGGGCCAGCCCCTTGGCTCACCTGGGAGCCGCTGGACTCCCCGGGCAGTACGTCTGCGGTCCTGGGCCCCACAGGCCTGGAGCTCCAGCCTCCTCCCTGGTGCCCCTGCCCCCCGGGTTGCAGCTGGAGGAGCCCTTCTTGCCCCCCGAGCCCGGCCTTCCTGCCGCAGCGGCCGCGCACACACTCCCCTTGCTGCCTGTGGCGGCCCGGGCGCCACCTCATGCCTCGTCCACACGCAGGGAGGGCACCACTCGCGCAGCCGCCGGCCGTGCCTAGCCCTCCCTGACATTTGCGAGTGCGACCTTGTGTCACTTGCCGTGCCGGTGGCCGAGGTAGGAGGACTGCGGCCCGCTTGCCGCGCCCCCTCTTGTTGGCGGGTCGAGGTTCTGGTCTCCAGGTCCGGGGAGGGTGAGCAAGGATCAGCGGCTCCCTTCTGGGTCAGAAACCAGCTGGGGGGGGGGGGTGGAGGGGACCCTGAGAAGCTGGGTTCTGATTTCGCCCTGAGCTGCACCGGCTGGGCGGGTGGCGGGCGGTGAGGGTGCTGCCCTTCCATTCCCGTCAGCCAGGCTGGGGAGAGCCGCTGCCCTGGAGGACCTGCTGACACCCGAGGGCAATCACTCCTGAAGGAACCCGGGCTACCCGGCATGTACGGCGTGGCCGTGGCCCACGAGGTTCGCCACCCCACACCCCGCCCAGCACCCCCGGGCTCGCTCTCTCACAGGCCACGTGCTCGGGAGCACCTCCGCCGGCCTGCAGCTCCGAGTGGGCCTTGGGGGCTGGGGCAGCCCCAGACAGGGACAGGATGGCGACTTGGTGGCCCTGGCTCCGTGGCTGGGTGCCCCTGGGCCCTGGATGCGTGCTGGCCGGGCCCCCTCGCTCTTTTCTTCTCTTGGTAAATGTTGGCTTTGGGGAAGGGAGCCCGACAAGCAGCTCATTGTGAGCGCCTGGCCCATAGGGCTGGCTTGCGGGAGCCCAGGAGCTTTAGCGCCAAACCCCCCCCCCCTTAGGCGGTTGGGAAGTGCTTTCCCGTCCCCACAGCGCATGCTCACCCTGCACACTTGGTTGCCATGGGGACCCCGCTGCCGCTGCTTAGAAGAGGGAGAAGGTGGCTGGATGGAGGTAGCCCTACTGTGGTTGCCCCCAGGCTGGCCCCCACTCAGCCCCGGTGCCACTTTTCTTCCCCTCGGAAGGGAGCCCAGCGGGATCTGGGCTGCAGTCCCCCCCCCTTCTAGAGGTGCCTGCCCTTCAGGCCTGGCAGGTCCGGGGAGGACCCGAGCTGCAGCATCTGAGGGAGGCTCCGCAGCGGGAGGATGCTGGGGGGGCAGGGGCCTGGGCCTCACCTCCCAGAAGGGGGCAAGCTGCCTTCTCTTCCCCATCTGGGGACACTGACCTCTAGGGCTCTCCGTGCAATCAGGAGCGTGCGCTTTGACAGCAGACCCGGGTCTGGCCCCGTCACATCCCACACTACAACCCCGAGCAAGTCACTGTGACTCTCTCGGCCTCCATTATCTCATCTGTAAAATTAGGCAAATAATACGTACCCACAGATTCACAGTGAAGAGGACCTGCATTCGTCCGCGTGAACTACTTTTGACTCAGAGCCGATGGGTGGGACGCTTGATGGATGCTGGCAACCGCTCGATAAACGTCTGCGGGAGTAGATATTAGGACTACGGTTGTCATTATTATTGTGTCGTTACAAAAGTTGCCTTGGTCCTCTGGGGAGGCTCCTGAGCTGCTTTCCTTGTCTTCCAGCTTCGGGGGGCGGGAGGGGGCAGGCAGTGGAAGCTTGGCCCCGCGGGGTCTGCAGCTGCCGTGGGTCTGACCCACAGCTGTCCCCTCCCGAGCAGGATTCGGCCCCAACTGTCAAAGGAGAAGATTGAGGGCTGTCACATCTGCACCTCTGTCACCCCCGGGGAGCCCCAGGTCCTTCTGGGGAAGGACAAGGCCTTCACCTATGACTTTGTCTTCGACCTGGACACCTGGCAGGAACAGATCTACTCGACCTGCGTGAGCAAGCTCATCGAGGGCTGCTTCGAGGGCTACAATGCCACGGTGCTGGCCTACGGGCAGGTAGGCCGCCCGCCTCCCCCCACGGCCCTGCAGCCTTGGTCTCCCCGTCTGGTGGGAGAGCGCGCCCGCCCCTTCGGAACACCTGAGGTGGAGCGTGCCGCTGCCACCACCACCGCCACCACCACCGCCACACTGCTGGTGACCCCAGGGAGGCTGTCCATCCCAGGGGCTTCTCCAGGGTGTGGCTTTGGGACAGGGAGGGGCGGGTGACCCAGTCTGGGAGGCAAATGGTAGGGGAATTGGGCCTGGCCCGGGGTCCAGGCCTTGCTGGTGCCCCCTGGAGGGTGCTAACAGCCGCCTTCCATCCCCGCCGATGCAGACAGGAGCCGGGAAGACATACACCATGGGCACCGGCTTCGACACGGCGACGTCAGAGGAGGAGCAGGGCATCATTCCCAGGGCCATCGCACACCTCTTTGGGGGCATTGCTGAGCGCAAGCGGCGGGCACAGGAGCAGGGTGTGGCTGGGCCTGAGTTCAAAGTCAGCGCGCAGTTCCTAGAGGTACTGGGACCTTGGGGGGGTGGGGGGTGGCAGGAGGTTGGGCTTGTCCCCGGACAGTGGAATGGGCCTAGGGGAGCCATGGCAGCGTCTGCAGCTGACGAGGGTCCTGCTGCTGGAATATCCAGGCGAGACTAGCAGACCCCTTGGTGGGACACTCTGGAGAGAAGGGCTGAGTCATCGAGGACCGTTAAGATCCTTCAAACCCTGACGGATTGTCAGCTCTGACACTCGTTAGCCGGGTGACCTCGGCCACGTCATGTCACCGCTGCACAAAGGCTGTGGTATCTGTTTCCTTTCGGGTTTCTGCAGCTGGCACGGAAGCATGTGCCTGGCACACAGTGAGAACTCTGGGTCTTGCCCATCCTCTGGCCTCTGCGGGGTGCTCCCCAGCCTCAGAGCAGCCTGTCCTATCCCTTTCTGGCCGACGTCCTTCCTGACCCTCTGACGTCAGCACAGGGAGTTCCTCCAGAAGGAGCCTTTTTTTTTCTTTTCCTTTTTTTTTGCAACTGGTCCTGCCTCTCTCTGGGAGCGTGTCTGCGTGCCAAGGCCAGGATTTTGGCATCTGGGGACTTTGGGGGGGGGGGTAGAGGAGGGACTCTTTGGCCTATCAAGACATCTCTCAGAAGGGTCTCTAAGAAAACAGGTGCATCTGGATACGTCTCACAATGCCTGACTTCCCAGGCTCCTCCTCTAGGACTCTTGAAGCAGGTGGCTTCAGTTCTCAGCATCTGAAAACCCATCCTGTAGGCCACCCCCTGTCCCGGCTCGGGGGCATTTGCCGGGTATGGGGCTGCCCTGGGCTCTGACTGGACCCAGGTTGTCCTCTGGAGGAGGATGTGGCTCCAGCCCTCTCTAGGTGTTCCATGGCCCACCCTGCCCACGGCACCACTATTACTCCCTCCTGGGCACTCAGAGTGGCTGCTTTCCCCTTCGGGGACCCTGTATTTTAGACTTGAGAGTTTTTCTTTGTCCTGCCTGGACTTTTGCTTCTGAAAAGTGACTGCCTCTGTGTATGTGTAGGAGTGTGTGGTGTGCGCGTCCAGCGCTGTGTATCTCTAGAAGCTTTTCCATCTCTTTGTTTTCTCCTTTTTTCTATCCTGCTGCCATGGGGATCCCCAAAGAGTAGGGCAGTTCCTAGAAAACTCATGCCAAAGGGTGAACCACAAGGAGTTAAATGATGCCACTATGCCTGTCCCGACAGGCAAGCAGACAGACAGACAGACAGACACCATGGCACCCACGTCTGTCTGCACCAGTCCCTTCCGTTTCCCCTTCCCCTTCCTGTGGAGTATTTCTGTCCCTTTAAGGCATCAAAGCCTCGGATGTCGGATGTCAGGGCTGCAGCCCGCCCCTCCCCCACAGGATCCTGCTGGCAATCGCTGGAGCTGCCCTCCCCCTCCCCCAGCACACTCCTCAGCCCCCCAGCACATGCCTGAGCTCCCAGCCCCCAAGCCCCCAGCCCCCCAGCACACTCCGCAGCCCCCCAGCACACGCCCGAGCTCCCAGCCCCCAGCATACTCCCTAGCGTCCCAGCCCCCCAGCACACACTCCAGCCCCAGCTCCCAGCCCCCCCAGCACACTCCCCAGCCCCCCAGCCCCCAGCCCCCCAGCACACTCCCCAGCCCCCCAGCACACACCCCAGCCCCCCAGCCTCAGGTCCCAGCCCCCCAGCACACTCCCCAGCCCCCCAGCCCCCAGCCCCCCAGCCTCAGGTCCCAGCCCCCCAGCACACTCCCCAGCCCCCCCAGCCCCCAGCATGCGCCCCAGCTCCCAGCCCCAAGCCCCCCAGGACACTCTCCAGCCTCCCAGACCCCCAGCCCCCCAGCACACATCCCAGCCCCCCAGCCCCAGGTCCAGCCCCCCAGCCCCAAGTCCCAGCCCCCCAGCACACTCCCCAGCCCCCCAGCCCCCAGCCCCCCAGCCTCAGGTCCCAGCCCCCCAGCACACTCCCCAGCCCCCCCAGCCCCCAGCATGCGCCCCAGCTCCCAGCCCCAAGCCCCCCAGGACACTCTCCAGCCTCCCAGACCCCCAGCCCCCAGCACACATCCCAGCCCCCCAGCCCCAGTCCCAGCCCCCCAGCACACTCCCCAGCCCCCCAGCCCCGCCCCCAGCCCCTGGCCCCCAGCCTGGGGAATATCCCAGCCCTTCAGCAGGTGAAGCTTTCCCTGCCCTGGATTCCAAGCACAGGAATCTCCAAGGCTGAAACCATGTGAAATAAAGTGGCTGCTCCCGGCCGGGCCACCTCCCCCAGTGGTCTCTCCAGCCCCTCCCCAGGATGCCAGGTCCCCGGGCAGGCACTCCTGGCCACTTTCCTCTTTCACTCCATCACCTCAACCCCTAGGGACCATGGGATCAAGTCACGGCCTCTACTGTCCCCTCCCTCATCTTTTCCCAGCTTAGGAACATTATAGCTTCTGCCCTAAGTATGGTCCTATCACCCTCATCGACATCTAGGACCTGAGTCCCTTTGTCCCCTTTCTGTCCTCAGTCCCCTGCCAAGATGAAAGCTGCTGAACGCAGGTTCCTTGGGGAGTAGGAGCACAACCTCACTATAGTTCTGCCCAGGACCCATCTGCCCCCCACTCCTGCTCAGGAGAGAGATCCTAGAATCCAGAACCCAGAGGGGACCAGGGTCGGCACATTCGCCTCCCGGCTCCTCAGTGTCCACATCTACAGAACAGAGCTGGTTTATAAACATGGGAAAGCCCCCCCCATCTCCTGGGGCCCCATGCCGTGTGCCACACGCACCCAGCAGCTGTTTCTGCCCGCCCCCCAGCTCTACAATGAGGAGATCCTTGACCTGTTCGATAGCACCCGTGACCCTGATGCCCGCCACCGTAGGTCCAACATCAAGATCCACGAGGATGGCAATGGTGGCATCTACACCACAGGTGTCACCTCCCGCCTCATCAATTCCCAGGAGGAGGTGAGCACCCACTGGAGGTCCGGGGCAGGCAGGGGTGGCTCGGTGGCCAGTCCGGTGTCCTCACCTGTGCCTCCCTCCCCAGCTGATCCAGTGCCTGAAGCAGGGGGCCCTGTCCCGCACCACGGCCAGCACCCAGATGAACGTGCAGAGCTCCCGCTCACACGCCATCTTCACCATCCATGTGTGCCAGATGCGCGTGTGCACCCAGCCCGAGCCAGTAAGGAGCTCACGGAGGCCCAGGAGCTAGTGCTTCTGGGGGGGCTTCTCAGGAGGGCAAGAGGAGGCAGGAGCCACGGATCTGAAGCTAGCAAATCTGGGTTTGGGGTTTGCCTCTGCCACTTGCTGATTTTTCTTTTTCTTTTTCTTAAGCCTCAGTTCCCCACCCGTACAATGGGGGTAACCTCTAGGTTGGGAGGGATGAACGGGAATCAGGCATGTGCAAGCGCGATGCGCACTGTCACGTGCTCTCACGTGCCAGGGGAGAGGCGCCCTGCAGCCTGCATCCCCCCGCACAGCATCGCTGAGGCACAAGGGCTGAGAGCAGAGGCGCAGCGAGGCGGGCCGGGGGCCTGGTGAGTCAGATGCCAACTTCTGCTGCAGGTGAATGAGGCGGTGACTGGGCTTCCTGAGGGCACCGCTCCCACCAGTGAGTATGAGACACTCACCGCCAAGTTTCACTTCGTGGACCTGGCTGGCTCCGAGCGGCTGAAGCGGACGGGGGCCACCGGCGAGCGGGCCAAGGAGGGCATCTCCATCAACTGCGGCCTGGTAGGCACACAGCGGGCCACCAGCCCCGGCAGCCAGCTCAGCTCAGTCTCAGACCCTTGCCAGACCCGACGGGCCCACGGCTGCCCGTCCTCCTTGGGCCTCTTGCTGGCTGCCGGCCGGGGCCCCCGTGTGTCACTGCTGTTAGGTCACTGGTCCTTTGCCCTCACCCTTGCCCCACCTTCCTGGCTTCACCAAATGATCACATCTGCATGTAAACCCGCTCAGGGAGCTTGAGGGCTGCTGGGTCATTGAGGCAGGAACCGTTGGCTCGGGGGCTGTCTTGTCCCGACTCCCTCTCTCCGCGAGCGCCACTCAAGTCCCGGGCTCTGTCTCCCACAGCTGGCCTTGGGCAACGTGATCAGCGCCTTGGGGGACCAGAGCAAGAAGGTGGTCCATGTGCCCTACAGGGACTCCAAGCTCACTCGGCTCCTCCAGGACTCGCTGGGGGGCAACAGGTACCCTAAGGCCGACATCCGGGGGTGGGACAGGGGAGGCAGGAACCTCCTGTAGGATCCTGCTGTGAGGGTTTGGTTCACGAGGGCCTTGTGGACGAGGAGGCCTTCCTGCTGCGGGCTGTGGGCTTGGGAGGCGGGAGCCTTGAGGCCGCGTGACCTCCGGCCCGTGTGATCAGACTCAGTTCCCTTGTCTGCACCACTGGGAGACGTAGAGGCCAAATGGGGTGCAGGGGGAGCCGCTCAGGAGATACAGAGCCGGGACATGTCTGTGGGTTACTGCTGTCGGGAGGCACCCTGGGGCCAGGGGGCCAGGGCCATGTCCTGGGGTACCCAGCTCCCCCGGGCATTAAGGCCGGAGAGGTATGGGGGGAGCAGCAGCCCCGCCCGGAGTGACGCCTGCAGGGGCTTGGCTGTGCCCCTCGAGAGGCTCACCCCCTGCCGCCCCCCCCGCCCCCAGCCAGACCATCATGATCGCCTGCGTGAGCCCCTCCGACCGGGACTTCATGGAGACGCTCAACACGCTCAAGTACGCCAACCGGGCCCGCAACATCAAGAACAAGGTGGTGGTGAACCAGGACAAGACGAGCCAGCAGATCAGCGCGCTGCGGGCCGAGATCGCGCGCCTGCAGATGGAGCTGATGGAGTACAAGGCGGTGAGCGCGTCCCCGGGGCGCTCCCCCTGCAGCTCCCTGGCCTCCCCCACCTCCCCACCCGCCCCGCGACTCGGGGTTCACCTGGGGGCATCGCCCTGCCGGCGCCCTGAGAGGAAGGAGGGGACGCGGGTGTTCTCCTGCACGAGCTCGTGCGCAGGACGGGTGCCCGGTGCTCCACCTGTTCCGCGTGTGCTGGATGTGCTACGCTGGGCCACACGAGACCCCTAGACTGTGGTGCAGAAGAAGAGTAGTTGGTGGGGCCAGCGTGGCGGGGGCAGGGCGGAGGACAGAGCTGCCGTATTCACTCGGGGCTCAGTCAGGGAGGGCCTCATGGAGGAGCGGGCCTTATATATGGAGCCTGAGAAATGAATGAGATACCGTCCAAAGCAAGCGGAGCAGGCATTCGGGGACGCAAACAAGCCGTGCACAGAGGAGCGGAGCTGGGGAACGGGGGTGCTTCTTGGGGAAGCGTCTAATTCCATACGACTAAGGCAAAGGGTGGTCGCTGCTAGGGGCCCCCGGTGTGAAGCTGGTGCACCAGTGGGATCGGGCTTGGCTTGCCCTTTGTTCTAAAAGAATGCAACTTAGCTGCCTCCCTTTCTGAAAGTCAGGGAATTTCTTTCCCGAAGAATTTCAAGATCTAACAACATTAGCACTAGGTTGGCCGGGGAGGGCAGAGCTGCTGACCCCTTTAGACAGAGTCTGGGACTCTGTTGGCTCCAGTCCCCACCACTCCCTGTTGTCTCGTACTGAGGCTCGTTTACTCATTTGTGCCGACCCCCTGGGCCCGCAGGGTTTTGGCCCTTGGGTTACACTCGTGGCAGTATGAAGGTGGGCGGTGGGAAGGTAGGGGAAGGTAGGGTTGGGGGAGGCTTGGAATGGCTGGCCATAGAACTTGGACTTCCGGGTTGTCAGGGAGAGCCCTGGGAGACAGGTGCCGTGTTCTAGAAGCCGTGGAGTCGGGGGGAGACCGGCGGTGCTGCTAGGTGCATCGTTAACCCCCCCCCACACCGTGAGCTCTGGCACCTGACTGCCCCCTCCCCGCCCCTCCTCCCAGGGCAAGAGGGTGATCGGGGAGGATGGTGCCGAGGGCTACAGCGACCTGTTCCGGGAGAATGCCATGCTGCAGAAGGAGAACGGGGCGCTGCGCCTGCGGGTGAAGGCCATGCAGGAGGCCATTGACGCCATCAACAACCGCGTCACTCATCTCATGAGCCAGGAAGCCAACCTGCTCCTGGCCAAGGCCGGTGAGTCGGGGTGCACCGGGCCAGCTCGGGACCCCCCCGCCTCCTCATACCCACCCTAGGATATTAGGCAAGCTGGGTGGGCCAGCCAGTTCACAGATCAATGCATTTATGAATTTTTTCCAATTGATTTTTTTTTAAGATTTATTTATTTTGGGGTGGGGCGTAACAGCAGAGGGAGAGGAAGAAAATCTGAAGCAGACTCCCCACTAAGCCTGAGGTCACGACCTGAGCCAGAATCAGGGGTCAGATGCTTAACTGACTGAGCCACCCAGGTGCCCCCCCAATTGATTTTAAACATTTTTTTTATGACCACAAGCAATAAATGATACATCCTCCTTGCTTAACGTGCGTGCATACCGTAAAGGTTAAAGTGCCCTCTCGCTAAACTCTCCGCTCCACGTCCTCCCTACTGAGAAGTAGCCCCGTGCACATTTTCCCACACCTTTGTCGGTTCCTTTGCTCCAAGTGTGAGTGTGTGAATGTGTGTTCGTATGTACGTACGCACACAGGTGTGTGAGTACATGCCGCCCTTTGTTTCTCTGCATATGAGATGATGTGTATTGTCCTATGACTTCCCCCTGTCACTTGGCATTATGCCTTGGAGGTCCTTGCATCATGAAAACGTAGAAATCTACTCCATTCTTGCAAACTGCAGAGGGTTCCCCCGGTGACGACGGTGAACACCGCTCGCAGCCCTCTCTGGCTGGGCTTCGTTGTCTCCGATATCCTGCCGTCACCGCCAGTGCTTACGTATACCTGTCACATGGACGAGTGTTTGCTTGATGTAGATTCCTTTCAGGGAAAGGCCCATGTGTACTCCCCTCTTTTTTTTATCAGAATAATTTATTTGGGGGATCCCTCAGTGGCTCAGCGGTTTGGCGCCTGCCTTTGGCTCAGGGCACGATCCTGCAGTCCCGTGATCAAGTCCCATATCGGGTTCCCTGCATGGAGCCTGCTTCTCCCTCTGCCTGTGTCTCTGTCTCTCTCTCTCTCTATGTCTATCATGAATAAATAAAACCTTTAAAAAAATAAAATAAAATAAAATAAAATAATTTATTTGGGATAGCCCGGGGGGCTCAGTGGGTTAGCACCGCCTCCGGCCCAGGGCCTGATCCTGGAGACCCGGGATCGAGTCCCACATCAGGCTCCCTGTATGGAGCCTGCTTCTCCCTCTGCCTGTGTCTCTGTCTCTCTCTCTCTCTATGTCTATCATGAATAAATAAAACCTTTAAAAAAATAAAATAAAATAAAATAAAATAATTTATTTGGGATAGCCCGGGGGGCTCAGTGGGTTAGCACCGCCTCCGGCCCAGGGCCTGATCCTGGAGACCCGGGATCGAGTCCCACATCAGGCTCCCTGTATGGAGCCTGCTTCTCCCTCTGCCTGTGTCTCTGTCTCTCTCTGTCTCTCATGAATAAATAAACAAATAAAATCTTTAAAAAAATAAAATAAAATAAAATCATTTATTTACTTATTTGAGAGAGAGAGAGGGGATGTGTACAAGACAGGGGAGGGAGGGGGAGAAGCAGGCTCCCCGCTGAGCAGGGAGCCAGGATGTGGGGCTCCATCCCAGGCCCTGAGGTCACCACCTGAGCCCAAGGCGGCGGCTTCCCGACTGAGCCCCCCAGGCGCCCCCCCTGTGCTCCCCTCTGGGAGGCCGTGGTACGAGACCACCAGTTCCGAGCCGCAGAGCTTAGCGTCCCTGAGCCTCCGTGTTGTCCTCTCCAGGTGATGGCAACGAAGCCATTGGCGCTCTGATCCAGAACTACATCCGGGAGATCGAGGAGCTGCGGTGAGTGAGCCCCCGGCTGGGCGCGTGCGGGGCCTGGGGGGCCGAGGGCCGCCCCCCCCAACACTGGCTCCCCCACGCAGGACGAAGCTCCTGGAGAGCGAGGCCATGAATGAGTCCCTGCGCCGCAGCCTGTCCCGGGCCTCGGCGCGGAGCCCCTACTCCCTGGGCGCGTCTCCGGCTGCCGCGGCCTTCGGGGGCAGCCCGGCCAGCTCCATGGAGGATGCCTCGGACGTGATCCGCCGGGCCAAGCAGGACCTGGAGCGGCTCAAGAAGAAGGAGGTCAGGCAGCGGAGAAAGAGGTGAGCGAGTGCGCCCAGGGCCAGGGCCGGGTGGGGGTCCCAGCAGCGCGCCGCCTCCCGCGCTGGGCGGCGCTGCCCGGGGCCACTTGGGGGCCACTTGGGAGCGCACCGAGCGCCTCCGCTCAGCCTCCTGGGCGGGAGCCAACCGCCTTCAAGGCTGCACCTTCCCCCAGGGAGGGACGGGCTGACCCAGGGCTCATGGGGATGGGCGTGGAGAGGACCAGAGGATTCTCTGCGCAGTCCCGGCCCCCTCCTCCGTCGGGCCCCACCGCCCCCTGCCTGGCGCTCGAGGCTGACCTGGCCTACCCTCCCCCCTGGGCAGCCCCGAGAAGGAGGCCTTCAAAAAGAGGGCGAAACTGCAACAGGAAAACAGTGAGGAGACGGACGAGAACGAGGCTGAGGAGGTGAGGACCGCGCCTGTGCCCTCCCCTTGGGGGCAGAGCAGGGGCAGAGCAGGGGCGCGGTTGGGTCTGCCTCCGGTTGAGTTGGTCCCTGGGCTCCCCATAGGGCCGACAGGGCGGGGGGTGGCCGCGGCGATCTCCCCTGTTTCCCACCTCATCCCGAATGGGCGAGGCTGGGGGGAGGCCGTCCCCGAGGGGCCCTGCCCAGGCTGTCGCGGCAGCAGGCGGCACTCTTTCGGGACTAGGGGTGGGTGCAAGGGGTGCCGACCGCGGTCTGCCCCAGTCCCCGCCCGCTTGACACCCTGAGGCCCGGTCCAGACGCCCTCCGCTTCTGGGCTCTCCCCCGAGGCCAGGCCCAGGCTGAGCGAGGAGGCCCCCTGGCCACCCCTAATGCTGCTTGGTGCCCAGGAGGAGGAGGAGCGAGACGAGAGTGGCTGTGAGGAGGAGGAGGGGCGTGAGGACGAAGACGAGGACTCGGGCAGTGAGGAGAGCCTGGTGGACTCGGACTCGGACCCTGACGAGAAGGGTGCGTGTGCCAGGCTGGGGCGGGGGGGCGGGGGGGTGACACGCCCAGCGGCAGGTGCTCGGGGCGGGCTTTCGTTTCGCACGAGGCTCAGAGAGACTGCGCAGACCCTCCAGGTAGAAGGCGCTGAGCCAGGTGCCCGCTGAGCAAGGGTGAATATGCATGTCCAGGGCCTGGAACTCCAGACCTGACCCCTGCGCTAATCACAGTAGCAGCGATAGGGGTGGGGGCGCTCGTTATCCGCTAGGCGCTGCTGAGCTGTCCTCCACACGGCCTGGGGCCTCCAGGTCTCCCCACGACCCTGTGCAGAGGTGCCCGGAGCTCCCCCAAGCTCAGGGAAGTCTAGGGACTTTCCCCAGTGTGGCCGATGCAGAGCCAGGCCTTGAATGCAGGTCTGGCTGGAGCCGACACCCACTCCTCCAAATGGGGACACCTGCCGTCAGGGTGGAGGGTCAGCTGTGCCCTGCTGCCATTGCTGCCCCGCCGCCCTCCTCACCTGGCCTGGGTCCCGAGCCATCTAGGACACGGAGACGTTGGCCTCTGTGGCTCTGGCGTGGCGGGGCTGCTGGGACGCCCAGACCCCCCCTTCCCCGCCTCGCATTTCTGTTGTGTCCCCCTGCCTGGCGGCCCTTACCTACCCTGGGATGTACCATTTCCCGCAGCCTCTGGTCACTGACCGGTCACGGCTCGCCGCAGGGAAGCCCCCAGCAGCTCCGCCCTGCCCTGAGCCCGTGGCCCTGGACTAAGCCTGTCTCTGTGCCCCCCACCCTCACCGCCACCCCCACTCCCAGAGGTGAACTTCCAGGCAGACCTGGCCGACCTGACGTGTGAGATCGAGATCAAGCAGAAGCTGATCGATGAGCTGGAGAACAGCCAGCGGCGGCTGCAGACTCTCAAGCACCAGTATGAGGAGAAGCTGATCCTGCTGCAGAACAAGATCCGAGACACGCAGCTGGAGCGCGACCGCGTGCTGCAGAACCTCAGTGAGCCCCCCCCCCCCCGCCCTCACCTTCCCCCGAGGCCCCTCCGCTCCTGCAGGCCCCGCCCAGCAGCTGGCACCTTTGGGACCTACCCCAGGCTTCTGGGCACGGGCTGGGGCCCTTTGACCCACTGTCAACGAGGCCTTGTGTCTTAAGTCTACTTCTACGCCAAATCTTCCATTTATTATTCACGTTATTTCATCAGAGCCCTTTATTTCCTTAGGCACATGGGCACCTCCCTCCCCTTTTTTTTTGTTTTTTTCCTGCATTCAGTCCCTTGAGCATTTTCCTTGAAACCCATTTACAACCCGACTTGTCACATTCTATCGTCTTCACACTGCTCTGAGCACACGCGTTCGAGGACCTATTCGATCCTTCGCTTACTCAGCAGACATTTGTTGACTCCATCTCGCAGAGCGGGCGTTATCGTAGGTGCTCGAGGAGGTGGGGGAGCAAATCCCTGCCTCCTTCTGGTGGGGAGAGATGCACATAAGTAAGATACGTAAGCAGAATCTGTACCGTGCCCAATGGAGATAAGTAGCATGAAAAAAAAAAAAAGCAGAACAGGGAAGGAGGACAGGGTGTGGCGGGGAGAGGATTGGGAATTTATTTATTTATTTATTTATTTATTTATTTATTTATTTAAAGATTTGATTTGTTTATTCATGAGAGACACAGAGAGAGAGAGAGAGAGAGAGAGAGAGAGGCAGAGACACAGGCAGGGGGAGAGGCAGGCTCCATTGTAGGGAGCCCGATGTGGGACTCGATCCCGGGACCCCGGGATCACACCCTGGGCTGAAGGTGGCACTAAACCGCTGGGCCACCCGGGCTGCCCTCAGTCTGTATTAGGAGCAGTAGTGTATATTTGTAAGATAGCTAGGTCGCCCGAGGATTGGAGTTTTATAAAGGGTGGTCGTGGAGGACGTCGTGGAGACATGTGAGACGTGAGCAGGCCCGGGGGAGGTGACAGAGGGCGCGCATGGGGTGAGCACGGGCTGAGCCTCCAGGCAGAGAACAGAAGGTGCCGAGAGCCAGCGCCGGGAGCACCGTGCCTGGCATGTTGGTGGGATGATAAGGGGCGGACGGTCAGAACATAGTGAAAGGGGACAGTGGCAGGAGCCAGGATGACAGAAGGAAGAACTACGGGACCAGGTCATGCCCGTCCTTATGATGACGTGGCTTTATTCTCTGAGGGAGATGGGCAAGTGTGGAGTTTTGAGGGAGGAAGGTGATGTAGGTTTTGTTTTTTTTTTTTTTTTGAAGATTTTATTTATTTATTCATGAGAGACACACACAGAGAGAGGCAGAGACACAGGCAGAGGGAGAAGCAGGCTCCACGCAGGGAGCCCGATGTGGGACTCAATCTCGGGACCCCAGGATCATGCCCCGGGCTGAAGGCTGCGCTAAACCGCCGATCCATCCGGGCTGCCCAGGTGATGTAGGTTTTAAAAGCACATGGGGAGAATTGGGGGCTGCTGGGGGAACGAAAGTGGTGGCTTGAGGCCGGTTAGGAACCTGTCAGTAGAGATCCTGGTGAATCATTAGGGAAAAGAATTTAAGAGAAAAGAACAGGGCAACCCGGGTGGCCCAGTGGTTTGGCACCGCCTTCGGCCCGGGGTGTGATCCAGGGGTCTGGGGATCGAGTCCCACGTCGGGCTTCCTGCAGGGAGCCTGCTTCTCCCTCTGCCTGTGTCTCTGCCTCTCTCTCTCTCTCAGTCTGTCATGAATAAATGAATAAAATCTTTTTAAAAAAAAAAAAGGAAAGAAAAGAACAGATCCTAGTGAAAGAGGATAAGACTGGAGGTGGTGGGGAGTTGTCCCCGTTCTGGACACATTTTGAAGGTAGAGACAAAAGTTTTTATCGGTGGGGTGGAGGATACAAGGGGAGCCGAGGATGTCTCTAGGCTTCAAGGTTCTGGAAGGGTGGTGGTGACGTCTGCGGAGATGGGGAAGCCTGCTGGGCTGAGGGCGACAGAGATTGGGAGTCTGGTTTTGTGCCTGTTAAGCCGGAGATGTCTGCTACGCGTCTCCGTGGAGACACCTGTTGGCATTTCGGGCAGCAAAGGTCAAGGACAGAGAACAGCGTATTGCTTCTGCTCTGGCGCACGTCACTGCCTTCTTACTAGCTCTTTCCTCCCCCCTGGCCTGGTCCTTTCCTCCTCCAGTCATGGGTCAGAACCGAGCCAGCAGGAGTGACCCACGGGACCCTCGTAGGAAGCTGGTGTCTGGGGGGCCCAGAGACCTTGAGATAAAAACACCCCGTCTAGGTCCACTAGGATGTCGGAGCAGGGAGCTCGGCATCTTCCACTCCGATCCCCTCATTGCATAATAAGAAACGGGCACGCAGAGGGCTGTGACGTGCCCCAAGGCCTGCAGTGACACTAGAAGCCAGGCGCCTGCTCCCCACCACCCACCCTCCGAGCCCGGAGCGTCTGGGGGCGCTCAGGGCTGACAGGCACCTGTTGCCGCCCGCAGGCACCATGGAGTGCTACACGGAGGAGAAGGCCAACAAGATCAAGGCGGATTACGAGAAGCGCTTGCGGGAGATGAATCGGGACCTGCAGAAGCTGCAGGCCGCGCAGAAGGAGCACGCGAGGCTGCTCAAAAACCAGTCCCGCTACGAGAGGGAGCTGAAGAAGTTGCAGGCCGAGGTGGCCGAGATGAAGAAGGCCAAGGTAGGGGCCGGGGGCGGCCCTGCGATGTCCTCTTAGAACCCACTCACCGTGTTAAAAAAATAATCATCGCGGCGAGTGTGGACGGTCTCCTTGACACACAGCCGCGTGGCGTGACTCAGCCTGTCCTGGGCCCGGACGTTGTGCTCTGAGCCGGGGCCTAGTCTGGGGGAAGCCAGCTGAGGAGCTCCAGGGCCGCTCTCACCCCCGCGCCCTGTGGTGGGACCCCGGGTAGCTATGGGGCCCGGTGGGGGGCAGCCTTTGCCTGGGCAGTGATACCCGCGGTTAGCACCGTAGGGATGCTCACTGCGCCGGGCTCTAGGCTGGTTGCCTAACGTGGTGAGCGTAGCCGGTCCTGTTCGTCTCCCTGCTTTGTGCATGGGAACATGAGGCATGCAAAGTTGGGCAGATGCCCCCCCCCGTCTAGGGGGACACCGCTCCTCCCCAGGAGCCTCTAACCCCTGGCCCCAGCCTGGCCCCAGCGGGTACCACGTCTCAGGTTCGCCCGCAGCTTCCAGCAGGCCGCGGTTCTCGGCTCAGGCTTGGGCGGCTGCGCTCGTTGCCAGGCCTTTGGGAAAACACGCATTCGGGACCCTGAAGACCCGGCAGCGGCAAGCCCTCCTCTTTGTACACTCATCCCTGCAGAGCCTGTGCTTGGAGAGAGGAGCCCTCCCCACCAGGCCTGACCCCCTTAGAGCCTCCCTCCCTCCCTCCCTCCCAGGCAGCGTCCTCAAGACTGTCCTCAGGGCAGCGCAAGCTGGTGACATTCCTGGTTGCGTCTGAGGCCCAGTGGCCGGGGAAGGACCGACCTCCCCGTGACTCATTTCCCTGTCACTTGGGAAGTGTCTGAGGCCCTGCTGCGTACGTTGCACTGTCGCGCTCTGGGCACCAGGACGTGGCCGGAGGGGCAGACGCAGGGCCCCGGGTGCGCGGCTGTCTGTCGGGTTGGGCGTCTCCGGCCACGTTGCTGGTGTTTCTGTGCACCTGCCACAGCTCTGCCCACCCCAGCTTCCGGGCTCTCCACGCTTCACCACTGGCTTTGCTCTGGGCCGGCCAGCTGGCATCTCGGGGGCTATAGTAAGAGCTAGATTTGGGGGCAAAATGACCTGGGCCAAATTCTGACCGTTCACCAACCAGCTTTGTGACTCTCAAGTCGTTTGTTTGTCTCCCGGAGGTTCCTTTCCTTGTTTATAAAACGAGAACGGCCGTGCCTCCCCGCCCATGACTGTCACAAGAGCGCTGCCTGGCGTAGAGCAGGTTCTCGATACGCGCTGGTGGCTTACACCGTTGTCCCGTGAGCCTGGCCCTGGAATGTGGCTTTGACCGTCCCCTCAGCCCTGCCTGGCGCTCAGCTGTCCGTGGCAGAGAGAAAAGTGCTCCACCCAGGCGGGGTAACCTGCCTCCCGCGACCCTGGGCTGGTCGTCGAATGGCCACACTCAGGACAGGACGGTGGTTCTGGGAAAGGGCCACCAGGGGCCGTGACGTGTGCGAGCGAGCGGCAGGGGTAAAGCTTGCCGAGTGGTCGCACCTGCTCAGCCGGGCCGGCAGCGAGGCCCCCCTTCCCCCTCCGGGTGCCCAGGTCAGCAAGAGGGTGCAGCTCAAGTCCCGCGCAGGAGTAGGGGCAGACCCTGAGCCCCACGCCAGTGCTGCTCCATCCTCCCAGCCAGGCCCTCCCCGGCGGTGTGGGCCCCGCCTCACCCCCAGCACCCCGCCCCTCCCAGGTGGCCCTGATGAAGCAGATGCGTGAGGAGCAGCAGCGACGGCGGCTGGTGGAGACCAAGAGGAACCGGGAGATTGCTCAGCTCAAGAAGGAGCAGCGGCGACAGGAGGTGAGGGGCAGCCCTGGCGGGCCCTGGCTCCCACGACCATAGCGGTGACAGTCACACTTGCAGCAGGGCCCGGAAGGGCACAACACGGCAGGCCTCCGGTCCACCCCCTCTAGTGTTGGGCCGGGGGGCCCTCGAGCCCCAGAGAGGCAGGACGTCGCCCAGGTCACAGGCAGCCAGAACCACACGTGGTGTGGACAAGAGGCTGAGGGCACGCCCTGCGCCCCGACCTCCGGGAAGGGGGGAGCCAGACTCAGGCTCCCATCTTATCAATAAGTTTTGGCTGCTCGAGCGAGAATCAGCCCCAAAGCCAGGCTCTCGCCTCCAGAGCCGGGCGGACCAGGCCGTGGGGCCTAAGCGTGGACCCCCACCCCCTTCTCTCACCCGCAGTTCCAGATCCGAGCCTTGGAGTCCCAGAAGCGGCAGCAGGAAATGGTCCTGAGGAGGAAGACCCAGGAGGTGATGAGACCCTGCGCCTGACCTGAGTTCCCCCGGGGCCGGGAGGGAGCAAGTCCCGCCGGTGGCTCTGGCTGTCCCTGCTCTCTGCACGCGGCGGCGCAGAGCATGCGTGAGGCCTGTTGCAGGGCCGAGGCCTGGGCAGGGCTGCAGGCTCAGGTCCCAGAGGCCTGAGATCTCAAATAAGAAGGTGGAAGTGTCTTGTGTTCGTTTCACATCAAACAGGGAGCCCCTGACTCTTGCCCAGGCCCAAGCTCGGGCCAGGACAGAGCAGCCCCTGTGCTTGCCCTATCTGGGACCCCCCAGCTGGGGCCCTTTCATGGGTTCCAGGCACCCTGCTCACTGGGTTCCTCTCCTTGGGCCTAGGTCTCAGCGCTGAGGCGCCTGGCCAAGCCCATGTCTGAGCGGGTGGCCGGGCGTGCGGGACGGAAGCCACCCATGCTGGACTCGGGGGCCGAGGTGTCGGCCAGCACCACCTCCTCTGAGGCCGAATCAGGGGCCCGCTCTGTCTCCAGCATCGTGCGCCAGTGGAACCGCAAAATCAACCACTTCCTGGGGGACCACCCTGCGCCTGCTGTCAACGGCACCCGTCCTGCCAGGTGAGGCCGGTGTGGGCAGAGGGCGTGGGGCCCTGGCGGCGGGACCGGGGAGAGGCGAGCGCAGGGCAAGTGTGGTCCTGTGAAGGGTCCCGTGGCCGTCAGCTCCGGGGTTGGGGAGGAGTGCGGGGGTGGAGGGTGCTCCTAACCAGGTGGGCAGGGGCGATGAGGGACACAGGGAGTGGGGACTGAAGAGAACACTTATCGTGATGAAAAACGTTAATAAAATGATTTTAAAAATGCGTTTCCCCCAAAAGAACGTGTTTTATTAACAGTGTTTAGTTACAAAATACATACGGAAAACCTGAAAGGAATGTTTACGAAGGGGAGTGCTCCCAACCAATTCCCTTTGCCTCTGTCTCCCAGAAAGAAGTTCCAGAAGAAGGGGGCGAGCCAGAGCTTCAGTAAGGCTGCAAGGCTCAAGTGGCAGTCCCTGGAGCGGAGGATCATTGACATCGTCATGCAGAGGATGACCATCGTCAACCTAGAGGCTGACATGGAGCGGCTCATCAAGGTGGGCCTGGCCGCCAGGAGCCCGGGGCTCCCGCCTGCGCCTCCGTCCCATGTCCGCTCGGCCGGTTCTCTGGCCCTCCTGCCTTCTCTGGCTCCTCAGACCGCCTCATCCCCTTTCCACCCGGCTCCTCGTGTCCGTTCTGGAATCCCGACCCGGCCCGAGGGGAGCGGTGGGCAGGGCTGGGCAGCCACCTGAGGCCTCTCCGTCACCCTCCCCTGCAGAAAAGGGAGGAGCTGTTCCTCCTGCAGGAGGCGCTGCGGAGGAAGCGGGAGCGGCTGCAGGCCGAGAGCCCGGAGGAGGAGAAGGGGCTGCAGGAGCTGGCGGAGGAGATCGAGGTGCTGGCGGCCAACATCGACTATATAAACGACAGCATCACCGACTGCCAGGCCACCATCGTGCAGCTGGAGGAGACCAAGGTGCCCAGCGGGCCTAGCCTGGGCGGAGGCAGGAGAGATGCGGGCCGGGGGCAGCCTCAGTGACAGGGTCTCTGCCTCTCCGTCCTAGGAGGAGCTGGACTCCACGGACACATCAGTGGTCATCAGCTCCTGCTCCCTGGCCGAAGCCCGCCTCCTGCTGGACAACTTCCTCAAGGCATCCATCGACAAGGTGGGCCAGCCGCTCACCTGGGGGGGGGGGGGCGGGGGGGGTGCAGTCCCAGGCTCACAGGCGCCTCCATCCTCTGCCACCCTGGGGTGGGTGCGAGGGTGATGTACAGGAGGGCCCCTCCCCCCCCGTAGTGTCTTGGGCACAGGATGTGGAGGCTGGTGATGAGGGTGCCTACAGTCCCAGGCTGGGGAGGGTAACCCCAGGCCTGGCTCCCTGCCCTCAGGGGCTACAAGTGGCACAGAAGGAGGCCCAGATCCGGCTGCTGGAGGGGCGGCTGAGGCAGACAGACATAGCGGGTTCCTCCCAGAACCACCTGCTCCTGGATGCCCTGCGAGAGAAGGCGGAGGCACACCCTGAGCTGCAGGCCCTCATCTACAACGTGCAGCAGGGTATGGCGCCTGTGGCCTACGCCTTGGAGCTCCTGGCTCCTCCCAGGCTCCCCAGCTCCCACCCTAGGGGGACCCTCACCTCCCCAGGACCCCCTCAGAGCCCCCGTCCGGTCCCCGTGGGTGAGATGTGGGAGGGAGGCCGTCCCCTCTCCCTTCGCTCTGTTGGACCCTCTCAACCCTCCTCCCTCCCGCCTCCCACAGAGAATGGCTATGCCAGCACCGATGAGGAGATCTCCGAGTTCTCCGAGGGGAGGTGAGTGTCCAAGTCGAGAGCGAGAGGTCGGCTTACAGCATGCACCTGGGGCCGGGGCCAGGGAGGGGCATGGGGTTCCAGAGCTAAGCCTAGGTCTGGGGGCTCTGTGGAACCCACGAGTGTAAGGCTCGGGGAGCCAGGGCCCAGGCTCTCAGCATCCTGAACTCCCTCTGCTTCTTCCTTAGCTTCTCCCAGTCCTTCACCATGAAAGGTTCCACCAGCCACGACGACTTCAAGCTCAAGGTGAGCACCACGGGAAGGCAGACCGCAGGGGGGCCAGACTCCCCATAGGCTGGTGTCCGCCGTCCTGGGCCTCTGCCCTCCCCGCCCTCCCCACTCCCCAGCCCCGACCCAGTATCTCCTCCAGCTAGGATGGAGCTGCCCTGGTTGGAATTGGGAGGTGCCCACATGTCTATCCAGTCATCGCCCATTGTTCTTGAGGTGGGGGGAAGGTGGGAGAAATGGCTGGAGTCACTGCCTGGTGATGGGACCAGAGCCAGAGGCCCTGCTTTCAGAAATCTCCCCGTCCCCCACCTAAGACTTTGCCCCACGTGCTGAGTCCACGAGTAAGTCCAGGCCTCGAGCCATACAGATTATGGACTCAACAGTGTGGGAATCAGCAGTGGGGTAGTTCACCCCCCAGGTGATGGGTTAGTCGTCTGAACCAAGATCAGGATTTATGAAACAGGGAAGTGGTGGGGGGGGGCGGGCTGCATGCTGGGAACAGCGGGCTGTGCATAGTTTTTGGACAAACCGACCGGTGGTGACCAGCAAAAAGGTCAATCTGGGCATTCTGTGTTTGCAGAGTCTGGATAAGGGTAGTAAAACCCTCTTAGCTGCTTTGGCTTCTCCAGAAGCCCTGAGAGACGCCTCTGGGTGCTCTCCGCCTGGGTCTTCCGTCGGTGGCTCTACCGTAGGCCAAGAGGCATCACTTCCTTCGTTACAGTTCCCCTGGCTTCCCCTTTATGTCCGGGCGGGTTGGTTCACCCCAGTCCTTCCATTCCCAGGGTGAGCCCAAGCTGTCTGCCCAAATGAAGGCCGTGTCGGCCGAGTGCCTGGGTCCCCCGCTGGATATCTCCACCAAGAACATCACCAAGTCCCTGGCCTCCCTCGTTGAGATCAAAGAAGACGGAGTGGGCTTCTCCGTCCGAGACCCCTACTACCGGGACAAGGTCTCGCGAACCATCAGCCTGCCCACGAGGGGCAGTACCTTGTAAGGAGGAGGGAGCCAGGTGTGGGGGAGGGCGGGCAGGGCCTTAGGTCTGGGCCTCACTGGAGCCTTCTGTTCTAGCCCCCGGCAGTCTCGAGGCACGGAGACATCCCCTCTGACCCGAAGGAAGTCGTATGACCGAGGGCAGCCCATTAGGTGAGAGAGAGCACGTTTCAGAGTTTCGGCGACTCGTTTCGTCCTGGGGTGCAGGGATCGCTGGGACGCTCTACCCTGTAGGTCATCGTGCGTACTGTAATCTGGGCCAGTCTCACTAGGGTCATTCCGCTTCCCCCGCAGTGGCCCCTTCCCCATCCTGTCAGGTGTGGGCTCGGGAGCAGTCTCCGTAAGCATCTTGAACTGGACGGCCCAGCCCGCTGCCGGACGCCCTTGGCTGACGGGGGCTCAACGCTGGTGGCTTTGTAGTGGCTTAAACTAGTCCTCGTACCGATGTGCTTCAGCTCCTCTTTGTGACCGTGGCTCCTTGGGAGGCCTCGGCCCTTTCTAAGTTCTTGCCGTGTAAGAGGAGTGTAGATGTTTAAAGAAATACCGGGAGATGGTTGCGGAATGGCGGACAAAGCTCTACGTGGTCAGCCGCCCGTAGGATGGGGGCCTGCAGAGCGCCTACACATCACCGATGCCTCCAGGGTCATCAGGTCTGTAGACTTAATTTTCAGAGAGGTTCGATGGCTTTCTCCAGGCCACACAACTAAGTAGTAGAAGAGCCGGGGCTCGGGATGACCTCTTGCATCCCGACCTGGTAGGAGACAGGGGGACTTGCTCGAGCTCCCAGCCCCAAAAGCCCAAAGCCTGGGCAGAGGCCCGGGCCAGTGGCCCATGGTGGGGGCCTTCGGTGGGGAGGCGTTGCATGGATGTCTGTATACTTGGGGCCTCACAGACCGTCTCTTCACCCGCCAACTGAGAGAACACACCTGAGCTGCAGTCTGAGGGACTTAGGTCGCGCTCATGAAGACTCATCAAAGGAAGGGGGCATTTAGGCCAAACCTACTGACAGCTTCCCAAAGAGAGGGGTGGTGCGCCCCTGGAGCGGGCCGGCGCCGTGCCGCCTCCGGCTCTTCCCTCGTGATGCGGCCAGTCCTCATGTTCGCGGTACCTGCCTTCTATCAGGTCGCTGTGAACACTGAGCGAGCAGATACGGACCACTGCTCCCGGGTTGGTACGGAGTTAGGTTCCTGGGGGCTCTTCACGAGCCCGTCAACACAGAACTGTCTTTTGTGCGTGTTTCTGTCTCGAGACTCCTCGGTTAATATGTACCGTGGACTCACGAACACTGGACTCCCAGCCAACAGCACGGTAGCTCACAGCTGAATGAGGCTTTTCTGACCCACGTATTTTCTCCATAAGATGCGTCGCAGCCTTCACGTGCTTACACGCCTGCCAGGCGGCCCTGCCGCGCTAGGCTTTGGGGGCGTTTTAGACAGCGAATCACCAGCGAAAAGCACAAAGATGCAAAAAACGTGGCCCTAAATAGACCACAGGAAGGCCGCTTGCTGACAGCTGGAGGGCAGGAAGGCAGAGGTTCGCCTCATTTGACCTCCGCTGGGAGATTGTGCATTTGGGGACTCGAATTTTCCGCTGTTCCGCTCAGTGTCTGGGAGTGACCCCCAAAGCCCTGTGAGAGTTAATTTGGGATTACTGATAGGCGGTCGCGAGCAGGTGAATGAATTCCCAGGTGTGGCATCCGGCTCCTCGTGGCTGCCCGGCCCTCCCCGCCCTGCAGGCCCTCCCACCCGGGTGGGAGCCTGCGGGCAGCGGGGGCGCTCCCTGACGGATGCTGCTCTGTCCCGCTCACCAGGTCCACGGACGGGTTCACGCCCCCCTCATCCCCTCCTACCCGGCCCCGCAACGACCGCAACGTCTTCTCTCGTCTCACCAGTAATCAGAGCCAGGGGTCAGCACTGGACAAGTAAGAGCCAGGGTGGGCCGGGGGGGGGTGGGTGCTGACGAGGTGGGCTGCTCCTGGGGCAGCCGGCACCCCGAACCACGCCGTCCAGCCTCTGAGGGACGAGGCTCTGGAGCGCCTCTGCCGGCATCTCTGCCTTTTCTGCTCTAACTGTGCACCCTTCCCCCCCCCCCAGCATGCTGGGACCTCAGGAGGCACGGGGATGGGGGCAGTCGGGGGGAGGTCCGTGCAGGTCAGGCCCCCCAGGGACTCCCCGGAACTGCGCCTTGAATCCTCCCCTGCTGCTTCCTTAGCTCCTGGACCCTTCCCTGAAGCCCCTTCCCTCAGCCGCTCCCTTCCTGCCTCACGCGCTCCGAGGCCCCCCTGTTGCCTTCACGCGGCAGGAAGCTCGCAGCCCACGATCACGGCCCCCGTGGGGCTGCTGTGCCCGCGGAGCGTCAGCGGGGCTTCCAGCAGCCCGCGCCTCCGGAAGGCGCCTCGCTGTGCACCCTGCTTTCGTATGTGGCTCGTGTGGGCTGCACGTCAGCCACGAGGACTGCCTTCCCCGTTTACAGAAGGAGGAAATGAGGCCTCAGGAGGCCCAAGGACATTCACCTAGAAAGGGGAGGCCCTGGGCCCTGAGCCCGGGCGCCCCTGACTGCTCCCTCCTGTGTCCCCCCAGTGGGACTCTGCGTCGGGACAGCGGGGATCCCATCCCGCACGTGCTCCTCCCTGGACCCACTCGGGCCCTCTCCCACTCTGCAGCCTCGGAGAGGGCTCCTCTCTTGGCTCCCCCAACGGCGTCTCTCTCTACCCTGGCAGGGGGGAGGCGTGCAGTGCTGTCATTTCGGGGGGCCCAGGCTAGAAGGTGCTCGTTGTTGCACCTGGTACCTGACAGCAGCCCTTCCCCCAAGCGAAACGTCTCTCGCTGGGTCAAATACTGCCCCTTCCTCAGACCCACCTTGGCTCAGTTCCCACCCGGGGAGGAGGGCGCCGCACCCGGAGCTCGCCACCCAGCGTGCCGCCCGCCCACCAGACCCTTGCAAAGCACAGGTCCCTTCCCCAGAAGCCTTGAGCTGGCGCTCTGGCCATTCCAGCCTCGTGGGCTTACGGACCTCGGTCCTATCCCGGGGCCGGGTCTGGGGGCCCGTGCGGGTACCTCCCAGGGGGCTTGCTGGGGACAGTGGGCTTTGCAAATAAGTAGATCCCGGGGAATCGCTGGAAGCAGCCAGCCCCCGCGGAAGGGTAGGCGCAGGGATGGCTTCCTTAGGCCTCAGGCACGTAGGGGCATTGCGGGGGACAGGCAGGGTGCCCCCAGCTTGTACGAGGGGGCGGCCGGGGGCTTGGAACCCGCCGCGGCCCACGACCTGAGACGTCTCTCCGGAGAGTGGGGCCGGCCCTCCCGCGTCTCCCGCGGCCCCCTCCTCGCCCCTGCCCTGTCGGCCGGGGGGAACCCGTGCGGCCCGCCCCCTCCTCTCCTGCTGCCCCCCAGTGCCCTGTCCCCCCCCCCGCCTCCTCCCGCTGCCCCTGAAGAGAATAACCCGCCCTCTGACCTCCCAGCTGCTGCTGCCTCTGCCTCCCTTCGTGTGTTTTCCTCTGTCCCCTAATCCAGCTAATTTTCTGCCCTCCCCAGGTCTGATGACAGCGACTCCTCTTTGTCGGAGGTCCTGAGGTACACACAGAATGTCTCCCGTCTTGGCCCCAGCTCCCACTCTCTGCTGTCCCCCCTGTGCCCCGCTGCACCGCCCCTCCCGCCTGCACACCTGTGTCCTCAGCATGCGGCCCCCCCTGCCTGCCTCCCCCCCCCATGGTTCCTCGCTCTCGGGGCGGCCGCGGGCCTCACGGCGGCCAGGCCCAGGCCCGGCTGGAGCTGGGGGCTTGGGGAGGGGCGCACAGCTGCTTGCCACAGGCGCTGTTCTCTTCTCCTTGTCACCTGGGCAGGGAGGGGGAGAGCATGGGAGCCTGGGGGGTGCCGGGGCTGGGACCCCGAGCCCTGCCGAGGGGTTGGGTGAGGGGCAGGGCCGTGGACCGCGGCGTGGGGGCCCGCGGGGCCCAGCTGGCAGGGTGGCGGGGGTCTGCGGCATCCGTGCCTTGCTCAGCTCGTGCGGGCGAGGGGCTTCTCGGCTCCTCTAGATGAGCCCGGGGTAGGCTGGGGCCTGCCGCCCGCCTCTCTCGGCTCGCGGACCCTTCCCAGCTGCTGGGATGACCAGAGGGCCATCTCCCCAGCCACAGCACAGCACCCCGTGACGAGGAACATGTCCTGGGACCCGGTGGGCCTGGGCTCCCGAGGGGCAGGTGGTCCGTGCTGGGCTCAGGCCCCCCCCAGCTCTCCCAGAGTGCCCACCGCTCCCCGCGCCTCCTGGCCCGGCCGGTGACGTTTTTGCAACCCTGCCTGGTGGGGAGCAAGGCACTGCCACCTCCGGAAGCTAACCACCCCCAGCCTCCCCCAGCGAGGAGGGTTACCTGGTGCTATGCTTGCCACGGCCGCCTGGGCTTTTCCCACAGACGCACAGCTGGGCCCAGAGCAGGGTCAGAGCAGGGAGCTGGGGCAGCTTGGGGGCAGTTCACGTGCATGTGACATCTAGCGGGGGCTGGCCCTGTCAGCCCTTGCAGGGGGCCTGGCTGAGTCCATGGGGCCGTGAGAAGCCCCGTGGGTGCCACGCGGGTCATTTCAGCAGACCACAGGCCACAGCGTCACTGTCGGGAACAGCATTGTCTCCGGCAAAGAACGAGGACACATTTTCAGACCTGCACATAGTCCGGCCAGGGCCCCTCACCCAGAAAAGATCGCTCCCCGGAACCTCCCCGAGGCCGGTGTAACAAACCCCCTGCTTGCTGAAGACAAGCCTCAGTCTCCCGCCCAGAGTGTCCGTGGGCGGCAGGGAGGTGCTTCCGCAGGTGTAGACGGCCTCATGTCTCCGGGGGCCCTAGACGTCCCTAACTCAGAGCTGAGCTTGGTGTGTGTGGGGGGTCCCGAAAGGGATTTGGGCCTTTGTAAACGAGTCACGGGTCTAACGGTACAGGTCCTAAAGGGGCCCGTGGGTGTGCACGTGTGGGTCCCCGCCTGCCCCGGAAGTCACCCACAGGCTTATATGGGCACCGAGGTGCTTGGAGGGGGCACCCGGCGTCCTCGCTCCCTGCAGGAGCCAGCGCGGCCCTCGGGCCCCCGCGCATTTCTGCCTCGGGCTCTGGGTCAGGCCGGCGTCGGGGGGCGAGTCCCCTCCAGCCCGCTGTGCCCAGCACGCGGCTTGCTCCCCAGGAGCGCTCGGGTGGTGACTGACAGGTTCTTGTCCAGACAGGCCCTCCCCGCCGGCGCAGACCCTTCCAGCCCTCAGACGTCACGGCATCTGGCCGGCTCTCTGGATTAGTCCCCGTCTGTCCCGTCCCCTCTTACCTGCCTCGGCCTGGCCTCGGTCTCCCGGCTGACAGGTGTGTCCTCTCTCCCTCTCTCCCGGGAAGGGGCATCATCACCCCCGTCGGAGGAGCCAAGGGTGCGAGGACGGCCCCGCTGCAGTGCGTCTCCATGGCCGAGGGCCACACCAAGCCCATCCTCTGCCTGGACGCCACGGATGAGCTGCTGTTCACGGGATCCAAAGGTGGGTGGAGCCCGCCTGGGGGGGTCAGGCTCTCCCACCCACCCCGCTGCCCTGGCGGAGCGGCTGCGGAGGGGAAAACACCAGCCCCGCGCCAGGATGTGGGGTGAGCGTGCTCGCCACCTTGTCTCGCGGCTCCTGCGTGGCTCCACGCTCCCCATCTTGGGCGCCCGCACGACGTCCCTTAGCTGCCCCTGTGGCTCATCCAGCGCTCCCTTGCCCACCTCCCTCGAAACCTCAGGGAGCTTCTCAGGTGCCCCAGCTTGTGTGCTCATCCCGGCACCCCGACGCCCCTGCCCCCCCACACCCCTGACCCCCCTGATGCCCCTGCCCCCCCACACCCCTGACCACCCCGACACCCCTGCCCCCCCACACCCCTGACCCCCGATGCCCCTGTCCCCCCACACCCTTGACCCCCAATGCCCCTGCCCCCCGACACCTCTGTTGCCCCGACATCCCTGCCCCCCTCATCCTTGACCCCCGACGCCCCTGCCCCCCCACACCCCTGACCCCCAATGCCCCTGCCCCCCGACGCCCCTGCCGCCCCGACATCCCTGCCCCTCTCACACTTGATCCCCGACGCCCCTGCCCCCCACACGCCCCTGCCCCCCACACCCTGACCCCCCACACCCTTGACCCCCAATGCCCCTGCCCCCGACACCTCTGTTGCCCCGACATCCCTGCCCCCCTCATCCTTGACCCCCGACGCCCCTGCCCTGCCCACACCCCTGACCCCCGATGCCCCTGCCCCCCGACGCCCCTGCTGCCCCAACATCCCTGCCCCCCCCACACCCTTGACTCCCGACGCCCCTGCTCCCCGATGCCCCTGCCACCCTGACACCCCTGACCCCCAATGCCCCTGCCCCCCGACGCCTCTGTCGCCCTGACATCCCTGCCCCCCTCATCCTTGACCCCCGACACCCCTGCCCCCCCACACCCCTGACCCCCGATGCCCCAACATCCCTGCCCCCCCACACCCTTGACTCCTGACGCCCCTGCTCCCCGATGCCCCTGCCACCCTGACACCCCTGACCCCTAACGCCCCTACACCCCCAATGATCCTACACTCCCACACTCCTGCCCCACAACACCCGTGTCCCCCTGACACCTGACGCCCCTGCCCCCTGATGCTCCTACCCCCCATGCTCCTGCCCCCCCACTCCCCTGCCCCTGATGCCCCTGTCCCCCCGACACCCCACCCTGCCCCCGACACTCCTACCCCTGATGCCCCTGCCCCCCTACACTCCTACCCCAACGCTCCTAGCCCACCAATGCTCCTACCCCCCAACGCTCCTACCCCCTGACACTCCTACCCCGCAGTGCTCCTACCCCCTCAATGCTTCTACCCGCAACACTCCTACCTCCTCAACACTCCTATGCCCTCAACGCTCCAACCCCCACAACTCTCCTACCCCCCAATGCTTCTACCCCCCAACACTCATAGCCCCTCAACGCTCCTACCCCCCAACACTCCTACCCCCAGTGCTCCTGCCCCCTCAACGCTCCTAGTCCCCCAACGCTCCAACCCCCACAGCTCTCCTACCCCCTCAACGCTCCTACCCCCCCAACACTCGTAGCCCCCCCAGCGCTCCTACCCTCCCACCCACTGCCCACTGCCCACCGCCGTCCACTCCAGCCCCTGTAGCCGAGAAACCCCTGTGATCTGGAGCAGGACTCCACAAAGTCATGATGACTTAATCTCAGCAACAGAATCAGGAACGTTTTACCCGCAGGAAGAACGGCTGTCCCGTAGACGTGCTGACGGAGACCGTTCTAGCTGTACTGGCCTGGCGGGGGGGGCCGAGTTGTGCATCTGGGCGGATCTATGATTCCAAGTCTTCCCCGAAGGATGTGCTGGCCGCGCGTCCACCGACTTTGCCAGCGATTAGCAGTTGTGGGCACAGACAGCAAAGGCTGAAGGTTCCGTGGTAGCCGGGGCACCTGTGTCTGTACCCCGTTTGCCTGAGAAGCCCCGGCTCTGGAGTCGTAACCGACTCCTCTCCTGGGTTTCTCTGCACGCACCGCCTGAGGACCCCCGAGCGCGTCTTTCCCTCCCTCGGACCTGGGGCTGCTCCCTCTAGATGCCCCCGGACCGTCTCTCCCGACCCCCGCAGCCCCCGCTAACCGGCATCTGCCCTCCCGTGGTTCCCTCCCTGTTCCCCGCAGACCGCAGCTGTAAGATGTGGAACTTGGTCACGGGCCAGGAGATCGCGGCCCTCAAGGGCCACCCCAACAACGTGGTGTCCATCAAGTACTGCAGCCACTCCGGGCTTGTGTTCTCCGTGTCGACCTCCTACATCAAGGTGTGGGACATCCGGGACTCGGCCAAGTGCATTCGGACCCTCACGTAGGTGCTCGCCGAGCTGGCTCGCAGGGGTGGGCTGGGCACCAGGTGACCTACTCAGGATTATCGCCCAGGCGGGTCACGTGGGCACAGAGGCCCTTATGGGATCCGACTGGACTCTGAGGGGCCAGGTGGGATCCCGGGGCTGGGGGGCGGCATCCAGGGCAGCATCCTGGGTCAGCCTGTGGCCTGCTTGGCCCCCTGCTTCATCTCAGCTCCCAGGCCCTGGCCCTGGCGCGTGCTGGTGTCCCCCTGTGAGTCCCAAAGGGGAGCCAGCGTGGGGCCGGTGTGTGGCCGCCCACTCCCATCCCGTCTGCCTAGATGGGCCCCCGAGCTGGTCCTCATCCCTGATCCTGACCGTGTGAGGCAGACAGACAACAGTGAGGCAAGGGCCCCGCAAAATGAAACGGTTTCCCGGCCGAAGCCGTGCTTCATCCTGATGTTTCCATCATGAGCTGTCATCTGTTAACTTGCTCCTCAAAAAGGAGTAAACACGGGGGATTTTCAGGGCAGTGAAGCTCCCCTGAGAGCGTAATGACCGTGTGTCACCAGCCGTTTGACAGGGCGATGTGGGAAACCGTCCCCTCGATTCTGCTGTGATGCTACAACTGCTCTAGAAGAGTAGTTTTTTTTTTTTTTCATTTTTAAAAAGCAAAAGAACAAATAAATAAAAAGCGAAAGAAAACCAAAGAAGCAGAGCAAACAGAAGGGAAATGACCACCTCTTTTCGCAGAGGTGGAAACGGGGCGGGAAGTCGCACACCCAGGTCGGGATCAGGGACGCCAGCGCTGGCCAAGGAGCGGGGCTCCCGCCTTCCTCTGTCCCCGGTCCGAGCCCACACTTGCAGGAGGGGCTTTGGGCCTCTCGGCAGTCAGGGAAGGCTTCCTGGAAGAACGGGGCTACCGGGCTGGCCTGAGCGAGGCCTGGTCGGTCCCCTGGCCGCGCGGACGGACGCGTCGCTCTCTGACCTCGCCTTCCTGGCTTGCGCAGGTCGTCGGGCCAGGTGAGCTCCGGGGACGCCTGTGCGGCCACGTCCACGCGCGCCATCACCAGCGCCCAGGGCGAGCACCAGATCAACCAGATCGCCCTGAGCCCTTCGGGCACCATGTTGTACGCCGCCTCGGGCAACGCCGTCCGCATCTGGGAGCTCAGCAGGTGCGGGGGACGCGGGAGGGCGTGACGGGGGGTGCCGGGGCTCGCCGCTCGGGGCCCCTTGACCTCGAGGCCCCCGGGGCAGCAGGCCGCTCCTGTCCAGGCCCTTGACCGTGCTCTGCGGGGAGGGACAGCGCCCTGGCCGGGCCAGCCCATCCGGGCACACGACCCCCAGCAACGCGCCCACCCCGGGCTCCCTCCGATCGGCGTCCCCCCACGGCCCGGCCTCTCCCCACGCAGGTTCCAGCCGGTGGGCAAGCTGACTGGCCACATCGGCCCCGTGATGTGCCTGACGGTCACCCAGACCGCCAGCCAGCACGACCTGGTGGTGACCGGCTCCAAGGACCACTACGTCAAGGTACCTCCCTCGGGGCCTGGGGCGGGGAGCGTTCTCTGCGTGTCTCCTGCCCTCCCCCCACCCACCCCCGGGCCTCGGGAGCCTTGGGGAGATGCACGCTGAGGGAGGCACCCCAAAGAGGGAGGAGTGCGTGCAGAAAGGACACTGCAGCCCTATTTTGGTAAATGGTGAAGAACTTAGTGACCTCAGCGTCGAAGGGCGGAGTAGCAGCCACAGAAATGAGGGAAAACCCACTGAACGGGTTGCCCCGTACCTACTACAACTGATGGAAGGCGAGCAAAACACAAAGGATACCAGACAACACGGATTTTGTTTGCTCCCCGACTGTGTCATTGAAGACCCTACGTCCACAGTCAGAAACCGGAAAGCCGAGAAACCGGGTGGCGGGCATTATAATGTCCGTATTCCAAATACAAGTAATGCTTTATTTATTAAAAAGAAACTTAAAAGGAGGTTCCCAGCGCAGACCCACGTTTCTCCATATGAGCTGCACGTTGAGCTGTTAACATAGGCCAGTCTGCCCCCGGCCCCTTGGGGAGGGTCAGGACCCAGGCTTCGGACTCCGCTGTCCTGGAAGAAGCGGTGGCCCCTCCAGGAGCCCCTCCTGGGCCAGGCGCCGGGGCCCACGGGGCTGCTGCGTGGAGTGGGCGGGCGGCCCGGCTCCCCTCTGCCTCCCTCGGGCCCTCCCTACTGGCCTTTCCTCCCGCAGATGTTCGAGTTGGGGGAGTGTGTGACGGGCACCATAGGGCCCACCCACAACTTCGAGCCCCCGCACTACGATGGCATCGAGTGTCTGGCCATCCAGGGAGACATCCTGTTCAGTGGCTCCCGGGACAATGGCATCAAGAAGTGGGACCTGGAGCAGCAGGAGCTCATCCAGGTGCGGTGGGCGGAAGGGGAGGGGTGGGCGGGGGTGAGGCCAGGCCTCAGTCCAGGCAGGGCCTTGGGGACCCGGGGTCCTGGGCCCAGAGCTCCCCCCGCCGGCCTGTTCCCCACCGTCTTGCCCGTGTGTCCAGTGCCCTGCTCCCCCGCAGCCTCCCCCGCAGCCTCCCCCGCACCTCCTGCCGCTGCTCTCAGGGAAGGGGCTGCTCTTAGCCGCGGGGTTTGACTCGAAGGCTCCGTCCCGTGTCCCCTTTCCTGGAGCATCGGCCTGGGAGGGCGGGAGGCTTCTCCACCAGTGCAGGATCTCAGTTTGCGCGGGGCCGGGGTGGGCCGCCTCCCGGAGGGAAGCCCGGCAGCTGTCCCCGCGCGGCGTCCCCCGCCGGCGTCCCCCCAGCAGCCCCCAGGCCTCACGCGCGGCTCCTCCCACAGCAAATCCCCAATGCGCACAAGGACTGGGTGTGCGCCCTGGCCTTCGTCCCCGGCCGCCCCATGCTGCTGAGCGCCTGCCGCGCGGGCGTCATCAAGGTCTGGAACGTGGATAACTTCACGCCCATCGGCGAGATCAGGGGCCACGACAGCCCCATCAACGCCATCTGCACCAATGCCAAGCACATCTTCACCGCCTCCAGGTGGGTGCCGGGAGGGGGGTCAGCGCGGGCTCCCCAGCCCTCTCCCTGGGGCGCCTCGAGGCCCCTCAGGTGTCCCCGCGGGCTTGGCCGGAGGAGCAGAGGCCCCGGCGCCCACCCTTCCAGGAGCGCCCGCGAGGGGCGGGGGAGCCGCAGGGTGCTGGGCCCGGGCCAGGCCTCACCCCCTTGTCTGCAGGCCCTTCCTGCCGCTCACACCGCAGCCCCCGGCCTGGCGTCCTGCCCCCTGTCCGTGCCTCCGTCCACCCGCCCAGCTCAGACCACAGAGGGCCCCGCCGCCCCTGGACCCGCCCCTGCCCCGCCCCGGCCCTCGTCCCCACCCAGGGGACGCCCAGGCCCCCGGCCCACGGGGGAGCCCCTCAGAGGGGTCTCTTCCTTTTCCGCGCCGCCCTCCCCGTCTCCTCCTGCCTCTCCTCTCTCTCTGCCTGTCTGCCTCTCTCCCCCAACAGTGACTGCCGGGTAAAGGTGTGGAATTACGTCCCCGGACTCACCCCCTGCCTTCCTCGCCGAGTCCTGGCCATAAAGGGCCGAGCCACCACCCTGCCCTGACCCCCCTCCCGTCTCCTCTGTCATCCTCCCCTCTTTCCTCTTCCCTCTCTTTCTCCGCCTCGGTCTGAGCTGCTTCTCAACGGTATGAGATTATTTTGCTCCTCCTCCCTACGCTCCCTCCATGCCCTGCCTGGCCCGGAGTGAATGCCCGCCTGCCCCTCTTCCTCCCACCCTCTTCCGAGCATGACGAGGGGGATGGACCCGCCCTCTTCCCCAGGAGAGGGGTGCCAGGTGGCCGAAGGCAGAGGGGGAGCGTCCAGGCCTGGACAAAACAAAACCCCACCAACGAAAACCCACGACGAGAATTGCGTTGGCGGCTTGGAGACCGCAGGCCCTCTCCCTCTGCCCAGCAGCCAGCCCTGCACCCCTGCGGTCTGCCCGCCATCCCCAGCGATGCTTGCCCCTTGGCCCAGCCGCACTTGGGGAGTTTGGAGGCTCTGGCCCATCCTTGACTTTTGGGGGTAGCCAGCCGGGCCCCCTGCAAGAGCTGACCGGTCCCCCTTGTCCTCCACCCCAGTGACCTGACGGTGAAGTTCTGGAGCGTACGGCGGTTGCCCGGTGGCCCACCCTAGGAGCACACAGCAGTCCTCACCCTGGCTGTCTTTCCGAGGATGGCCCCCAGACCCTCGGCACCCCCCGGAGCCTGGACAGCACAGAAGGGGAGCTGTGGTCTGACGGGGCCCCCAGCCCTGGGGACACAGGGTGTGGGCATCGGCGAGGCCGCTCTCCTGCTCCGGCCTCTCCCCTGACCTTCCTAGGGATGCTCTTCCCCTGGGCCCTCCCCTGCCTCTTGGGGAGAGAAGGAGGTTGGGGAGGAATTTAAGCTGTGAAGCCAAAGGGCATTCATTCCCCCTGCCATTTCTCTCCCCGCAGCCCCCGGGGCTCCCCTCGCCGTCCCTCTGGCCACATTTTCTCCTGCGTCCTTAAGCCTCTGGCCCAGGGCTGGGGACCCGTAGGGGAGGGGAGGCAGCCCAGCCCCTGCTATGCCCCTCCCGACAGGAACAGGCCTCCCCCTACATCCCCTCGTCCAGCCTCTGGAGCCACTGCACCTGCCTCTGAGCCCAAAACGATAGTCCTCAGGTAACCACGGAAACCAGGTGTAGGCAGCTGGGCCCTGCAGCTGACCCTTAGCCCCTTGGCCACCAACAGCCACCCCCAGTTGACCCCGGCAACTCCTTGGGGTCCCTTTCTGATGGGGCCGAGGTTGAGCTGCTAAAAAAAAAATTCCTTTGGGGAGATGGTCAGAAACACTTCAGCTATTTAATTTATTATTATTATTATTTTAATTTTTGGTTTTTGCTGTTGCCTCCTGGAAACTGACTTGAAGTTTCTCCCCGGATGTTCTTTCCCTCAGCACTCGCGGGGGGCTGGGGGGGCCGGGAGTCCCAAAGGGAACCGCCCTGCCAGCCCTCCGGGGCCCCCTCCTCTGTTGGCTTCGCAGCTCGGGCCTCCCCAGCCCTGCCCCCAGGGACCGTCCCGCTGCCCCCCGACCTCTCGGCCGCCTGACGCTTCAGTGCCTTCGTCCACCCCGGGCCGGGCAGCCTTACAGCAGCCGTGCCCGCGGCACCACATGTGCCCGCTGCCCCTCGGAGGCGGGGGAGCTGCTCCCCGGGGCCCGGGGCGACCCCCCTCCCCGAGGCCTGTTGGGGCCACGTAGGAAGCAGCTCGGAGGATCGAGTCTGCCGGGAGGTGGCTGGGACGGTGCGGACGGCCCAGCCTCCCCCCCGGCTCCCCTGGATGTTCAGCCCCGACAGAGCAGGGGTCCTTCCGGCCGCTTTCTCTCTGGTTATTCAGGAGACACATTTTCAAGCCTTAAAGCTGGCACGGGGCCGCGGGCCCTCCCCGCCGGATGGCGGTGACGAAGGAGTCCCTGGAGTTTCCTTTCGCTTGGGGCGCAGGCCTCGGCCCGGGGTGCGGGGAGAGCCGCCTGCCCGTGCCCCCTGTTGGGGCAATTCTGCATTCACAGGCTGGGCCTCGGGAGGAGTCTCGGCGCCCCCCGCCCCGCCCCACCCAGTGTTCTCCCAGCCCTTGCCCGCCCTTGTGCTTCCTGTCCCCGTCCCGTCCCCGTCCTGTCCCCGTCCGGGGGGCCAGGAGCCCACCTCTGTTCTGAGACGTGCAGTGACTTGGGGGCCTTCGGGAGGTAGCTCTGTGTGTCCTCCGTGCCTGTCCCTGCTGGGCCCGGCGGGGAGCCCCCACCCCACCCCCAGCTCGGAGCTGCCCCCGAGGCTGAGAACGCTGTGCTGTGGCCCCTGGCACCCGGCGGTGGAGTCGGACCAGCCTGGAGGCCTGGCCTCCTGCACCCGGGGACAGTCGCCTGCGCCGGCCAGGCCACCTCCCAGCCCCGCGGGGTGCTCGCCACTCCTCGGCCCCCGCGGGAGCAGCCGCCTCCCCCCCCCTGCACCTGTAAGACAGACCCCCTGTGCGTGACTGTTCACAGACTGCGAGACCCAGGACGCGGCGGCCGGGCCCCCGGGGGTCGCATGGCGGTGCCAGCGAGAGGTGCCCGGCCTGCGGGAGGTCCGACGGGGCAGCTACCTCACGGCGGGCCGGCTCCGCTGTCCGGGCCACTACCTTGGACTCTGAACTTGAAGTCCCTCGGGAGCCCCGAGCTCTTCCGGAAGCTGCGCTCCAGGAGCCCGGCGCCCCTGCGTCCTGCGCCGGGGACGGGACAGGGACGCCCAGGGACACGGTGAGGGGGCGGGCCCCCGGCATCCTCAAGGTCGGAAGCACAAAACGGTTGTGATTCGAGCACAGACGGCAAGGCCGCGGCGGTGGCGGGTGGCGGGGCCGGGCTGGTCCCACCGGGCACCCCCGCTCTGGGGAGGCAGCTCCTCGCGCGGACCCGGCCCAGCACGGCCTGTCCTGCGCCCGCGGCTCGTCGTCCTTGGCTTTGTGCCCATTGGCAACTTGCGTGTGGCCGGCGCCGTCAGCACACCCCAGCCGGCAGGTGCCTCGGCCGGGCCCTGGGCTGTGATCGCGTCCCCAAGGTGGCACCTGCCGCGGCCTGGGCATCGCCGAGGAGAGGCACGCCCAGGCTTTGAGGTGGCCCGGGTGCCCCGTCCAGGCCCTCGGGAGGGACCTCGTGGCTCCGGGAGCCGTCTGGACGGCGGCTTCAGCCTGGGGTGGCCGTGGTTGGGTGGCCCTGCTGCCTCCCCGGGGCGGTGTCGCCGGGCGGAGGGCCGTTTGAAGCACAAAGCCACCGTAGAGGGCAGACTGTCGCTGCGACTCTCACCCCCCCCCCAGGGTGGTGGCCATGTAGGCGGCCACTGCTGGGATTCAGGGAGGCCCTGCTCTCTTCCCGCCCCTTGGGGCACCACCCCCCCGGCTGCGGGCCCCAGCCTGTGCCCGGGGTGCTGCTGCGGGAGATCGGCGAGTCACCTCCCCCGAGTGGCCCCGCCGCGGCCCGTTTGCCAACCCAGACAGGAAGCCGCCCGGCGGCCCGGCCCAGCCCAGGCTGTGGCCCCACAGGCCTCCCGGGGCTGGCCTTGCCCTCGGGCTCCCACTCCTACGCCCAGGACAGAACCTACGAGGACAGCTCTGTTTCCTGGGGCGTCCTCGTCCCCCGCCCAGCCCAGCGCCCCGGTGGGCCCCCAGGCCTCGTCCCGAGGGCTTTGCAGGGAAGTAGGAACAACTCCAAGAGGAGCCGACGGTCAGAGAAGACCCCCCAAGTGAATCAGGGCCCTGCCCTGCCACCAGCTCTTTTCTAGGGGTCACCCCGTGCCCAGGCTGCGGGGTCTCACCCGGCTGACGCCCTCCTCGCTATGCGGCTAGCACAAGTTGTATATATGTTTTGTACCTCTGCTGATGACTGTACATAGTGTACGAAAGTTATTTAAGCCTCATGCTGTACATTTCTGTTCCTAGACCGGATGTGCGTGTGTTCTAAGTTGTCCTAAATAAAACCCGAATGACCATCGTGGGTCGTGGTGCGACCCTGAGAGCTGCCGGCCTCAGGCTGGTGGCCCTCCTCTGGGGGGGTGGGGAGGCAGGGCCCTGGGGCAGGGTGGGGGGTGGAGGGGGGTGGGGCAGGCCTCTGGGGTGGGGGGGGCAGGGCTCTGGGGCGGGGGGGGGCAGGGCTCTGGGGCGGGGGGCCGGCCTGGTGAGAGTTTCCCGGGCTCCGAGTCTGGGGCTTGCTCAGTTACAGAGCAGAGTTGAGAGCGCCGCGTTCCCCGCTGACCCTGTGTGTTGGACGGGTACGTTAGCTGGGGAGGGCACCAGCACTTAATGAGCACCCACTGTATTCCGGGCACTATTTCAGGCATTTGGGGGAAGGGTCTTCACTCCCCACCCCCCGTGTAATAGGTCGTAGCCTCATTTCTGAAATGGGGGACGTCTCGGCGAGGACGTGCCGTGTCCAGCGGCAGCGCTAGTAGGGACGGAGCCGGGCTGGACCTTGAGACCCGCCCAAGCACCGCACCCGCTTCCTTTCACGGACGTAGCAGGTGCCTCTTCTAGAGCCTGGAGGACACCGTGCTGCACACCAGACCAGTCCATTCCCTTGCCACTTGTGAAGAGAAGACAGAAATATGGGAAGCTCGGATGGGAAAAGAGCTCCACGGCCGTCTGGAGTTTTGTTTCTGGATCGGTGCTTTTCAGTCTTTAAAAACCTCATATTCCTTTTCTTCCCCTGAGGCCCTAAAAATGCTCTGTCTCCGCCTATGCATCCCATTATTTTCAACATAAGTAAGTGTAAGAGCTCCAGGAAACACTCAAAAGGGCTGCACAAGGTGGGCGGGCGGGGCGGGGGGGTGACTGGGTGACGGGCGCAAGGAGGGCACAGGACGGGGTGAGTGCTGGGTCTTGCACTGTATGTTGGCAAATTGAATTTAAATTTAAAAAAAAATAGGTCTAGGAGGATGCAACAAACCTACCATGTGCTCGTGGCCCTGGAACCCGCGGGCCTGTTCCTGGACAGCTGAGCTGCTCTCCTGCTCAGAACCCGGTATACTTGGCCTCTTAGCCCTGCTTTTCAGGAATCCGGGTCTCCCACATAATTTTAGATTTTGCTTCATTCAGAATCCAGTGTGTCCCCGAGGCCCCCGTGCGGCCCGTGGCTGTTAGCTGCGTCCAAGTATCCAGTTTGGCAGGCGCCTCTCTCAAGAAAACATTTTTATTTTATTTTATTTTTTTTTAAGATTTTATTCATTTATTCATGAGAGACCCAGAGAGAGGCAGAGACACAGGCAGAGGGAGAAGCAGGCTCCATGCAAGGAGCCCGACGCGGGACTCGATCCCAGGACCCCGGGGTTACACCCTGGGCCAAAGGCGGCGCTAATGCAAGCCACCCGGCCTGCCCAAGAAAACATTTTTAATGACTATGGGTCTGTCGGAGCAGGAGTCCTTGTGGGTGGGAGGTGGGAGGCCCCCCCGAGGGAGCTTCTACCCAAGAGGCTGCTGGTCTTGGCAAGTACACGGGGACCCTGAGCCTCAGGTGGGGGACACAGGTGCGAGGAATCGCCGTCATCCCCCCAAGGCTCTCCAGCAGGGGCTGGGGCCTCCCTGCCCTGGGAAACGGGGTGTCTTCTAAGGGTGGCTGGTTTGGCCTGGCTGACCGGCCTTTCCCATGCCATGCTCACTGCCCCACCCTCCCACCTGGTCCCACCCTGGCTCCCCACGGCCCCTCTGCATCAGACCCCCCCAGAGTCCACTGTGGATGGTGCCAAGTGATGGGCGTGGCCAGCTGCAGGCCTGGGGGTGGGGTGTAAAACCAGAAAGTGGGCACCCGGGTGCTGCTGACGTTGCCAGGACCTGGGCCCTGGAACCGACCGGCCCCACCCAGCAGCCCTGCCCCTCCCCGTGCCCTGCAGAGGGCTTGCCACACAAGGTGGCTTTTGCAAACTCAGGTCACGCTGTGTCTTGAGGGTGCCAAAGCCCTGAGGGGTAGGGAGGCAGCAACACCAGGTTAAGGGACATCGTTTTTTTGTTCTTTTGCAGGATTTGGTTTTCCTTCCAAATTATAACAATAGCATCTGCTTATTATAGGAAATTTGGAAACAGGAGTGTGAAGGAGAGAAATAGTACTTGGGGTGTATTGGCACCTCTCAGAAGCCGCTGGGGCCATTCATTGTCAACCTGGGTGGCATCGTCATCAGGGACAGGTTTTTCCGACCCTCTCGGTTTACAGAGGAGAGGAACCGAGGCCCAGAGACGCCAGCAGGTGGCCATGATCCCCCCGGGATCAGGACAGGCCAGAGATGGCCCGACGGACTTCAGTTGCTTCCCCCATGTGGTCTCTTCCCATCGTGCCCCTCAGCTGGGCTTGACCAACATGAGGGGAGCGATCTGTGCGGGCACCCGAACTCTGGAGCGGGTCCTACACCAGCATCTTCGACCCCATGGTGCTTCCGAGGGCAGGGAAGGGACCTTGGTGCACGGCTGTCTTGGGCCAGTCCCCATTCACCTCCATTGGTAAGAGAACGAGCCGGCGAGGCCCCAGCGGCTGCTGGCAGTCGCTGGCGTGGAACCCAGAGCCCAGGCCGGGGGAAGGCGCGAGGGGAGCCCCTGGCCGTGCAGACACGCGTGGGCTTTACTGCCTGGGAGGCTGGTTTGTGAGCAGGACCTAGTGACGCCCCTCGGCACCAGGCGGCGATGCTGCTTGAGGAGCTTGGCCCCGCGGAGAGGGAGGCAGGTGGGGCTGGAGAGGGCGAGTGTGGGGGGAACCCCGCGTGCCCCTGGGTGCTTGGATGCAGGCGACAGAGGCGGCCACACCTGAGCGTCCGCTCCACTGTGGCCCGAGCCCCCCCTCCCCGCTCAGAGCAGGTTTGACCTCAGGGGAGCCTGCATTTTAGGACATTGGGTTACTGTCATTGCCCCCAGGGCTCTGGGGCCTGGCAGGTCAGGGGTGACAGGTGACTCCAGGGTGCATGGGGGTGGGGGTGGGGGTGGGGGTGAGGAGCAGCACACGATCCCGCACAGACCTGAGGATAAGCTTAGGGCCCTGGGTCGGATCCGTTCCAACAGGAGCCCCGGGAGATGGTCCTCACCCCGCTCAACCCTTGCAATGGGAGGATGAACATCTGGCTCTTGGGACAAACGGTGGCCGAGCTCCCAATACTCAGGCCGGAGTGTTGTCACCTGGGCTGTTGTCACCCCTCGCGCAGCCACACTGCTGGTTTTGCAGGGCCGCCCCGTTCCTGAGGGTGGTTCCCAAGCTCTCTGCTCTCCCGGGATGCGTCATGAGCTGACCGATGCCCTTTACTAAAGTCGCCGCCCTGCTTAGACCTGCGCTCGCCGCCGGGAGCCCTGCGGGTACAGCTGGGGTCTAGACGCCTCGCGTGTCCCAGCATCCCCATCCCCCCCAGCTCCAGTTGGAGCTGATGTTCAAAGAGCCTCCGTGCTCGGGCCTCCGATCACCTGTCTACGGGGGACAGAGCCACCGGGACCGGGTGGCTGCCGCGGGGACGCAGCTCCGGTGAATGGCTCGGCCCCACGGACCTCGGTGCAAAGGCAGGGAGCACCTACTCCACAGAAGTTCATGCCTCTTTTATTACAAGGCTGTGAGGGGCACACGTCGTCTTCTGGGGGCCTGGCCCCACTGTCACAGCAGCCGTCGTGTCACGGTCGCAGCTGCCTGGCCAGGCCCCGGGGACGCAGGCTCAGGAGTAGCTCTTCCGAGCCCTCCGCCCGCAGAAGCAGGAGGTCGAGGTGTTGGCCAGCAGCTTCTCCTTGGCTTCCAGGATGTAGAGGGTCTGAGTGGCGAGGCAGCTGACCATGGGGTCGGGGTCTTCCTGAATGTTCTTTAGGGCTGCAACACGGGGACCGCTAAGGAGCTTGGATGAAGGAACGGTCGGGGCCCGGCCGGCGGTGCAGGGGGACAGGCTGGGGACTGGCAGCTTCGGAAGCCTCCTGCTGGGTGCACAGCTCGGGCACAGGGGGACGCCGCACCGCCCGGCATCGGGAGCTGCCCCCGCCCTGCACGGCCCACCAACCCTTTGGGGCCCCTCCGCCCGCCTCTGCCCGCGGAGAAGAGCTGAGAGCGAAGGCCTCACCTGCCAAGCCAGGCAGTCAGCACCCCGGGGCCCGCAGCTCGAGGGGGGGCAGAGGGAAGGGAAGGGCTAGGTGCCGGCCGGCGAGTCCCGGGGGACGAGTGGACATTACGGGGCCGTGTAGCGGGAGCCGTCCCGGCGGCCCCGCCAGCACCAGCACCCTTCCACGGCGCGAGGGGCAGCGACCGGTTGCCGCTCACCTGTGCATACTTCCTCAATGTCATCGGCCTCCTCGGCGTCCAGGGTCTGGATGATCTGACCTACAGGAGCACACAGAGCGCCTCAGGGGCCCCCCGAAGGACCTCAGGACACGGGCTGCACCTGCTCTCGCGTCTCTTCCCAGAATACACACCTCCTTGTTCCTGTCTTCCGCGCCCCCTAACCGGCCTTGTCTAGACTTTTCCCACACGTGGAAATTACCTCCCCTGCTTCTCCAGCGGCCATCAACACACTGGGCAGGGGAGGGGGCGCGTACCCCTCTGCTCTTCCTCGGGGTGACGTGAAGCAGGCCTCACCAGCCTGTGAGCTGTGGCATCCACACCCCGACACCCCGCCCCTGGGGAGCTTTGCTGGCCTGGCCTGCCGGGACCCGGCCCATTCTGCTGCAGGAAGGGTCACCCAACCCAACCCGGAGCCTCTGCGGGGTGGGGGTGGGGGTGGGGGCAGGGGCCAGGTGGAGGCCGAGGGAAGGGTGGAGAATACGTGGATCCTCGCAGGAGCTGCCCTGGGGGCTCCACGGGGGGCCCCTCCACCCTCCGATGGAGCCTCACGTCCCGGGTCTTCGGGCGGTTCAAGGACACGGTGGCTCCCAGAGGAGGGCCGGGGGTACCTGCAAACCGCACTGCTGTCTGGCGGATGGCGGCCTGGGGGCTCTTGAAGAGAGTCACACACTGCTTCAGGAACCAAAGGGCTTTGCTTGCCTCCTGCTGCAGCTGTAGGAGGAGGAGCTGGAGTAGGTAAAGCACCCCCTGCGCCGTCCTGCCGCCGCCCCGCTCGGCCCGGACCCAGCTCCCCAGTGCAAACCCCCCTCCGAACGTTCTGGGGGCGCCTGGCCGGCTCGGTGGTGGAGCACGTGACCCTTTGATCTTGGGGTCATGAATCTGAGCCCTCCCCCATCGGTACAGAGATGCCTTTAAAAAATAATAATTTTTTAAAAATTCTACATCTCCATCCGCTCCCACCGCAGCTCCTGAAGTCTCGTTTCCCCTACGAAGCCTTCCTGGATCGACAGGGAGCTCCCTTTCCCTCGGGGAGGCACGAAACTTGAAGAGATCTACCCCAATCTTCTGCGCGCCCGTCTCTCCCCTCCTACTCCCAACCACAGGGGAGTGAACCCGGTTGTTTCACTACGATTTGTTTATGTCTTGGCTTAAAACCTTCAATCTCGGGGTCATTTGCCCTCGGCTGCAGCAGAACCAGTCGTGTCTACGCCATCCTATTGAACAGAGCCTGCCAGGCCGCTTGTGATTAATGTCGTGAAATGTCATGAAATGTCCCAACACCTTTCCCTGCCTTGGCATGCACCCGGTTCTGCATTCATCCAGGTCCCTCCCTAGAAGGTTTGGGGGATGACACGCTCTGCCTTTTGCAAAGGCCTAACCCCATCCCCTGCGTGTCCTTCCTGGAGACTCTCCTGCTCCCCCTTTGCACTACAGCCCGAGTTTTGGTAGGTTTTTTTTTTTTGTTTTTTTTTTAAGACTTTATTTATTTATTCATGAGACACAGAGAGAGAGAGAGGCAGAGACACAGGCAGAGGCAGAGGGATCCCAGGGCCCCGGGGATCAGGCCCTGAGCTGAAGGCAGCCGCTCAACCACGGAGCCCCCAGACGCCCCCTGCAGCCCGAGTTCTTAAATGAAGAGGCTACATCCTGCGGCAGGTCAAACTGGTAGAAAATCCTTTCTTCAAATCAAAGTCCTAAACCGGAAACCTGATATTTTGAACCAACAGAAGTGAGACAGCTCCGGCTCCGGTCGAAGCAGGTGTAGACAGAGCCCCGCTCACTGCTCATCTCCCCCTGAGAAACCCTCGAATCTTGCACCCTGGCCTGCTGGCACCGTCCCGCTGACCTAGATGTGGCTTCCACGGCCCAAACCCAACAGGCACATCCAGTCTTTATGTCCCTGGGCTCGTGCTACAGTCCAATGACCACGCATCGCTCCTGAAACGTCTCCCTCCTCAGTGACCACCGGCCCCCTGTCCTCTTGTTGCCGTGTCTTGGCCTGGTTTCCTTTCCTAGCCTCCTTCGTGGGAAGCTTGGAACCGATGTGGCCTGGGATCCCGATGTCCAGCCCCACCCCTCTCCCTCTGCACCGTTCCCTTAGATGACCCCGCTCGCAGCTCCCATCTACCACTCAGCCGTGGGCCCAGCGTCCACAAATCCGTATCTCCAGCACCGCTCGGTGATGAGATCGACTTCCGATGGGAGAGGTCTCCCAAGCACTACGAACTCCACAGGGACAAAATCAAGGCGCCATCCTCCCCCCACACCCGTCTCCCGCTCTGCATTCCTGACCCCAGGCTGTGACACCAGCTCTCACCCAGGTCAGAGACCCGGAGCTGACCTTTCCCTTCACACCCCACATCAGCTAGCTCTGCAGTCCCCGCCGAGCCTCCCCTCCATGTCTTTGTCGTCGTGACCTCATCTCCTCTCGCTGGACCCTCTCAGCCACGGCCCCTAGTCCTGCCCCTTGGGAACATTTCCTCCAGGCTGCATCCAGGCGGTCTCTCTGAACCCGTCATCCAACCGTGGGACCCCCTGGCTTAGAGCACTTCGGTGGCTCCGGATGCCGACGGCATCAAGTCCTGCTGCTGATTGTGCCCGAACCCTCGGCGCACAGTGCAGCCCCAGCCCCCGCTTCCCGGCCCCCACACCAAGCCTGCACACCTCCAGTTCCGAAGCCAAAACCAGCCTGCAGAGATTTTGCATTTGCTCCGCACGATGTTTTAAACAACGTAAATTATCTGCCGAGAAAATGTGGTGAACTTCACCTAAAGTCGGGATTTCCTGCCTTTCTTAACAAAGTAAAAAAATCCGGCCACACTGAGGCCGCTCCATTCCATAGACTCCGTCAGCTGGTTCTCCACCCTCTCAACCTCGGCCCGCACTACTGATCCCTTCTCTTTGCCTCGGCCATAGCCTGCTTTCCGTTTCCCGTCTTCCCAGATGACACCCCCTCCAGGAAGCCTTCCGTCAACTCCCAGACTGGGCTGGGCACCCCCTTGTGCTATGAAGGACACCGTCTCCTTCAGCCCTCACCGCCGCATTCTGAATGTGTCCGGTCGTGGGCCCGGCCCCCAGCTTAGGGAGCCACGGGCAGGAGGAAGCGGTCTCGGTGCTCAGGGAGCTGCAGCTGTCACAGACCCCAGACAGCGCCGGCCACGACGTGGGCTGCCCCCCCACCGCCCCCCGTAGCCGCGGAGCCGGGAGCCCGCGCCGCCTTACCAGCGCTCGGAGGATGGTCCACACGTCCCTCTCGGCAAACACCGCTCTGAGCCTTGACCAGCGCAGTACGGCGGCCGTGTGGCACAGGGCAGACCGGCAGACCTGGAGGGACACGAGGGCTCAGCGCGGGACGTCACGGGAGGACTGGAGTAGACTCGGAGCGGCGCCAAGAGGGACACTAATGGCGCGGAGTCCGGGCCTGGAGGAGCCGGAGGGACCCGGGGCTGAGAAGACAGGCGGGGCCTCTAGGCAGCTGGGCTGTGCCACCCTGGTTCCCACTCGGGAGCGGTCGGGACACCCGGTGGCCGTGGCACCAGGAGAGCCAGAGCCACGAACGCGGCCACCTCCCAGCCGCATGCACCCGCCACGTGGCCTCCCACACACCAACGGGGGGCCCCTCTGGACCAGGTGGGTGCTCTCGGGGATACCTCACGGGCTCCACCCCACAAAGGCAACACCCCGAGCCATCGCGGGCTGCCAGCGGCTTCAGAGGCCCTGCCACCGGGAACCCCAGCCTCATCGGGAACCCCTGTCCTGCGACAAGCTCCCCGGCTGCAGCTCACGCCCCCGGGCCCCCAGAACACGGGCCCGTTCCAGGCTCTGTCCTGCCCACGACGCTGCCTCATGGGAACCTCGCTGCTGGAGGCAGGGGGGGGCTCTCAATTCGGTGCAGAAGGGAAGGCGATGGCGCCAAGGGCCGAGGGCCAGGGAGAGGCACTGTGCCCACGCTAGGATCCTCCTCCTTGGAGCCTTCCCACCCACGGCGTCGCACCGTGGGCTGGCGGCCGGCTGGAGAGAGCCAGCAGGGGGAGAAAACCGTGCTGCGAGCCTCTGGTCACAGCTGGCTCCTCACTGCCACCCTCCTAGGCCAGCGACAAAGCGACTCCTCCTGCATCCTCCGGTCTTGCCACAGCCCCTTCCTTCGTACTTAACACCTGCCCGTGTTCACCTCCCGCGACGACTGGAGACGGAAGAGCAGGCCCCGGGGCCTCTCACCTGAGCCACGCTGGCATTCACATCCTCCAGGTGGAGCACGAGGAGGACTGTCAGGTTGAGGACCTGGTGCTTCAAGGGGAAGACAAGCACCGTCCTCTTGACCTTGGCCAAGAGAGCCCTGTAGATCTCGAAGGCCAGCAAGCGCAGGTGGTCGGGCTCCTGGTGAGAAGACACGCACCCAGGGAGGACACGTCCGCCTCTGCCCTCCCCGTAGGGGCGGTGGCCCCGGCTCCCCATGTACACCGCCTGCCCCACGGTGCCCCCTGCTCCCTTGTCACCGTCATCTGCTGTCGCGGCATCCCCTGCCCTTTACAGCCGTCAGCGGGAGGACGTACACAGTCCTCTACCGACTGGCATCCCGTTCAGGCTACCAGGGCCTCTCGACACAATTCCGCCCAGCTCCCTTGGACGCCCGGAGAGGGGAACGACCCCTCGGAGGGCTTCACCTCCTCAAAGAAGGGCCCCAGCGTGAAGGTGAGCTGAATGAGGAAGGAGGAGGAGTGCTGCCAGGTGAGGTGCTCCATGAGACTCCTGAGCAGCGCGAAGGTCTCCATCACAATGTCGCTGTCCAGGGAGTAGCAGCAGTTGAGCACGTAGGGCTGCAGGATGCGGAGCTGTCGCACCTGCAGGGCGAGGGCGGCTCAGGAGACGGGCGGGCGTTCAAGCGGATCCACACACATGAGGGCCAGCCCGACCTGGGCCGGACGTGGTCATCCTGGGGCCGGGACCAGCCCAGAAGCGGGCGGCAGTCGGACTGGGCTGCTCAGGAGGCCCTTCTGTCCTCGTGGGAAGAGGGGAGGAGACAGAGGAGAGCCCTCCTCCCGCTACCCCCAGAAGCTCTCCTCGCCGCGGCCTCTAGCATCCCTGGTGATGCCGCCGGTCTCTAGGACGCCTGGATGGCCCGGGATCTGGGAACTGGCTTGGCCTCGAGCCTGAAATGACCCACGGAGACACCTTCTCTTTCCTCTCCCGGGACCGAGCGTGAGCTTGAACGGCTCAAGTCCTTGACCCCTGTGTCCAGAGGACTGGCTTCCGGAGGGCTCTCTCTGTCTGACCCCAAGAGTGGGTCCACCCCACTATGTCTATGATGACACCCGGGACCTCCGGACCTTCCGGTTGCTTCCCCGGGTGACAAGATCTCTTGGGGGCACACCTCCGGCCCCCGCCCCACCTCACCATGTTCCCGTGCTTTGCAAAGATCCCCACCACCTGCAGCAATAGCTTCACCGTGCTGGGCTCCTCATACTGGAACCAGCCTGCCAGGACGCGGACCGTGGCCTCATCCACTGTGGCCACCACACCTGGGCACCGGAGCAGCTGGCAAAAGGAGACCCCGAAAACCGAAGTGATGGGCAAGGAGAACAAAAATCCCCAGGGCTTTGAGTCTAGGTTCCTATCTTTTTACAAAGAAATGTTCCTAAGGATTTGGAAGGACAGGTAAAGAGGCCAAAGCTTAGCGGAAAGGTAACTTCACACTCCGTCATCCCAAAGGTCATTCATTCATCCCCCCAGGTTTTCCTCCGTCATCCTCGAGGAGGGGAGCTGGAGAGGCTAAAAGTAAGACGTGCACCCAGCTCCAAAGAGATGGCGGTGTAGGATCATTCGCATGGAGAGAGCTACGGAGGGATACGGATTTGGTAGCTTGCATCTGAACCACACGGGACAGGAGGAGGAAGAGGTGGCAGGTAGAGCTGGTGCCGTAGAAGGGAAGAGGCAGAAATGAGATTTAAAAACTGCCGTAGGGACGCCCAGGGGGGCTCCGCGGTTGGGCGTCCGCCTTCAGCCCAGGCTGTGACCCCGGGGTCCCGGAATCGAGTCCCACCTAGAGCTCCCTGCAGGGAGCATGCTTCTCCCTCTGCCTGTGTCTCTGCCTCTTTCTCTGGGTCTCTCATGAATAAATAAATGAAATCTTTTTAAAAAAATGCCATAATGAAAAATGGCATGCGTGATTTCATTTGTACGTTTATGTAAAATTCATATGGGTCGATATGTCATTTGACAAAGCTAATCAGATGCATTTAAGCCAAAGGAACCTCAGTCCCAACAGCAAAATGGTTTTGGGGGCCAGCACCGGTCCCCCCACAGCCCGCACCCCCTCCTGCTCACCCCCCTACCCCCCGACCTTGAGCGCCCTGAAGGAAAGTGCACAGGCCTGTCGTTCCCGGCAGGTGGGGAACACACAGGGTTGCACGCGGCGTGCACTAGGGGAGGCTCTCCCGCCGCGGCCCCTGGTTACCCACGCTGCCGGGCTCCCCGGGTCTGGCTCCGGGTGCTGGCGGGCCAGGGTCCCCAGTCCCTTTCAGGGGGCAGTCCCAGCCTCCCCCAGCTGCCCTCCGCTCTTCTCAGCCTGAAAAATCCTCCCCACAAATCTGTGGGGGGCAGATACGAACTGCCATGGGCGTGTCCGCCTGTTTCCGCGGGGGATTAGGCGGGGGGGGGGGGGGGGGGGCTTCTGGAGTGGGTCCCCATCCTAGCTACGGCTTTGAACTCGGGAACTTCGAACAAGAAACCAATGCCTGGACTTCTTCCCAGACCCATTTGAACAGCATATCCAGGCAGGCAGGCAGGCAGGAGAGGGAGCGAAGTTGTGGTTTGGCATCAGCATGTTTTAAAGCTCCCCAGAGGGGCAGCCCTGGTGGTGCAGCCGTTTAATGCCGCCTGCAGCCCAGGGTGTGATCCTGGAGACCCTGGATCGAGTCCCACATCGGGCTCCCTGCATGGAGCCTGCTTCTCCCTCTGCCTGTGTCTCTGCCTCTCTCTCTGCCTCTCTCTTTCTCTCTAAATAAATAAATAAATAAATAAATAAATAAGTCTTTAAAAAAAAAAAAGCCCCCCAGAGGATTCTAACACGCAGCCAGAGGTCAGAACTCCTGCTCTACGGAGACTGGTGCCCATCTTGTGGTGCTCCCTGCCCCCTCCAAGCCCGCCGGCTTGCACCTTGCACTGTTCCCCAAGACCGGGTCCGAGGACTGCCTGTACTGCAACAACCACGAGTGTGTTTACAGAAAACGAAGCCTCTGGCCCTCACACCAGAGCCACGGAATCCAAGTCCCTGGGATGGGGCCTGGGAATCTGCATTTAAACAGCGTCCCTAGAGACGTGAAGTCCATTAATGATGGACATCCTCTGCCATGCAGACTTCTGCTCCCTACATCCACATCCCCCCATCCCCACATCCCTAGCTGGAGTTCTGCTCACACAATGTACATCCTTGAACGCATACACCAGCAGCCCTGCCAACGCACACAAATTAGCTCATGGCCGTGGGCACCTTCCAACAAGGTCCGACAGCCTACGAAGGAAGGACGCATTGTGACACACTAGGAGAATATCTGCTTGTAATCCAGTAGGAGCCACTGCATTATCTTTTGTTATGGTCAAACGTAATCCTACTCCTTAAAAAAAAAAAAAAAAAGAAAAGGTAGCTTGAATTTTAAAAGGAGCCTATTTAAAGCTATGGTGAGCCAGAAATCCCAAACTTTTCCCCCAACACTGCTGGTAGAAGTGTAATTTGGTCCAACTTTACTGGAAAGTAATTTGGGATTCGTGTAAAAAAAAAATCATAGGAGACATTCATATTTTCTGAACTTCTACCTATATTCAACATTTTTAAAAATATTTTTTTTATTTATTCATGAGAGACAGAGAGAGAGGCAGAAACACAGGCAGAGGGAGAAGCAGGCTCCACGCAGGGAGCCCGACGTGGGACTTGATCCCAGGACCCTGGGGGTCATGCCCTGAGCTGAAGACAGACGCTCAACCGCTGAGCCCCCAGGTGTTGCTATATTCAACATTTAAGGAAATAATCTGGAATATGGGCAAAGCTTTTGCACAGAGGTGTCCACTACAGTGATATTTATAATACTGTAAATTTAGAGACCAAACATCCAATAAATTATAGAACATCTTTGTGATAAAAGATTATAGCACCATTAAAATTTATGTTTGAAGAGAGCAGGATAAAGAGGAGTGGAGCGTGATGTCATCTATGATAAAGACACACACACACACACTCACACACACACACACACACGCCTCCCTTCAGGCCAAAACCTGAAAGTGGTTTCCTCTGGGTGTTGTGACGATGCATGGTTTTATCATTTTTAAAGTTCTTTATCATATTTTCTAAATTTTCTACACTTTTTCCCCCATCAAATGGCGGAAATACATGGAGTCAACCAGTGGTACTAAAGCAAAGATTTGTTTTGAAAGGCTGGTGAGGGTCGAGGTGGCTGACGGAAAGAGCTGTCTTCCCGTAAAGTCGGAACAGGGTTGAGCTGCCGTAAGAGTCAAGGAGGAATTACACCAGGTAAATTCAAAGCTTGTGACCCAAGGTAACCTGTCATTAACAGTGACCCCGACCCTCTGGGAGGTGGGGAGCCACGGTGAATTAGGCCACCTGTTTGTCCCCCAGCCATCCCTGGAGGTGGCCCTCGGGTACAGCTCCTTCTAGAGGAACCGCCTTCCCCCCACCCTCCTCCCACCGAGAACTGCTTACCTCGGTCATGAACACGAAGGCTGTCAAGTGGTTCGTGTTGCCCACTTCTTGGAGAGTCTTGATGATGAAGCTGAAGATGGGGCGGTTGTGCCAACAGTTCTTGATGACCATGGCCCTGCCGATGACAGCAGAATGCTCAGGATCAGAGCTGGGCCCCAGGAGAGAGCCAATGAGATGGGAGGTCCTCCGGCCAGGGACGGGGTCGAGGCCTACCTGGCCAGCAGAGTGACACCCTCATAGTGTCTTTCAGGACTGGTGAGCAGCTCCCAGCCCCCAAGTTTCTGAACAAAAGACACGTAGTCCCCATACCCAGCCCTTAGCATCAAAGCCTTCAGGGCCTCCACGGTGGCACTGGAGAAAAGGCAGAAAGCAGACAGGAAGTCATCCCCACCATCTGTGCTCCTCTCCTGCACCTGCGGCCTGCTTGCCTATGCAAACCTCCCTTAGAATCATGAACCGTTGGGTAGAGCGACTGCCCTCAGAGACCCAGGCTAACATTTTACCAATGAGACACCAAGGCCAAGAGAGATGTGGGGGTCCCCGAGGTGGTGCAGGAAGCCAGCAGAAGGGTAACTGTTTTATCCATCATATTGATTTCACTTTGGTACAGAAGCTTGGCATCAGCCCAGTCAGTCAGAAATAAAGTCTTTTCTAAAAAGTCCAGAAAGACTTGCTGGAATGATGTACGGGGAACACACCCGGTGCCCTACACGGGAGGTGTGAGAAGGGTGTCTAGAACCAGCAGCCTGGGGCCAGGGCAGGCAAGTGGCAAAGGAATAACTAGACATGGCTGCCGGATGGGCCCTGAAACACGGCCACTAGGAACTCTGGCCCAGAGGCCAAAGGTACCTGACAGGGTCCACCCATTCGGTTACATGCTGCTGATCCTGGATGTCAGTGCCCCCTTCAACCACAAGAAAGGAGATCTGGTTCAGCAGGGTCATAAACAGGGAGGAGAAGAAGGTCTGCACCTCTATCCGCCGACTCGGTTCCAGCAGGAGCTCGTGGATGGCCCTGGTGGCCTGAGGGTGAGGAGGAAAGTGGAGGCATAATCATTTTTATATTCCAAGTCTCGTCACCGTGGGTCCTGTCACCATGAAATCTCTGCCCATAACCCATCACCATGATGGGCTGGCCCAGAGAAGCCCACAGCAAGTCAAAACTAAATTAGCGTGAGCCAAGAAAAATAAAGGGCAATTTCTAGAATGTTATTATTTTTAACTGCTCTCAACGTTGTGACAGCTGTTTCATTCCCGCACCGACCTCAAGAGTTAAGGGGGGCCTGGGGGTGCTCTTCTTACCTAAATTCACCCAGGGAGAATGAGAAACTAGTTCTTCCATTTCCCTACAAGGCAGCACAACTAGAAAACCCTCCCTCCGACCACCCCAAGACTCTGCGTTAGAATATTCAACCAAACGTGGATATGTCAAAGGGAGAGGCCCCAAGAACTCAGGACAGCCTGGGATGGGGCACCAGGAAGGCCCCCCGACCCCCGCCCCAGCACCCAGCCCCTTCCGCGGGCCCCTCCATACAATCAATGGAGAGATCTCTCTCCTGTGGCTGGGCTCCTGGCCCTTTGATTTCTGGTGTGGAGTCAGTTTCTGCAGCAGAAATTCCATGATCACTTCATAGCCTTTGGGGAATGATGCCAGGATTTCCCAGGGCTTGTGAACTCCCCTGTAAGGGCAAAACCCCACCAACATGGTCACCCTCCATAGACCCCACAGGCCTTCTAAGGGAAGGGACTCCGGGCTCCTTTGCCCAGTGTTCTGGCCCCTCTCTTCTTCTTCTTTCACTTTGTCATCACCTCCAGACCTCCCTGTTCTCTAGCATCCCATGCATAGTAGATAAATCTGGAGATGTTCACTTGGTTTACGAACCTGACGTGAGAAAATATCTCAGGCCACACTTCAAAGTTGCATATCAGTCAGAAGAGTCCCCTGTGATGTTCTCTTTGCCGCCTTGTCCAAGCTCTTGCTACCTCCTGGATACTTATTAGACATTAACAAGCAATCTTAATTTCCCTAAGATTAAGATTCTCTTAATTTTCTTTATTTCTTTACTAAGAAATTATGTCCTTTTGGTGCTGTGCTGGCCAAGACAGAGCAAGCACATTCCATCCAATCACTTCCCCCAATTAATGCTAAAAACGCTGGTCAAATACGGAAGCAACTGCTTGGAAGATTTTTTAAATTGTTAATAGCAGGTGGATTGGGGGCAGAAAGCCATAATTTGAAAAGCAACCCTTACCAGATGAGCTTCCCAGATCCCCCCCACCCCTTTTATCTCCCAACTTTGACCTGGAGCTGGCCCCCAGTGTGAAACTACGCAGCAGGCACACAAAGCAAAATCTCAGAGTAAAACTCTGTCATTCTAGCAGAAGGTCTGGGAAAATAGGAACCTAAGACTTGTGGCTCTGTGAAAGTGTGGGTAGAAGCTTTCTTTCTTTGTCTCTTTTCTCTCTCAACCCTGTTCTGAGGATGGATCCAGTTGCCCAGTGCATGAAGTGGACAGGGGCCTTATGACCCAAAGAGTATGTGTGTGTGGAAGGGAGAAAAACCCTTTTCTCTCTATCTCTATCTCTTTTCTCACTTTACTGCCCAAAACATGGGCCAAGCTGTGCAAATGCATTGGCACAAGAAGTAAAACCCTGAGAGAAAGCCCAACTTTCTAGACAGAGGACCTGGAAAGGTGTCCCTGGAAGCCAGGAGGTGGGAGAAATCTCAAAGAGAAGAGAGAGAGAGGAATTCCTAATTCTGTAAATGAGCCAACACATAAATTCTGGAATCATCCCTGAGCTGTGCATGCACAGGGTAGATCCAAATAACCCTTGAGAAGCACGTGTGCAAGACAGATCCAAAGCAGCACAGCAAAGACCTTAAAAACTTCACAGACATTGAAATTACATCCACAAGGTGAGACAGAATTTGCAGTCTAAACCGTACACCAGGTCGATTGCTTAAAAAAAAAATCAATATTCTCCAGGAGAATTTAACAAGACCAAGAGCCTCACAGCATCATATTAAAAATGTCCAGACTACAATCTAAATTTACTTGACATACAAAGAACGGGATAATGTAATCAGTCCTCAAAGGAAAAGAAAATCAACGGATGCCAATCCTGAGATTACTAAAATGTGGAAGTTAGCAGGTGAAGAAATTTTTTTTCCGGATAAAGACTTTATGTAGACATTTTAAACATGCTCCATGATGGAAAGATGAACACTGCTGAAATGAATGGAAAGATAGATATTCTCAGCAAAGAAATAAAAGGTATTTAAAAAACAGAACCAGGGACGCCGGGGTGACTCGGTTGGTTAAGCATCTGCCTTCAGCTCAGGTCATGATCCCAGGGTCCTGGGATTGAACCTCCGCATCAGGCTCCCTGCTCAGTGGAAAGCCTGCCTTCCCCTCTTCCTCTACCATTCCCTCACTTGTGCTCTCTGGCTCGCTCCCTCTCTCTGCCAAATAAGTAAATAAAGTAAAAAAATAATAATAATAAAAATAAAAAAATAATAAAAATAAAAAACAGAACCAAATGGAAATTCTAGAATTGAAAAAAAAATTGAAACAAAAATTAATTATCTGGGACCAGTAGGAAATTGGAGATTAAATAGAGGGAAGAGTTTATGAACTTGCAGATACATTAACAAAAATTATAAAATCTGCAAAAACAAAGAAATTAGAAAAAATTAATAGGGCTTCAGGGACTTATGTGACACCATCAAAAAGTCTAATCTTCATGTCACCAGAATCTCAGAGAGAAGAAAGATATTGGTGCAGAAAGTGTATCTGAAGAAATAATGGCCTAAAACTCCTCCAGATTTGGTGTAGGATACATATTCACAGATTCAAGATGTTTGGTGAAGCTCTAACAGGATAAACCCAAAGAAATCATGCCCAGACATCTCATAATCAAACTTCTGAAAATGAAGATTAAAAAAAAATCTTGAAAACAACCAAGAAAAAGACAGCACATTGCGTATAGAAAATAATGTTTGAACTATTATAGATTTCTCATCAGAGACTGTGTAGTCCAGAAGACAATAGAATGACATATTTAAAGCAATTGGGAAAGAAAAGCCATCAACCTTGAATTCTAGAATTCTAGCATTTTACATACAATGAAAATATTCTTTAGATATTAAAGTAAAATAAAGACATTCCCAGGTGAAAGAAAACAAACAGAATTTGTCACCTGCAGACCTGTTCTGAATGACAAGCTACAGGAAGTTCTTCAAGCTGAGGAGAAATTTTATCAGAAGGAGACATGGAACTTCAATCATGAAGGAAAAGCAGCAAGAATGGTAAATATTTGGGTAAATGTACCAGACTATTTTTCTCTCAAGTTTAAAAATAGGTAATGGTGGCACCCTGGTGGCGCAGCGGTTTAGCGCCGCCTGCAGCCCGGGGTGTGATCCTGGAGACCCAGGATCGAATCCCGCGTCGGGCTTCCTGCAGGGAGCCTGCTTCTCCCTCTGCCTGTGTCTCTGCCTCTCTCTCTCTCTCTGAATGAATAAATAAATAAATCTTAAAAAATAAAAAAATAAAAATAGGTAATGATTATTGAAAGCAAAAATTATGACATTTTTTGCTGTGTTTCTTCAATGTGCGTAGACTATAGGATAACAGGGAGAAAAGGAACCTATATGCTGAAAGCTTCTGTATTTTCTTGAAGTTATAAAATATCAACTTTACGTAGACTATGAAAATTTAGGTATGTTAAGAATCCTAAGACCCACTAAAATCCTAAAACATTGGAACAAAAAAAAAAAAAAAAAAAACCAGAGACAGAAAACAAATCATAAAGTGGTGGGCTTAAAACCAACCATATTTATATGTAGACAATAGATAATTCTTTTGCTATAAAAGATGAGAAAATCCTGTCATTTGTGACAGCAGAGCAGACCTTTAGGGCATTATGCTAGATGAAATAAGTCAGACAAAGAACGACAAATACCATGTGATCTCACTTATATGTAGATTCTTTAAAATAAAACAATAGGGGATCCCTGGGTGGCTCAGCAGTTTGGCACCTGCCTTTGGCCCAGGGCGCGATCCTGGAGTCCCGGGATTGAGTCCCGCGTTGGGCTCCTGGCATGTTCTCCCTCTGCCTGTGTTTCTGCCTCTCTCTCTCTTTCTCTATCATAAATAAATAAATAAAATCTTTTAAAAAATAAATAAAAAAAATAAAACAATTAACAAGCAAACAAACTCATAGAGAAAAAGATCGTATTTTATGGTTACCAGAGGTAGGTGGTGGGGGTGAGGTGGGAATGGAAAAAGAAAGCCAAAAGGTATAAACTTCCAGTGACAAGATAAATAAATCCTAAGGCTATAATAATTATAGCATGATGACCATAGCTAATACTGCTGTATAATATATGTGAAGGTCATTAAAGGTTCTCATCACAAGGAAAAAAGATTTTTTTGCTCTCTCTTTTTATGTCATCCATATGAGATGATGGATGCTAATCAAACTTATGCAATAATCATTTCACAATATATGCAAATCAAACCACTATGTTATACACCTTAAATTTTTACAGTGATATATGTCAATTATATCTCAATGAAACTGGAAAAAAAAAACCTAACCACATCATTAATTACATTAAATGTTACTGTCTAAACACACCAATTGAAACATAGAAATAATAAGAAAAAAAACACAATACCAAACTAACTATATGCTGTATACAAAAAACCCACTATAAATATAATACTATAGACTAGTTAAAAATAAAAGAATGACAAAAGATATACCACGTTAAGGCAAATCAAAGCAAAGAAAAAGTGGCAGTATTAATACCAGACAAAGTTCAGGACAGCGGATATTCCTAGGTATGAAGAGGGACATTCACTACTGATAAAAGCGTCAACTCATCAAGATGTAGCAATTCTAAATGTGTATACACCTAACAAAATATATGAAGCAAGAAGTGGTAAAGTGAAGGAACAAATAGACAAATCCGTAATTACACGTGGATACTTCAACACTCCTTTCTCGGTAACTGATAGGCTAAGCACGCAGAAAATGAAGAGAGAAATGTATCAGAGTCATATATCTGACAAAAGACTTGTTTTTTTGTTGTTGTTTTAAGATTTATTTATTTATTTATGATAGACATAGAGAGAGGGGGGGGGCAGAGACAGGCAGAGGGAGAAGCAGGCTCCATGCACCGGGAGCCCGACGTGGGATTCGATCCCGGGTCTCCAGGATCGCGCCCTGGGCCAAAGGCAGGCGCCAAACCACTGAGCCACCCGGGGATCCCCCTGACAAAAGACTTGTATCCAGAATATATAAAGAACACTCAAAGCTCAATGATAAGAAAACAAACAATTAAGAAATGAGTAAAAGATTTGGATACTTGAACAAAGAAGTTATATGGATGGCAAATAAATACATGAAATCATGCTCAGCATCATTAGCTACAATTAAATTAGGGCAAAGCAAATAAAATGACAATGAGATGCCACTACCCACTTGGTAGAATGACTAATTTTTTTTTTTAATGAAAATATCAGCTGTGAACAAGGGTGGGAGCAACTGGAACCTTCCTACATTGTTGGTGGGAATGGGAAAGCCGCACCTGAGAAATAGTTTGGCAGTTTCATTTAAAGTTAAATATACACCTGCCATATTGCCCAGCAATGCAATCCTTAGGAATTTACCCAACAAAAATGAAAGCCGATGTTCACACAAAAAACTGAACAGAGATATTTATAGCAGCATTATTCGTAATTACCACAAATTGGAAACCACCCCAAAAGTAAATGGATTAAAAAAAAAAACAACCTGTATCCATGCAATGGACTACTCAACGATGGATACATACAGTAACCCGGATGAATCCCAAATGCCTTACGCAGGGTGAAAGAAGCCAGACTCAGAAGCATGATTCTATTTTGTACTGTTATGATTTGTGCTGTAAGATTCTATTTACCACATTCTGGGAAGGGCACAATGATGGAGACAGAGAACAGATCGGTGGTTGCCAAGGGTTGAGTGTGGAAGAGGGAACTGACCCCAGAAGGGGTATACCCACATGTATTCCCAAATACGGCAATTTTGGGGAGTGATGGAAATGCTCTGTATCTTGATTATAGGGGCGGAGATTGTGACTATACATCTGAGAAAACTTACAGAACCGTATGACCAAAGGGTGAATACTGCTGCATGTAAATTTAAAAATCTTTCAAGGTTAAAAAAGGGAATTATAGTGTAGTAGATTCACAAAATATGTGATATAACATATAACATCAGGAAGCCATTAAAAGCATGTTTACAGAAAGGTTTTAACTTAGGAAGATGCTATAATAAAATGTTAAGTGAAAAAATATGCAAACTGGTGTGTGCAGTATGAGCTGGATAATAATACATTTCTAAACATTTTATTTATTTATTCATGAGAGACACAGAGAGGGAGGCAGAGACACAGGCAGAGGAAGAAGCAGGCTCCCTGCGGGGAGCCCGATGTGGGACTCCATCCTGGGACCCCAGGATCACGCCCTGAGCTGAAGGCAGACGCTCAACCCCCCAGGCATCCCTTGATAATACATTTTTAAAAACCATTTTTAAAAGATAGGCAAATTAGGTGCACCTGGGTGGCTCAGTCGGTTGAGCATCAGACTCTTGATTTCAGCTCCGGTCATGATCTCAGGGTCATGGGATCAAGCCTTGCATTGAGCTCCACACAGTGGTGAGTCTGCTTGAGACTCTCTTTCCTTCTCCTTCTGCCCTCCCCCTACTTGCGCATATGCTCTCTCTCTCTCTCTCTCTCTCTCTCTCTCTCAAATAAATAAATCTTTAAAAAATAAACATAAATAAAAGGTAGAAAAATTATAACCAGTATAACGGATTTAAAAAAAAATTTTTTTGCTTTTTCAAAATTTTACATGCTTTCAAATTGGCAGCAACAAGCAATCCCCTATTACTTTTACAATCACCTGCCCCCAAGTAAGTAAGGAACTCACTTATACTGAAAATTGGGTACATTTTAAGTACAGCAAATTAGAAGACAGCGGGGGGCTGGTCGGTGGCACTGACAGAGTCGCCTACCTTTGTGACTGATCTTTCATCTTAAATAGTGTCAGGATAACTTCATCGGTGTAGGTCTGGGCCAGCAGGTAAAGGATCTTCTCTATGGTCCCTTGGGCCGTGGTTTCAGTGATGCTGTTCATATTGTGGTAAGTGTACTGGATGATTTCTGGCACCTGAAGTGGGGTCAGGAGGAGCAAGGTTCGTCCTGGACACTCATCAGCAACTCCTCGGGACGTGGATAACTAAGCAACCGTATAAAGTGTGTGGGTGCACACCGGTGTGAACCGGTTCCCAGCAGTCACTGCCCCACTCTGGTCAGGCCACAGCTGTGTGCCTGGGGGCTGTCGTGTCCCCCATATTTTAAGAGGGACAAAATGAAGAGCAGCAGGGAAGGGTGACTCGAGTCATGCCTGGAAACCACGTCACGAGGAATGAAGCAAGTGTCAGGGATCAGTAACCTGGAGAAGTGAGGACAGGAGGCATAAAGCCTATTATTAGGGAAGGGGGGGCGCTCCCGTCTCACAGTTTACCAGCCATGTGGACTCAGCAGTGTCCCTCGTGGTGAACAGTACAGGTCCTGGAGTCATAGTGCCTGAATTTGAACCTCACTTACCAGTTGTGTGACCTTGGGCAAGTTTTCCACCTTTTCTATGTGTTACTTCTGTTAATTCCTCATATAGAAAATGAGAACAACCTAACTCACCTCAATAGTTCTAAGCTAATACGTCTACAGTGGTTGGAACAGTGTCTGCCACATAATAGTGTTCGAGAAACTTCAGTTATGAAAACTCTTAGCCTCCTTGAGCTTTTTCCCCATTTCTCAAAAGAGAACCATTACTTCCTTGCAGACCTGGTGTAAGAGTTCAGTAAAACAACAAGGGGATGAGGCTAGCAGAGCGCGTGGCACCTAGTCTTAGTAAAACCTGGAGAGGAACTGATTTCTGCATAACTCCAAAAAAGCAAATGTGGGCCAGGGGCTGGAAACTACGGGGATGAAGATTTCAGTGCCCAATAAGGGAGAACTTTCTAATAACGGAAGTGATTCGCGAATTAGGATGAGCTATGTGGCTTAAGGTAGTGAGCTTCCCGAAAGTGCCTTCAGCAGAGTCTGGCTGCCGGAGGGTCAGGAGGGCTCCCGAAGGGATTACAGGCATTGAGTGGGGAGGTTGCAGGGCTTCACCTCGGGGGTGGCCTTCAGCTCTAAGAGCTCACTCCTGGTCTGCTCTGAGGCATTCAGATGGCTCTCCGGGCCAGAGGGAGTGGTAAGGGTGAGACGCAGGATAATAACTGAACCTCTTGTAGAGGTGTCAGGAGCAAGACAGAGGGGCAGGTTAGGCCACTGGGATGAGAGTGAACCGATCAATCGCTAAGACCTTTAATAACGGGATAAGAAAGAAACATAAGTCAACTACGCTATCTTACTTTCACTAAGAACCAGTCCCACGTCTGGCAAAAGTCTCTGTATTCCACCTGTGGTTCATGTCAGTGTCTCACAAATTCATACATATATAGGAAATATGATATGATAGATACATAAGATATATGTGAAATAGAGCCGTATGACATATAGATCTAAGAAATAAATTGATCAATAGATCGATAGATGGATAGATCGATCAGTGAATAGATGGATAGATGATCTCTGTGCTTTCTCCCACCTGTGCATCCACAGACCTAGCACAGTGTTTGGAAGCAGAAGGGACACTGGTCCTCAGACCCCACAGGAGTCTCCTGCTATAGCTTTGACTCCCTTCTTCCCTTCCTGGAGGAGCCGAGGCCAGCGTGTCACCCTTTCCCATGGAAGGGCCGTTCACACAATCGCAAACAACTCCTCATTTGACTTTTTCTCCTCTCAGTTGAAGGATTTCAATTCCTTAAACCTCAACCAGTAGGAAATAGAACCAGATCCAAAGCAGAAAGGGAGAATTCTTAAATGGGCCTTGAGTCAGGAAGTCCCTCAGCGCTGGTACCTTCCCGATTTCCGGCAGTGAGTGCTTCAGGATCATCTTTAGCATCTTGGAAGCCGCACAGACGTCATGCCTGCTGGCACTGCTCATAGTCTCCATTGACACCATGATCACATCTGCTCTCTCTTCAGGGGTCAGGTATTTCCGGAAGAACTGAAGAAAGAAGAGCAGCAGCTGTCTCTGCAATGTCGGCATCCCACACTGGGATTGCACAAAACCTCTGGACTCCAGAGCGGCCAGCCAACCGGGGTCCCGTGGAGGCAGCCCCTGGCCAGCACCTAGCTATTCCACGGTGTGAGGCCAGGCTCCCGAGTGTTACCAGCTCTAAGTACCCAGGTAAGAGCAACTGTCCAGACAGCGTGATACAGAGAACAACGCAAAAGGTATTTGTATTTGGAATCTGGAACGTGATTCGGGGATCCCACTTAGAAGTGAGTTCTGATGTGTTGTGGGTTCAGAGCATTCCCAAGCAAGAAGTGACTGCTACGGTCTAACACAGGCGCGCCTCGTGTTTCTGAGTCCACACACCCCAGCGAAGCTCTCCGCTCACACCGGAAGGAGCACCCAACTCCGTGACTGGCTCTATGCCAGGAGCTGGGGAAGCCCACACAGAAGACACCCCCTGCCTTCGCCCTCAAGGACCGTATCGTCACGTAGGGCAGGTAGATAAGCAGTCATGGTGCCGTGGGGAAAATGCCAGAAAGGGACATAGTGAGGGCATCGAAGCTAGACTTGCAGGACTGGACAAGGCTTCCTGGAAGAAGTTCCTCTGAAGTCCACCCTTGGTGAAAACTGGGGCAAGATTTCCAGGCAGCGAACAGGCCGTGCAAGGGCCCGGGGAAAGCGGCGTTGAGTGGGGCGGCGCCCGCGGGGGCCCTGGACCCGGAGGGGAAGGGGAGTCCAGACTAGGTGGGGCGGGAGTCGCCAGGAGCCGCGTCCTGCAGGGCCTCGCTGGCCTGTGGAGTCTGGCTTGTAGCATAAGCCCCACGGGAGGTCGGCGCGAAGTCTGGAGGGGACTGGGACGATGATACGTGCCCTTGCGAACTGTCCGATGACAGCGCAGAAACGGGTGTGGCGGGGGGCACGGTGGGAAACGGGGTGATCAGTCGGAGGCTGCCGCGATAACCCAGGCAAGACGTTGATGCTGGACTGAATCGGGGTGGCCGCGGTGGCCTGGGGCAGAGGGGAGGAACTCGAGGCCATTCGGGGTGAGAAGGGGCAGACGCGGGACTGAACCGGCCGCAGAAAACGGCGGGCAGGAGGGAGGGAGGGCCGTCCGTGGGTTTCGGGCTGGCACGGCTGAGCAGCCCACGCGGGGACACAGCGTTAACACCAGCAACCCCTCTGCTGATCAAACAGATTAAAGCGAGGCCGTGAGTAGAGGTACAGGGCGCAGTCTGTGGGGCAGGAGGGCTTGACGCTGCCCCTATTGTACAGACTCCCTCGATGGCCTCAAGCGTCACTCAGGTCCAGTGCCGCGCGAGGAGTGGGCCTTAGTCCTCCCGCAGGCTGCCCGTGAGACCTTGAACTCGGGGCCCAGCTCCCCGGGTAGGGGAGCCTCCTCCGTGACCCCAGCCAGGCCCTCTTTGTGACCTCTACCCAGACACCCTTCTCCCCCACGGACCCCCCCGTGCGGCCCCCCACGCCGCGGAGAGCAGCGGGTACCATGGTGAGACTCTGGATGTTGGCAAACCATCCTCCCCGGAAATGCTTCTGCAGCTCCTTCAGGATGCCCTCCGTCTTCTGCTTCAGACCTCCGATCCAAGCACAATTACGGGGCAGGGCCTTAACAGGGAGCAAGGGGCACCCGCTCCCTCCCTGCCCGGCCCAATGGGGAGGGCTCCCCAGCTCCAGGCCGAGGGGGAGGGCTGTATCTGGGCAGGTGGCTGTATCTGGGCAGGTAGCCGAGCCACCTCGAGGGCCCCTCCACCCTCACCCCACAGCTGAGCAGTGAAGAAGCACATCTTCTCGAATCATAAAAAGCCAACGTCTCTGAAACTCCCGGGAGGGCATGCTTGCCAATTCCCCTAGCACCTCCGTAAGCGAGCGGGGCTGTCTGTATCTTTGGTTTTTCTGGGGCCAGAGAAGGTCTAGACCAAACGTCCCCAAGTCTGTTCCCTGAGAAAGGATGCCGATTTTCCCAGTCGGGCACCCAGCACTCGTGACGGGCTCTCCCAGGTGCCTGCGAACCTAGCTCCCCCTTTTTTCCAAGGCTCTCCTAGAGTCTTTTAAAACAGGGCCCTGCATCAGCCGTGGTTTGGGGGTCCCGGTGCCCCTGCAGGAGAGAACTGCCCTTCGGTGTGCCCGACACAAGGGAGGCACTCGATGACCGCTGCTCCTGTCACTCAGCAGGGCCCCGCAGCTGCAGACCCGGGACAGTCCGGGCTCCTATCACTTACTTCTATGAAGCACAAGGATTTTGAACAAGTAATGCAGTGCCTCCGAGGCCTCTGCGCTGATCTCGTAGTTGGCGTTCATGCAGAACAGGCCTAGGATGCCCATGAGCTTCCCACTGATGGAGAACTCCGTCAAGTGCTGTCAGGAAGAGGAAACCGTTACCTCTCCACCATCCCCAAAGCAGCTTCTCCCCACCATAGCCACCCGCCCCCTCCAACCTCCCCTTCCTTCCCACATCACTGTTATTTGCTTGTGTGTGGCCCCTCTCACCCACCAACCCCACACCCCGGCCTGGAGTGGGGAAACCTCCTGAAGCGACACCCCGGGCAATGGGGCAGCCAGACGCCTGAGATATGTTAGCCAGTGGGAAGCTGTGCAGGCCACGGCCTCCCACCAGACTGAGATGTGTCTGGACGATCTGAGTTTACTAGGCTAAGGCCAATATCCCATAGAAGCAGGAAAGGCATCCGTGGTAAATAAACACATCAGTAATAAGGTGCTCTCGTTAAGCCCTGCAGAGGCTCGGGCTCGGTCAGCTGCTCCGTGTGCAGAGAGGCCAGGTTCCCGGGCCAGCCTTCCCCCCACCCCAGGCACTCACCGACAGTTCTGGGAAATTGCAAATAAACCTCAGCATCCGGGAGATGGTGCCCAAGGCCCGGCTCTGTTCGTGCACTTTCTCTGACAGCGTTAACCAAGGCAAGATGATCTGGAAAGGCAGCATAGAGACACCATCGATGCCTTCTACGGGAGGACTGCCCTCGTCCCCCCTTGCTCTGAGCCTACATCCCCGACTGCCAGAAAGACAAACAGACGCTCGCTTGCTTTGGCAGCACGTATACCAAAAAGGAAATCAGAGCATCTATTGTCAGGGGTTGGGTTGGGCAGAGCCATTGAGGACAGAGTCACGTGATGGGGGAGGACAGCTCTGTAGCTTGACCGTAGTTGTGTAGACTTGACTGCATTTGTCAAAACCCGCAGAACTATCCACTAGGAAGGGTGCACTATACTGTATGTAAATCCTACCTTAATAAAAATACCAAAAAAAAGCAAAGACAAAAAAAGAAAGAGAGAGAGAGAGAGAGAAAGGAGCCCTTGGGAAGACTAAATAGACCTTACATATTTTTTTCCAAAATTAATCCTCTTTCTGATCCCACTGTGCAAGGTCAAATATGAAACAAATGATGTATTATGTGATCAAATAATTTTTGTAGGAACAATTATGTCTAAAATAGACACACTTGATTTTTTTTTGTTTTCAGAATTACCTCCAAGTAGTAAATATAATCTAAATTTTGTTGCATAAAAAAAAATCTTATTTTTATCATTTAAATTTCATTCAGCAAGATAAGTTGACAAGTAAAATTCTGGAAGGTATTTCAGGTGGTGCCTTTGGGGAGCACCATTTGTCTTTGGATAATGAGGACTCCAGGAATGTATTTCCTGAGGACCCCACCCTGATGGAGAACCCGAGCTCTGCATCTCCGTTCCCCATAAACTCAAACTGCAACAGTGCATTTAGGAGTCCGCTTACAGCGAACGTACTTGCAAAGCACAGAAATGTTTCTCAACAAATGTACCGGAAATAATACATTGCAAAAAAAACCATGTCCCTGATCCCAATATGGATATGTTTCCTCCCTAGAAACGGCCCTCGTCAAAGTGTTTTTCAAGATATCCAGGCGATCCTGTCTCTGTTTTGGTTGTCACATATAATGTTTTATCCAAAATTGTGTCGTCCTCACTAGTTACCATCTTGTTGATGAAAGTTGGTTTCGGGCAGCCCGGGTGGCCCAGCGGTTTAGCATCGCCTTCAGCTCAGGGCGCGATCCTGGAGACCTGGGATCGAGTCCCATGTCGGGCTCCCTGCATGGAGCCTGCTTCTCCCTCTGCCTGTGTCTCTGCCTCTCTCTCTCCCTCTGTGTATCTCTCATAAATAAATAAATAAATAAATAAATAAATAAATAAATAAATAAATAAAATCTTAAAAAAAAAAAGAAAGTTGGTTTCAAGTGATTCTGGGCTATTCAAAGTCACCCACAAAGAGATGATGATGGATCGTAACTAAGAATATTTGGAAGGCTCTTAAAGACAGAGAGAGGGCAATGCAGGGAGTGGCCTCCAAGTCATCGTGATGCTCACGGAGGTTTGAGACCCGATGGCCTCTGGGCTGGAAAGGCCCCCAGACTATCGTGAGTCCTTGTCTTTCCTCCCAGAAGACCAGATTTAACGCAGGGCTTCAGTTTCCCTGACTTCTACAGCCACTTACCTCCAGGAAGTTCTGCAGTATGAGCATATTGGGTTCCATATCCTCCATCACGAGAGCTTGTAACATGTCATCTAAGGCTTGGATCGTCTGACGAGCGAGGGGGAGGCGTGGAGTGTAGGAGGACCAACAGCCGCCGCCGGCCTGGCTCCTTGGGGGCACCCCCCATGTTCCTCAGACCCCTCCTCAGGAGCAAGGAACGCAGGGCCCAGCCCTGCCGCCACACTCTGAGCTTCCCAAGTGCTGATCTTCCTTGACCTCCCTGAAGACCAGACCAGGGCCGGCCCAGATTGGGGCCCAAATAGTAAAATGTAGGCCTTGGGCAGTTCTCCCCAACACATTCAATCCCCGTGAGATTCTCACCATTAGGGATTCATTCTGCTAGATTAAGGAAAGTTCTATTTTTAAACGTGAAAGTTCTTCAGATTTGGCAGTCCAAATCCGAATCTGCTGTGGAACTAGAGAAATGAGAGCCTCGGCGAGAGAAGACATGGGCAATGTGGGAGCAGGAGCCACTCCCTAGGGAGACGGGTGACAATGAGGCAGCGGGGTTACTCCTAGGCAGCACGAGGACCACGAGGACCACGAGGCTGTGAGCTCCCGAAGGAGGGGTCAGGGAGGACAGGGGGAGGGCCCAGGAGCTAAGAAGACAGAGGAAGCCTCTGAAGACAAATCCCTCCCATGGAGACCTCTACCAGGAGGCGATGGTGGTGATTACCTGGAGGTAGAGACTAGCGCTCTCCTTTCGGTCTAGACTGGGCATGATAAGTGGCAGAGAGAATATGCTAGAGATGCAGGCATTTACCAGGTCCAGTTTCTGGGATAAGTAGAACGGTGGATTCACCTGGCTGGTGAGGAGGAGGAGCGACAAGAGAGCGTTGGAGGATAGGAGTGACAGGCTGGCTTATGCTTCTAGGACCCAATGGTAGAACCTGCTTTGCTGTCCTTTCTGAGCCACAGGAAACACTTTTCAATGGCCTCCTTGCCCGGAAAAGAGGTCCCTGGCTTCTTACGGAGCCTTCCCTACCTACACCAGGTGTCCTAACAGGCTTCTAATAGTGAAACTGGGGATACCTCTACCACCCCTGGATGCTGGTAGAGGAGGTTGCAGCCATGGGGCCCTGCCACCCAAGCCCAAAACTGAAGCCTGCAAATCTTGCCCTTCCTCTCAACCCAAACATCCTCAGCATCGGAGACCCAGGAACTCAGGGGAGGTAAAAGCAAGGAAGGAACCTCAGAGCCACGATGCAGAGCATGGCTTGCGGACGCACATTGCTGACCAAGGCCTCGGTGATTTCTTCAAGGATTAATACCTAGAAGAGCCAGGAAGAAACAAGAATTTCCCTCAAAGAGAGATGCCAGCTCTTGGCTCTGGGACTTGGTCATCCTCATTCCTGGATGACCACCTCCCAGAGAGCTTGGGTCTTCCTCACCTCAATTTTCCTGGCCAGAACGGCTTTGGAAAAGTAATCATTCATATTGCCATTTGGCTGGGCATGAACAGCGCTGCTCAAGGTTTCCACAGCCCTCAGGAACTTCAGCTTTTCCAACTCGGACTAGGAAAGAACACAGAAACAACCTGCCCGTGAGCCAGGCACCTGCAGACTGCCCCCCGGACCGCGCGCCTCACAGCCAGCCCAGACCTCAGAGCAGCCAGGACGGATTAGCCCACTCGATGTCCTCAGCACAGTTCCCGCATCCCCTACACTGACCCTCATCCATGTCCCGGCCTCCTCACAGGCCTCTGGGGACAATGGAGCTAGGGGCCCACGAGGAAGATTCTTTTGTACAGATCCTGACTTCTGGCTTGACCTCAGACTGTCCAGGTCAGAAGGCAAAAATGGGCTGAATTTCGGGGTAGGACGCTTCAACAGCTCAGTTGATTACGCGTCTGACTCCATTTCGGCTCAGATATCAGGGTTGTGAGATTGAGACCCACAAGGCTCAGCACGGAGCCTGATTAAGATTCTCTCTCTCCCTCTTCCCCTCCCCACCTTCTTTCTCTCTCTAAAAAACAAAAATAAATGAATGAATGAATGAATGAATGAATGAATAAATAAATAAATAAATAAATAAATAAATAAAATGCTGAATTTCAGGTAGCTTTCAAGCCAAGGCTAGAATTCAGAAACCAAGGACGTTGTCATTTTTTCCTAGTTTCCTCATCAACTCTCTAAAAGGTTCAGAGAATTTCCTTACCCCTTGTCCTTGATCTAGAAACTCCGCAATGAGTTCGTAGGCATCTCTTTCTGACTGGCGCAATCCTGCAAAGGGATGTAGTCGGGAGGCGTTTGGCTGATTATCTCAGATGGAACAGGAAAGCAGGGCCCGCCTACCCCCTACCTTCTCCCAAGAAGGCTCAGAAACCATGAGAGCCTGGGTGGGTGTCCCAGCTCAAGAACCAGCTTCTCCAGGCCTATGGCCTGGTGCGGATCTCCGAAGCCTTAGTGGAGAAGCAGTCACGTGGGGACTCAGGTAAGAGCCCTTCTGTGTCAGGAACGGCCAGGGATGGAGGCGCAGTTGTAAAGAGAGAGACTTTTAAGTCACCCCCAGCGGCCACAAAGTATTGGAGCTGTCCTAGACAGGCTTTGAAATCCTGAATGTGAATGGACCTGAAACCTCAAGGCGGCCTTGGGAGCTTCCTTGTCACTTGGGGCCGGGATGGGGCCTCTGGGAAAGCCTCCCTGAGTAGGGACTCAGGTGAAGGCACAGAGGCTGGGGAGTAATGGTAAGAACAGAGCCTGTCCACCCCAACGGGTGTGAGGAAGGGACGAATCAAGAGGCTGGAGATGGTAGCAACGTGAGGGCCGGAAGCCACGGAAGCAAGGAGACCTGAGTTCAGGCCCCTTGACGCTGTTGGACCAACAGGGTGCTCTGGGGTGGGGCTTGGGGCCACGGCACAGCTGTTAAAAATCAAACCGCCTGAGTTCCAAGCTCGGCTCTTCTACTTTCTTGGCCCTGGGAGCTTCCGCAAGGCAAACTCACTCAACTTTTGTTTCCCCATCTGTACAATGACGGAGACGCTAGTACCTGTTACTGTTGTGATGATTGAATGAATGAATGCGTGTCAGGAACAACCTTGCGCAGATTAAACGTCCCCGCTTCAGTTTTGTCATCCTAACATGTGGGGATGACAATCACGGTATGTAGTATAATACTCATGAGGTTTCAATTCATTCATTCGTGTGAAAAATTAGGATAATCCCTGACCCATAGCAGGGAAAAATCAATAAATTCACTCTGTGGCATACATTTATCGAGCACCTTCTGTGTAAAAGGCACTCCCCTAAGCAGAGCTTACAGACACAGCTACCAAGTGGTTCCTTCGTAGAAATTAGTTACTATCGTTCTTTTTTGCGTTTGGTCATACAGGTTTGCATATATACGCAGGAGGTCAGAGAAAATCTCATTAACTAAATTTGAATAGTCTTCAAGGGCCACTCCCTCAAGCGAGGCCCAAACTATACAGATACCGAGGGAAAGATCATTCTAGGCCAAAGGAACAGCCAGTGCAAAGGCCCGGAGGCAGGATCACGCCTGCATGTTCATGGAACAGCAAGGAGTGTGCACCTGGAGCGACAGAGAAGCGGGGAGAAGCGTAGGAGACACAAGGAGGGCAGTAACGGGACGGATCGGGAGGGCCTTGCGAGGCCCAAGGCAAAGACTACTGTCAGGACTTGGCCTTTGGCTCTGATAAAGCACGCTCCGGATAAAAGAGCAGCGTGGTCCGACTGCTGTTTAACAAGATCACGCTGGCTGTTCGGTTGAGAACAGAGAGGCGTGGCAACGGAACACGGCAGGGCCGTGGGAGCGGGCCCCCCCGAACAGCCGTGAACCCCGTGAGCCTTAAAACGAGGCCCCAGTGTCGTCTTCCCTCCCCAGCTCCAGGCTCCTCGTGGAGGCAGGTCTGAAAACGGACAGGGAACAGAGCCCGGAGCTGTGAAGGGGGCAGCCAGGGGTGGACAGACTCGTGCCCGTCAGGTGACACCTCACGCCGGCGCCGGGCAACGCCATCCCCTCTGGGACTGCAGTGAATTGAAACACAGCCCGGTCCAAGGCCAGCTGCTCACCGCGTAAGTTAGGATTCCAAGGGAACTGGCCAGTCGACTGCGAAAAAGTCGTTCTGTTGGACTTTGGCTTCCGAGGATGTGGATTCATCTGCATCCTCGGGGCGGCAGCCTGCAGCTCGTGATGAGGCCCACGAGGCCGCTTAGCCGGGTCGGGCCCCGGGGGCTCCGTCCTAGGGAAGCTGCAGGAGGCAACCGTTTATGAGAAGAGGGACGGGCTGCGCCGCACCAGCGCCCGCTCCCACCATCCGCTTCCCTCTCCCTCCTCACGGGAAGATACGGGGCCCCGGGTCACCCCGACCTGCCTACGGGTCTCCCGGAGGCCTCGCCACTGTCTGAAATGCAGAGCCAAGCGCCCACGGGGTCCGTCCTCTGCCTCTGACCCGAAAGGCCTCTGGGCGTCTCGTTGCTAAAGCCTAGAAAGCTGTGGCGGAGGCCTCTGTTCCCATTCCCCAGTCCACAGTCGGGGTCTGGCCTGTGGTAAGGGAGCTAAGAGCCCCCCCATGTCTGCCCCTCCCAGACACGGCCCGGGAACGCCTGCCTGTGGACCAGGAGGCCACGGCCTGAGCCAGCTCCCTCGCCGCCCTGCACCCCGGGCCCCAACCCGTGTACCCCGTTGCTGGCTGTCTTCCAAGAGCCTGGGCACCCCTCCCCTCTGTCTCCCCGTGCTAGCCCACCTCTGCCATCCTGTGCTGGGGGGCTTCCTCCGCCGCCAGGTGGTGCCCTGGGTGGGTCACCCCCCACTGGGGGAGGGCAGTAAGCCGCCTGCAGCACAGGGTCAAGCACCCCGTTGTGGGCAGTTCAGCGAAGGTGAAGGTCCACGGCCAGGTGCGGTCTCCTCCAGGGACCGCTGGAGTCCCCCTCCCTCCACCTGCGCCCCCCCCATGCGGCCCCCCACGCCCATCAGGCCTAAGAAAGCCAAGCCCCCGAAGCCCACAGATTCCCAGTGTCCCCGAAGCCCTCCCTGCCCCCCACCCCGCCCCCAGCCACCTGCCCCGTCTGTCTGTCCGTCCGCCCGCCCTCACCTGCCGCCCTGGGCGCCCCGACGCCACTCGGCCTCCCAGGCTCTGTGGCCTCCGGGGCGCTGTGCTCGCGGGCCCCGCAGCGGCCCCTGCAGGCCAGGCGGGGAAGTGCGCCAGGCGGGGGGGCCCCCCTGCTCCGGCCTGCGCCCCAGGGCCCGCCAGGGTGCAGGGGGCCACCTGGGGGGGGGCGGGGGGGCGCCCTCCTCGCCACCCCACGCTCCCCAGTTTTCCGCTTTGCGGGAGGCGCTGCTTCCCACCGGAACCTCCACCTGGGTGGGCAAGAGCCCCAGCTTCCCCGAGGGGGACCCTCACCAACCCCGGCGGAGGCCTTGGGGACCCCTGAAGCTGCAGCGCCCTCCCGCCACCCAGAAAGGGGCTCCCAGAGCCCCCCGCATGCCCTCCAGCAGGGGCTGCTCCTCATTGCGCCCTATCAGGGAGGTAGAGAACCTGGGGGCCCCCCTCCACCACCCCGGCCACCCCACGCACCCCAGGACCCAGCCACTCCAGGCAGGCGTCTTGGGCAGAACCTCTGCTCAGAAACTTGGCACAAAAGAACCCTTGTCATCACCTCGATCCATCACAAGGCACAGACTTTATTGACATACTTGGCACCGCACCCCCACAGCTCCAGCCTCGCAGCCTAGGAGGCAGCCCCTGCAACTGTACCAGGCATCGCCCAGGACCAATAAGTTAACATAAAGGACGCTCACGTGTGTGGGGTGCTCGGATGTCTCCTGGCTCAGCCTAGGGGAGCTCTGGGCTCCCGGGGGGACACAGGGAGGGGAGCTGCCCGTACACCCGTGAAAGGGGCTTAGAGACAAAACGAAAGAACAGAATCCAGAGGAGGACATCGGAAAGTAACGGGGCCACAGTCCACCCCAAACGTGGGGGAGCTGCAGGATGTGGGAAGAGCGCAGTGACGGAAATACAGGTGCTGCCTCTCAGGCTCTCTTCTTCCCCACATTCCTCTGACAGGCCACCTACATCGCCCCCTCGGCCACCTCGCGCAGTTGGCGACACGGCCTTCTGTCCAGTGTGTTTTTCCAGGGTCAGGCATCCGTGTTCTCGGAGGTTTAAGCTGTTCTCGTAGTCTCTGTGCAAGTCCAGGGCCCTGGAGGGGAAAGGGTTCTGCAGGGGCAGAACCAGAACTCAGCCCTCCCTCGCCTCTGCTCGGTGCATTCTCCTGGGAGCAGGGGATCTGAGGGCAAAAGGGCTCTAGGATGAGAACCCAGGGACTATGGGATGGTCTGAGCACAACCAGTTTCCAGGCCTGCTCAAGTCTCAGCGGATGGGACCGTTAGTGAACGCCCTTAAGCGTGAGTATTCCCCTGTTTGTAAAAATAAGGACTTGCCCCGTTTCAAGGAAATCCAGTCTCAGAGCAGAAGCAAAGCTGGGTGAGGAGTAGAAGGGGCAGTGACCCCCACCTCCTCCCATGTGAACATGCCACAAACATGGTGCCTTTCCAAAATTATCTGGAAGGCGTGGCTTTTAGGACTATAATGAAAAAGGTGGGGTTGCAAGCCTTCCCGATGCCCAGAGAAGGTGGTCAGAGCGTGAGCTGCCCTCCACCAAACGAGGGCTAGCACAGGCCAGCCCCTAGCCCGGGCTGCCGAATGCTACAATCTGGTGAAGCCTCACTTTCAAGGCTCAGAGGTCTGAGCGGTTGCAGGAGCCCAGAAGGCACAGAAGGCATATGGTGAGTGACTGGGACCCCTACGTATGTGTGTGTGGGGGGGGGTTATGGGGTGAGAAAAATAGTGGGGTCCCTCCAGGAAGACAACACTCCACCGGGACGTATGATCTTTGCCATACCACTTCCTGTGTGCATCACAGAGCACATTACAAAGGGGGAAGGAGATTCACCCCCTCCCCAGGCACCCCGACAGCACCCAGCTCTCTGGGAAACTGGGGGCAGGGGAGCCACACTAGCATGCCTCCAGCTGCAGGGAGACAGGCGCTGTTCTCTGGGGACGTTCTCTGAGCCAGAGGATAGAGTCTGTGAGGAAGCTCAATGTGGCCCCCTCTTCCTCATGCGTCCCCTGCCACCTGTCTTGCAGAAGGAGACAAATGCCATCAGACAGGCAAGGCCTCAAGTCTAGTAGACCAACCTCTGGGGAATAAAGCATCATCATATTATAGGGATCTTGAGGACAAATCACAAAATATAAATCCTAACGCCAGGGATTCTGAACAAAAACCATTAAAAAAAGGGGGAAAAAAAAAAGGCTCAGCCACGGCTCATCGACCTGCGATGGGGGTAAAGGAGCTGAAGAAGGCACTCAAGGTGGGAGGGCTCAGCGCCAGCCCCGCTGTGGATCAGTCTTTTCCGGCAACTGGGCCAAGGCGTTTGGGGCACACGGTGACACTGGCCTTGGTTACACCTGGCTGCTGATCTCGCCCTTCTCAGGCACAAAGACTTGCACGGGGGCCCCTTCGGGTGATCTCCGGGGCACATACACTGTGGCCACCTGCCAGAGTCAGGAAGAAAGGAGAGATCTGTGAGCAAACCAGGTAGAAATGTCCAGACAGCAAACGCAGGCACGCCGTCCCTGTCCCTTCAGGACACGCCCCCAGCCACTCAGCCCCGGCCCCGGCCCCCGGAGGTTCTACGTCCCCCAGTGACTGATCACCCTTTATCTATTTCCCACCCCAGCTTTCTCTGGGGTGTGACAGGCACCCTGGCCTCCTCCTCCCCGCCTCTCCTGGGCTCACTTTCTTGTCACCCTCCCTGTCGGACAGGTTGGGATGGGCTGGGCCTGGGCTAGGACAGGTCCAAGCTGGCAGGAAGGGAATAACAAAAGCACATCAGCTGGAGGGTGCGGCCTGGGACCAGGGCCAGGCTGCTGTCAGGCCAGGATGCCAGGCCAGGATGCCAGCTGCAGCCCAGAGAACTGGCGGGTGGGGGAGGGACGTGCAGCTGGGCCGACTCGGAATCTCGGGCCTCAAAGCAGCAGCCTGTTGGTGACTTCTGGAGCACACCCCCTGCGGAGTCCTCCGTACCAGGGGGAAAGAGGACAGGAATCGTGTGTTACCCCCACTTCCAGAATGAAAACCTGAGCCATCGAAACCAGAGCAGACACCCTCACCTCTCGTCAGAGTGCTCTATCTCATCCTCTGGTCCCTGACCCACCACAGTACCACTTACGAGCCCTTTCCACACGCTACTCCGATCATTCTGCACATAAGAACTCATTTAAAGTTCGTGGCCCCCTGAGATGGACAGTTGTCCGCTCATTATCACGTCCAAGTCACAGGGCTGAGACCTGAACCCCCTAGCCTAACTTCAGAGTCCCTGCCCTTAGCCACCAGCCACGGGGCTTCTCCGCCCTGAGGTGTGCAGGGCTGCCCCGAAAGGACACGGACCCACGGGCAATCGCAGGTCCTGGCGTCTACAAACACGTTTTCAGACTCTCTTTGTCCTGAGCCTCCAAGTCAGGAAATTTGGGAGTTAATTCAGATTGGACTTGTGATTACCAATTGAGGCTTATCTGCTTTGCGGATCGCCCGCCCGTGGAGCGTGGAGCGGTTAAGGAGAAACTCCTCTGCTCCGCCCAGGGTTACTACCTCCAGCCCAGTACCTGGGTGCTCGCCCCTGAGCCGAGGCAAAGTCAGGAGGTGGCCCGGGGGGTCACGAGGGCCTCCCAACACCAGGAGGAAATGGTTTCAGCGCTGGATCGGGCCGCCACCTCCCTGCTGGCCTCCTGGCCCTGTGCTCTGGGAGCTGCTGGAATCGCAGCCCTTTCCCCAGCTGAGGGCCCTGGGCCCCCTGAGCCTCCTGAGCTCCCCGAACCCCCTCGTGACCCCTGAGCCTCCAGGGCCCCCCGAGTTCCCTGAGCTCCCCAAGCTCCCCGAGCTCCCTGTGACCCCCAAGCCCCCGTGACCCCCAAGCCTCCCAAGCCCTCCTGTGAGCCTCGAGCCCCCCCCAAGTCCCCCAAGCTCCATCACCCCCGAGCCCCCTGAACCCCCCTCTGAGCCCTGAGCCCCCCAAGCCTCCTGAGCTCCCTGTGACCCCTGAGCCCCTGTAACCCCGAGCCTCCCAAGCCCTCCTGTGAGCCCTGAGCCCTCTGTGAGCCCCGAGCCCCACCAAGCCCCCGAGCTCCCTGTGACCCCTGAGCCCCCATGACCCCTGAGTTCTCTATGACCCCCAAGTCCCCAAGTCCCTCAGCCCCCCAAGCTCCCTGTGACCCCCAAGTCCCCTGAGCTCCCTGTGACCCCTGAACTCCTCGAGCTCCCCGTGACCCCCAAGTTCCCCGAGCTCCCTGTGACTCCTGAGCCCCTTGAGCTCCCGGTGACCACCGAGGCCCCCGAGCCCCTTGAGCTCCCTGTGACCCCTGAGCCCCCCAAACCCCCGTGACCCCCGAGCTCCCTGAACTCCCTGTGACCCCCCAGCCCCCCGCGACCCCCAAGCCCCCCGAGCTCCCTGTGACCCCCAAGCCCCCACGACCCCCAAGTCCCCTGAGCTTCCCGTGACCCCTGAGCCCTCATGACCCCTGAGCTCCCCGCGACCCCCAAGCCCCCGAGCTCCCTGGGACCCCCCAGCCCCCACGACCCCCAAGTCCCCTGAGCTTCCCGTGACCCCTGAGCCCTCATGACCCCTGAGCTCCCCGCGACCCCAGCCCCCGAGCTCCCTGGACCCCCCAGCCCCCACGACCCCCAAGTCCCTGAGCTCCCGTGACCCCTGAGCCCTCATGACCCCTGAGCCCCCCGACGACCCCCAAGCCCCCCAGCTCCCTGGACCCCCCAGCCCCCACGACCCCCAGTCCCCTGAGCTCCCGTGACCCCTGAGCCCTCATGACCCCTGAGCCCCCCGCGACCCCCAAGCCCCCCGAGCTCCCTGGGACCCCCCAGCCCCCACGACCCCCAAGTCCCCTGAGCTCCCCGTGACCCCTGAGCCCTCATGACCCCTGAGCTCTCTATGACCCCCGAGCCCCCTGAGCTCCCTGTGACCCCCCAGCCCTCACGACCCCCAAGTCCCCTGAGCTCCCCGTGACCCCTGAGCCCTCATGACCCCTGAGCTCTCTATGACCCCCGAGCCCCCTGAGCTCCCTGTGACCCCCCAGCCCTCACGACCCCCAAGTCCCCTGAGCTTCCCGTGACCCCTGAGCCCTCATGACCCCTGAGCCCCCCGTGACCCCCAAGCCCCCCGAGCTCCCTGGGACCCCCCAGCCCCCACGACCCCCAAGTCCCCCGAGCTCCCTGTGACCCCTGAGCCCCTTGAGCTCCTGGTGACCCCCGAGCCCCCCGAGCCCCTTGAGCTCCCTGTGACCCCTGAGCCCCCCAAACCCCCATGACCCCCGAGCTCCCTGAACTCCCTGTGACCCCCCAGCCCCCCGCGACCCCCAAGCCCCCCGAGCTCCCTGGGACCCCCCAGCCCCCACGACCCCCAAGTCCCCCGAGCTCCCTGTGACCCCTGAGCCCCTTGAGCTCCTGGTGACCCGCGAGCCCCCCGAGCCCCTTGAGCTCCCTGTGACCCCTGAGCCCCCCAAACCCCCATGACCCCCGAGCTCCCTGAACTCCCTGTGACCCCCCAGCCCCCCGCGACCCCCAAGCCCCCCGAGCTCCCTGGGACCCCCCAGCCCCCACGACCCCCAAGTCCCCTGAGCTCCCCGTGACCCCTGAGCCCTCATGACCCCTGAGCTCCCCGCGACCCCCAAGACCCCCGAGCTCCCTGGGACCCCCCCAGCCCCCACGACCCCCAAGTCCCCTGAGCTCCCCGAGCCCCCCGAGCCCCCCCGCCCCCCGTGCGTCCTACCTGCATCCGGGGCCCCGGGGCGCGGCCGCAGCCCTCCCTCCCGGGGGGCAGGCTGCGCACGCGGAAGGCGCCCTGGCGGTCGAGCGAGTGCGGGCGGCCGCTGCGGAGGCGCGCGCGCTCGTGCCAGGACCTGAGCTCCTCGGAGACGGCGGCCCTGCTGAGCGCGCGGCCCGCGGGGCTGTCCCGGAGCGACGGCGAGCGCCCCGGGCGGCTGCGGGAGGCCCCCGGGCGCTGCCAGCGCAGCGGCTCCGCGTCGTAGGCCGGGCCCAGCGCGGGCGGCGGGAGGGGCCCCTCGGCCACCAGCACGTAGCGCGCGGCGGGGAAGGGCGCGGGCGGCTGCAGGCGGAGCGCGGCCCAGGCCCCGCGGGGCGGCGGGCGGCGGGGCGGGGACAGGGGCCGCAGGAAGGAGATGTCGGGGCTGCTGCTGCCCGGGGACGTGGGGTGCGAGATGCTGGAGACGTCGGAGCCGCTGTCCTCGGAGCAGGAGTGGTAGGCGGCGAGCGGCAGCGGGGGCTTGGCGGCGGGGAAGCAGGAGTCCGGCACCGTCACGGTGTAGTGGGTGGGGCGGCGGCGGGGGAAGGCGCTGCGACCTCGGCCCTCGGGACCCGCCCGGAAGGAGTCCGTCCTGGGGGGGGGGCACGGAGTCGGGGCGTCTGGGGGCGTCTGGGGGCGTCTGGGGGCGTCTGGGGCCGAGGCTCTTCCCCTGGGCCTCGGGGCGGCGCGAGGATGAACCGCCCAGGCCCCAGCAGAGGAGGCGGGGCTCCCAGGCCGGGGCTGGGGTCAGACCTCCCCAAGGCAGACACCCAGACCCTCCCGGCCTCAGGTGCCTTGCAGCAAGTCCCTCGTGCTGCATTCACACTTCTGTGGTCTGTGGCACTGTGCCCCCTTGGGGACACACATCCTGCTCACGCAGACAGGGGCAGGCCTCTAGGCGGCACCTGTAAAGCCGCGTGGTACAGACCCTCGAAGCAACCACATGGGCCGCCGTCCACAAGCCAAGGAGCAGCCTTAGAAAAAAACCAGGCCTACCCGGATCTTGGAGACCGCCAGCCTCCACCCACTCCGTGGTCCTTGTTACCGGGGCGCTACCGAACTAATACGGGGTGCTACCTGCAGGTCGGGTTGCCCCTCTGCAGGGGCAGCAACCCAGGACCCCCGGGGCCAAAGTCCAGCCCTCACTGATAATGTGCTCCAGGGGGAGCCGTGTCTGCCCAGATCTGCACAAAGCACTGTTTGTAAAACAGCCCTGGAAGTATGTAAAATATAAAATTCCTTGTTGACCTGAGAGCAGTGGTTCCAAGCTGCACCCTGTCCATCCCGTGCTGCCTGACAAGCAAATTTAAACTGACAGAAGAGCCCAGCAAGAGTGCCCGGGGCTTTCCTGTCATATCTCTGGCCCGGAGACCATCACCAAGAATATGGGTAAAACGAAAAAAAAAAATAAAAAATAAAATAAGAATATTGGTAAAATGCCTGGAAAGTCAACATACAACCGATTCTCATTATTTGCAGATTCTGTGTTTGCAAAATCAGCCACATCAACACTCACAACGCTGGTGGTCATTTGTGGACACACGCAGAATGGTGAAAACTTTGAGATGCCCAATAGCACGATCTCAGCTGAGAGCGGACACAGCGATGCTCTGACCTCTTGTTTGGCTTTCATACTATAAATGAGTGTCCTCTCCACAATCTACTTAGCGTTTTGTATTTTTGTGCTTCTCCTTAGTGACTTTACTGTTTAAAATGACCCTTTAAAAATAAATAAAATAAAATAAAATAAGCCCTTAGCATAGTGCGGAAGTGTGTCTGGAAGTCCAGGAAGGCTACGATGTGCCCTCTGTAGAATACACGTATTAGATGAGCCTTATTCAGGCATGTGTTGTGGTGCTATTGGAGTTCAATGCTAATGAGTCAATAATATATATTAAATAAGGAGTCTTTAATAGAAACATAAAACAAAGTTATGTATTGATCAGTCGACAAAAATGTGTGACCAGAAGCTCTCAGGAGCCTAACCCTACATTCTCCCTAGGAGCAGTGGTTCAGTATTGCGGATTCAGTGTTTGCAGTGACTTTATGGACATAAAACTACTGCGGATGATGAGAACCGACTGCACGTCAGGTGAGAAAGTGAACATCTGCTGCCAGTGACCGGTAAATAAAACAATCTTAAACAATTACAAAAGTGTTGACATTCTCTCGCCCTAAGAGAGTATGGCTAGGGGGAGAAAGCATGAATTGCTCTGTGCAGAAAACAGCTTGCTTCGCGAATGACTTGCCTCTGGTTTTGCTGATTGTGTGGCACGGCCTCTATTGAGAGGTGCCCCAAGAAGGGACCCTTGGGAGAAGCCACAACACGAGCCACACATCACCCATGGTCCCACCTATACCCTAGAAGCCACCACCCTGCACATATAAGCTCTCCATAGTGGGTCCCTCCTTGCCCTGCATCTCTTACCTCAGAGACTGCGACTGGCCCCTCCTCCCCTGCATCTCGGGGGTGGCTGGGGCACTGGTGCGGCCCTGCCGCTGGCCAGGAACACTGCGGATGGGAACCACGTGGTAGGAGGCAGGCTCCAGCAGCCACAGGCTGGAGGTACTGGGCCCATCCTGGGGTGTGGTGGCTGGGCTGCTGCAAAAGGATTAGAGACGGGTCGGCGGCAAGAACGCCTCCACTGAGGGGGGCCAAGTTGCAAGCTGTGCAGAGGAAGGGGGCACAGTGGAAGGGGACCCCAAAACCCACTCCTCCCACCATCACAGTTAGGGGGAGGGGCCGTCTCCCATGCCTTACCCTCCTCGCACCCCTGCCCCACCTACTCCCGGCCCTCCTTCCATCCCGCCTGCTCTCCTTCCTCCCCGCCCGGACCTGGACTCGCTATTGGGTTCGGAAGACTTTCTGGGCTTCTCATAGGGGTGGTCCAGGCTGGTCTCCTTCCAGGGGCTGTTCTGGATGGGAGCCCGCTCCAGGCCCCCAGCCTCAGATCCTGCTGGCTGCAACCCCTCGAGGCTCTGGGGTGGGAGAGGCCGGGAAGGTGGAGCTGGGGACTCTGGGGGCGGTTTTGGCACTTGGGATTCCTCTGCAGGGTAAGAAGAACTCGGTGAAGGCAGTGGCTGGAAAATTGGCCCAACAAGAACCTCCGTGGCCCTGCCTTGCTCTTCCTGCCATGGCTGCTTGTCCGGCTGCTCCAGGCTCAGAGGCTCAAAAACGTTTTCTGCTCCTTTGAGACTTCCTCCCTCAACGGCTCTGTTTTACACCTGCCTCCTTCAAGAAGCCTCCCCAGATGGACTCTCCTTCACTCCCATTATTCCACCCTCTAATCTTTGCTCCTCCTACCACGTCTGCAGCTACTTTCTGCTTACCAGTTTTTCTTGTTCATGCTGTGCCCATGTGTGCTATTATTCCCTTACTGACCTGGGCCCTCCCCTAGGCAGGACTGCACTACCCTCTTGGTCCACCTTGACCCTGAGCATCCTTAAGGTTTATAAACAGGGTGTTTAATCTGTGTGCTACTCTCCATCCAAAAAGGGCAACGATTGCAGCCAGATGGCTCTAAGGGTCAGGTGCCTATTGAGATAATGTCCCAGGGTGAAGGCAGGGACCACCCCCCGACCCCATAGGCTATCCTAGAATTCACCTTTTCCTCCCCCGCCAAAATGATTGAACTTACAGAATGGGTGAGGGTCAGCACATTCCCACCCTCAAATGAACACTCGCAGGGGCACAGAGAAATGAGTATCAAGTAGGAGTGGAAACCCTGAGCCCGCCCGGCACCCCTGCCTTCCCTAGTTCACGGACTCTCCATTCCCCCTTTGAAGTCCTCACTAGTGAACTCTGCCAAAGCCCCCCCGCCCCCACCGTCTTCCAACAGGAGCCCAGCCCTGACAATAGTCCCCAAACGACCCCTCTCACCTTCCTCCAGGAGTAGCCCATCGGAGAGGGAGCTGTCATCTGAGGCACTGAGCTCTGGGAAAGTCAAAGGGGAGAGAAGGAGGTGAGGAAATCAACCCACAGATCTGGGCTAACAGGATTGACCCCGCCCCCTTCCTGATAGCATCCCTTATCAGGAAATACCAGCTATGTACTAAATACTATATTGGATGTGAATTTATTACTTGGAAGTAGAAAAAAAAAAGTTAGGAGCAAGAAGACAGGAAGCCTGATTTTAATCCTGGCTCTGCCACTAGCTGGGCAACCTTGAGTAAATGATTTCAATGGTCCGGGCCTCAGTTTCTCCATCTGTCAAAAAAGCCACAGCTTCCTCTGGCAGGGCTTCCTGGCAGTGGAAGGGAAAGGCAAAGTGTCGTTTTGGAAGGTCCTTGGGATGAAAATGATTTTCCTAACTTTTCTAGGCTTCTGAGATTATGAATACAACTCAATTCAAGGACCCCAAATCTGAGAAGTCCTGCATTACCAGTACCAAAAGTGGTGCAAAGTGGGAATTGGAGCTGTAGGGCTGTGGGACCAGTTCACATTGGGCTGGCTAGATAAGGAAGGTTCTTCAGGTGGTGATAGGACAAGTGACCCGAGGGCAATGGGAGTATGACGTTTATGCGCCGTACAGCAGCAGTGCTGACCCAAGAAATCCGAGGGAGCCCCTATTTGCCGTTGCCCTTGAACAAACTGAAACCTTCAGACCTTGAGAATACTCGTAATGTGACCTGGACAGAATTCACTATTTTTGACGACGACGGTTGATCACAATGATGAGGGACATTAACAACAGCTAAAATTTCTATCGTGCCAATACTTTTCTAAGTACTTTACATATATTAATTCATGTGATCGTCCTAACCATCCCGTAAGTAAATGCTATTATCATCACGTAATAGCTAAGAAAAGCGAGGTCTGGAGGAATTGAGTAACGTGACTCCGGTCAATCCACCAAAAGGTGATTGAGTCAGAATTCAAACCCAGACGGTCTGACCAGAGTCTGGCTCATCACCACTACCATTTATCGGCTCTCCAGTCAGCTAACATCGGATGCATCATTATCCAGAAAGTTCTAAGAAAGTAAATAATTCCAAATCCTTTACAACAGGGAGTGGCAAACTACGGGCCCTTGGGTCAAATCCAGTTAGCCAACTTTTTATAAATAAAGTTTTATTGAGACACAGCCACAGATTTGTTTACATACGGTCTGGCTGCTTTTGAGCCGCAATGGCCGAGTTGAGTGGTTCTGACAGGGACTTATAGCCCGCGGAGCCCATAAAATATTTACTCTCTGAGCCTCTACAGAAGCTTGTCAACCTTTGCTCCACAACTTACATGAAATAAAAACTCTACCCAGAGTAGTTCTTAGACCCGGTAGGGCATACTGCCCACGGAGCGGGGCCACCCCCAAGCAGCCAGCCTCCCATGCTAGCCTCTGCTTTGGGGTTCAAATGAGGAGACACCCTTTTATTGAATTCTGGTTCTCTGCCTCTGATCTTTTCCAAAACCCTGGAGAATAAAGAAAAGAGTTTATTTCCCACAGATGTCAAGTGGAAGACATGGTGGGACTGTTCCTGTCGTGGCCCAGTGATACAGCTGGGGTTAGAGTCCTGGGTTTTGGTTTGACGGTCTGGTCTGGGAAGAAAGACATCGTCTCCCTTCATCCCTAAGCTTCATAAAAAACAAGCAGATCCTTGGCCAGATTCTTTGGCCAAAAAAAGTGCAATGTGGTGAGGGTCATCTGGAGACCCCTGCCTTCGAGGAGGTAAGGCACGGGTGGAGCCAAACTAGCCGTTCCGACAGCTGCTCCCTGTCTCAGCCTCACTGCCCCAACCCCGGGCCTGGGTCAGCCTCGCCCTGCCCTCGGTCCAGCGGTGGCAGCAGGCCCGCCCAGTGGGGAGGGACTACAGAGATCATCCTCACAAACAGAGCATTCTCGAAGGCCGCAGTATCCAACAGGTCACCACTAGCTGCGTGGGGTTATGCTAATTAAAGGGAAATAAAATTAAGTCACACCAGGCACATTTCAAATGCTCAGTGGCCTCTAGCGCCCACCGCATTGGACAGCACAGATCCAGAACATTTCCCTCATTACAGAACTTCTAGTAGAGGGGCGCCTGGGTGGCTCAGTGGTTGAGCGTCTGCCTTCGGCTCAGGTCATGACCCCGGGGTCCCGGGATCGAGTCCCACGTCAGGGCAGGTGTTGTCAGTCAACAAAGGCATCCTGAGCACCTACGACAGTCAGGTGTGTGTTGCGGGGACTTTCTCCTTAAGTTCACTGTGGTAAATTAGTTTATTAGCACCTGGCCGCTCCTGCCACCTGCAGGGTACTAATTACTCCCACCTTGCATAGTTAGTAATTACTCTAAGTCGAATAAGCCTTGTGTGGAGACCAAGGGGGCAGGGTGGCTTTTCCTCTTCTCTTTCTTCTCTTCTCTTTTCTTTCTTTCTTTTTATTCTTTCTTTCTTGTTTGCTTTTTTTCTTTTAAATCCAGAACACCTTTCAGCTACTAATTATTGATCCCTTCCTCCTTCCTCCTTCCAGGGGAAGCTCGCTGGGCAGGGGTGCCACAGAGCTGGAACCACCTGCTAGGGCCGCCTCCTGCTGGGCTCCCGGGAGGGACATCAGAGCCCCGGCCCTCGGCCCTCGGCCCACGGCAAGGCAGGGTGTGGAGGGCGCAGCGCAGGGTCCTTCGCTCTGGTCTGGAGGGCGAGAGGCCGCGCTACGCCCCGTTTCTTCTCTACAGCTCTGTGTTCACCTGAGCCGAGCGCCCCAGAAGGTCTCAGAACCTCCTGCCTCCCCGGGAGGGGAGGAGGGAGGGCGGCGGCTCACCTCGGCCCAGGGCCCGCGCGGCGGGGGCCGCCCCGGCCGAGCGCCTCCGCTCCCGCAGGCAGCGCTGCAGCGCCCTCAGCTTCTCCTCCTCCCGCTGCACCTCGTGCTTCCGCTGCCGCCGCGCCTGCCTGCTCAGGTGCTCCTCGCCGCACAGCCGCCGCGCCGCCGCCGCGATCTGCCGCTGCACCGCCAGCTCGCGCTCCAGGCCGCCCAGCGGGTCCTGCGGGGCAGGGGGCAGGGGGCAGGGGCCCGGAGCACCGCGCGCGCCCCCGCCCCACCCCGCCCTCGGGGCCCGGGGGTGCCCGTCCTGGGGGGGGGGGGCGCCCGACCTCGGGCCCGGAGCGGCCGGGCCTCAGGAGCCGCCCCGCAGGGCCGCGCCGCGCCTCACCTCTCCCCGCCGCGCCTCACCTCTCCCCGCCTCGCCTCTCCCCGCCGCCTCGCCTCTCCCCGCCTCGCCTCGCCTCTCCCCGCCTCGCCTCTCCCCGCCTCGCCTCTCCCCGCCGCGCCTCTCCCCGCCTCGCCTCTCCCCGCCGCCTCCCCTCCCCGCCGCCTCCCCTCCCCGCCGCGCCTCACCTCTCCCCGCCTCGCCTCTCCCCCCGCCTCGCCTCTCCCCGCTCGCGCTCTCCCCGCCTCGCCTCTCCCCGCCTGCGCCTCACCCTCTCCCCGCCGCGCCTCTCCCCGCCGCGCCTCACCCCCGCCTCTCCCCGCCTCGCCTCTCCCCGCCGCGCCTCTCCCCGCCTCGCCTCACCTCTCCCCGCCGCGCCTCACCTCTCCCCGCCTCGCCTCCCTCTCCCCGCCGCGCCTCACCTCTCCCCGCCTCCGCCTCTCCCCGCCCGCCTCACCTCTCCCCCGCCTCGCCTCGCCTCCCTCCCCGCCTCGCCTCTCCCCGCCGCGCCTCTCCCCCCGCCTCGCCTCTCCCCGCCTCGCCTCACCTCTCCCCGCCGCGCCTCGCCTCTCCCCGCCTCGCCTCTCCCCGCCTCGCCTCTCCCCGCCCGCCCTCCCCGCCTCGCCTCCCCCGCCTCGCCTCACCTCTCCCCGCCGCGCCTCGCCTCTCCCCGCCTCGCCTCTCCCCGCCTCGCCTCTCCCCGCCTCCCCTCTCCCCGCCTCACCTCCCCTCTCCCCGCCTCTCCCCGCCGCGCCTCTCCCTGCCTCGCCTCTCCCCGCCTCCCCTCCCCTCTCCCGGCCTCCCCTCTCCCGACCTCCCCTCTCCCCGCCTCACCTCTCCGCGCAGGGCCCGCTCGTCCAGCCTGTAGGCCGCCCCGACCCTGCGCCGCACCTTGGGCGCCTTCTCCCCGGGCCTGAGGGGATACTCCGCGGGCAGCAGCCCCGTCAGCTCCTGCCGGGAGGCCGCGTCAGCCCGCCGGCTCGCCGCCCGCACCCCTGCCCGCCCCCCGCCCCCCGCCGACAGCCGGCTCCAGGCCCCCCCAGGAAGCGGGCTCCCCCCAGCCGCAGCGGCCCTCCCGCCCTCCCGAGCCCTCACCGCCTCCCTGAGGCACAGCCGCCTCAGCTCCTCCAGCCGCGCCTCCAGCCGCGCCTCCAGGGCCCTCTGCTGCTCGCGGCCCGCGGGCGCCAGCTCCTTCAGCGGGGACACCGGGCTGTCGGGGCCTGGGGGCGGCAGGGGACCGGCTCGGGGGCGCACCGGCTCGGGGGAGCACCGGCTCGGGGGAGCACCGGCTCGGGGGAGCACCGGCTCCGGGCGCGACGCCCCCACATGCCCCCTTGCGGTCCCGGGCGCCGCGGCGCCTGCACACACGCCGGGGCACAGCCTCGCGCCGCCCGCAGGGGCCAGGGGAGGGCAGCCCCGCCGCCAGCACCACCCCGGCCCTCCTCCCCCTCCTCCTCCTTCTTCCCCCCTCCTCCCTTCCTCTTCCTCCCTTCCCTCCTCCTCCTCTCCCTCCTCCCTTCCCTCCTCCTCCCCTGCTCCTCTCTCTCCTCCCCTCCTCCTCTCCCTCCTCCCCTCCTCCTCATCCCCCCTCCTCCCCCTCCTCTACCTCTCCTCCTCTCCTCCTCCTCCCCCTCTCCCTCCTCCCCTCCTCCTCCTTGTCCCCCTCCTCATCTTCCACCTCCCCCTCCTCCCCTCCTCCCCCTCTTCCACCTCCCCTTCCTCCTCCCCTCCTCTTCTTCCTCCCCTTCCTCCTCCTCATCTCCCTCCCCCCCTCCTCTACCTCTCTCTCCTCCTCTCCCTCCTCCACCTCTCTCCCCTCCTCTCCTGCCTCCCCCTCCTCCCTTCCTCTTCTGTCTCCCCCTTCTCCTTCCCTCCCCCTCCCCCCCTCCTCCCATCATCCGTGTCCTCCTCGTCCCCCTCCTCCACCACCTCTCTGCCACTCTCTCTTTCTCTCTCACTCACATTCGTGCTGCTTCTTTCCTCTCTTCTGTCAGGACTAGGCCCACAGACTCAGGCCACAACCCCAGAGACAGGCCCTTTCTAGTAGCCAGATAAGATTTTTCTACTTCTTAGTAATCACTAGGGCCAGAAGTGCCCTGTTCCAGAAGACCTGTTCCAGATAGGATCAGACCTCCAGGCCGGGCCATCTAGGAAAAACTGCAGCCCCTCCAGGGTCTAGCCCCCAGCGGAGGCCTCCCCCACCCGCCCCACCTGCCCCCTACTCAGCTTCCAGCCACTCGGCCTCCCAGCCCTGGGGCCCACCGGCGGGATTCCCCAAACCACTCACCAGACTGCAGGATGATGCCACTGTCGGTGTCGCTGACCTCATCCTTACTCTCCATGGTGGATTTCTGGGAGGCGGGGGCACAGAGGAGGGAGGGGTGACCCCGTTCCCAACCTGAGCCAGGATGTGGCGGTGGCCTGCAGTTTCCCCAGCTTTTAAGAGAACGATAAAACAGGCTGCGCGTGAAACCTCTTGGTTCCAAAGAGAGCTTAGGAAGATGAGATGCTTGAGGGCAGGGGGAGAGGAAGTGAGGGCCGTTTCTGGGACAGGTGTGGGGGGTTCTCAGTGTTGGAGGTGCTGCAGAGAAGCCTCCGTGGGCCTCACCAGCAAACCTGTTCTGGGGGGGCTCTCTGCGCCCACCCTAGCCCCCCGCTGCCTCCTTCCGTGGCCACAGGACCACTAAGCCTGGGGAGATGGGTAAGGAAAAGAGCAAGAAAGAGAATGAAAAGGAATGGGATGAGAAAAATGGGTGGGAGGGCAAAGCAAGGAGGAAAGAGAGCAGAAAGGGAAGATGTCTTTTTAGGGCACAGCCATCCCCATGGGGCTGATTGTCCTCAGCCTGGGGACCCAGGAGGCAGAGGCCTGTCCCACTGCCCCCGTGGGTGACAGCACCTCAAGAAGGGGGTGGGCACTGGGTCCTGCTGCTCTGTCCTCTGGACCAGGGTATTCGTCCAAAGGCAGGTACCAGAGAGCTGTCCCAAAGCCCTGAAATAATTCCCAAGCCACTGTGTCTGGAGACCCCTCAAGGAGGAGTCGGCTGAGACCCCCTAGACCCCACAGCCAGGGGAGACCCAGCATGTGTGTGTGTGTGTGTGTGTCAGGGTCACAGGAGGAGTGGGGGGGTTTGTGACTAGAGCGGACGCTGCCCGAGGACAGAAGGAGCCCACCCATCCCCTGCCTCCCGGGGCCACTTGGGTGGCACAGGGATAATCTCAGTGTGTTCTGGCCCGGTCCGGCACCAGACGCCCAAACAACACCTGCTGTTCGCCCCCTCGCATCTCACCGAGCTCACACCCCTGGTCACACCCCTGGTCGGGGCCCAGCTGGCCAGGGCCTGGCAGCTGTTGGCTGGAGCAGAGGTGGGGAGGGGCGGGTGGAGCCCCGGCGGGCGATCTGGAAGGAGAGCCCAGTCACCTCCTCACTGAGTCAGCCCATTGAGCAACAGTCCAAAAGTCCTGCTGAGTTTCTGTCTGGAGTTTATCCTGCCTCCCCAGGCGCAGGGCCACAGGGTGGAGGAGTGGGCTCCACACACACACACACACACCCGCCACCAGCCAAGGGCAGCGGGGAGCAGGCTTTGGGCAAACAGCACAAGCGAGGCAAGGAGAGGGAGGGAGGACCTCTGCCTCCCGAGACCGGAGGAGCAGGAACCATCGAGCACTTTTATAGACCCCATAAACCACACGGCCCGTCAGAGTACCCGTCAGAGTACCGTGAGCAACAATAAAAACAGCCCGGAAGACAGTATGTACCTGCCCTTTGGAATTTCAATCTTCCAGGGAAGTCCAGAGAATGGATGGTAGGATTAAAAAAAAAAAAAAAAAGTTTATGCGGGGCCTTTGCAAACATGCCAAAGAGGGAGACGGCCCGTGTTCTGGAAGGCCAGGACGGCCAGGACTGGGGCTTGGTGCGAGAGCCACCTGTGCGGGGCCGGGGGCAGGCCGGGGGCAGCCTGTGGCCTCCCCAGCGGCGGCAGCGCCCCCAGCGCCCCCAGAGCCGGGAGCCGGGAGGTAAAGTGCAAGTGAAGCCATTAATTAGTCACACTTGCTAATTAATTATTAACCACTAAGGAGTTGCCTGGGGAAGCTGTGCGATCTCGCCCCGTTTCCCTCCTTGGCTGCTGCTGTGGAGTGGCCCCGACGGAGGGGTGGGGGTGAGGGGCCCGGCACCCCCCTCCCCTCCGGGCCTCACTGCTGGGGTCCGGGCGCCCCAGTCTGACGCTGGGCTGACTCGGGCTCCGAGCAGAGCGAAGAGCACAACCCCGAGACTGGGAGGCTCCGTGCAGCCCCCTGGTTCCTCCTGGTTCCTCGTGGCGCAGCCAGGAGACCGCGCTCCCGCCCCGAGGCCGCCCCTCGCGGGGACCCCGCTCAGCTCCCCTCCAGCCGCCGCCCAGGAGTCTGTCGGAAGGAGGCAGCTGGGGCACCGGGGGCGACCCCTAACCCAACACGGTCCGCGGAGAAGGCAGAGGAGGAAAGGAGAGGCAAAGAGGGAGGAGGGAAAGACCAGCGCTGTGGGCCCCCAGACCGAGCCACCGAGGACCCCGCCACAGCCGTGTCCCCAAAGCCAGGCCCTGGGCCTCTCCCTTTCTCCAGTGGAGACTGAGGGGACCACAGCAAAGGCTCCGCATCTGGGCCCAGCAGCACCCCCATCGTCTTGTGCTGAGACACAAGGAGGAAGGGGGGGTGGTGATGAAGGGGGGTGGCGGCCACTGGCTCCTGCAGGGGCTCCCCGCCGCCCCCTGGGGCCAGCCTGCCCCTCCGCCCCAAAGACCTGCTCCACCCTGCCCTGCCCTCACCTGCTCCTGGGGTTGAGTCCAGGATCCCAGGGACAGCCCCTGTTCCCAGGTCAGGGGGCTGCGGGGTGTCGCATGTCGCCGCAGGGAGTCCCAGGCCACAGGCCGGCCTCCCCTGCTCTCTCTGTGACCTGGCTCAGGCTCCACTTGCTGTTGCCGCCGCCGCGATGGCCGCCCCTCCCTCTGGGCCCGCCTGCTGGCCCGCCTGCCTTTCCTCCTAGGCCGCCTGCCGGCCCAGGGGAACCAGGTTACTTGTTAGGACTTGAGTCAGAGGGGAGGAGCAGGTGAGCAAGTCCTTCCCTGAACTAATCTGGCTGTGGCTGTTGTTGCCAGCAGGCAGCTCCTGGGCCTCTGCACTTCCGGGGGCAGGGGAGTGGGGGTGAGTAGGGAGAAAGGGGCTCCCCATGGAGGAGCCCTAGAAGAAGGCAACAGGGGTCACGTCTTCATGGCCTCAAGGGACCCTAATGCAACATGGTGAGCTGTTAGGTACACAGTTGCCCCCCTGACCCTCACTTTCCCTCTCCAGAAATCAAGGCACACAAGGCCCCCAGAAGTAGGGGGAGGGTCCACTGTCCATGGGGATACCAGCAAGAAGTTGACAAAGCGACAGTAGGTCCTTGCTCATTCCATCCACTGAAATGGAGACCAAGGCCTGAGTTTTGTCTTTCTCGAATCAGGTTTAAAAAAACTTCAGGCAAAGGGCACCTGGGTGGCTCAGTGGGTTATGCGTCTGCCTTGGGCTCGGGTCATGATCCCAGGGTCCTGGGATGGAGCCCCCCATTGCACTGGGCTCTCTGCTCAGCGGGGAGTCGGCTTCTCCCTCTGCCTCTGCCCCGCTCTTTCTCTCTCTTTCAGATGTGCTCTCTAATAAATAAAATCTTAAAAAAAAAAGAAGAACTACCGCTTATTTAAAAGAAAACAAAACAAAAACATCAGGCAAGGCAATAACTATGGAACTCCACACGGGAAGGCTCTAGGGTCCTAAAGAAAGCAAGAGTGTTCTCTCCATCCTAGACATTTCCCCCCCGGATCATCACAGCCTATTTATTACTTACATCCATCCCTTCAGTAGGGTGTGTGGAGCACTAAGCTGAACCCCAGTCCTGGCCCCTGCTCCACAGGAGAGCCACTGTGACCCCAGTATCTCAGCCCATGCCCCAATCATGAGGAACCAGAGACCAAAATGGAACTTGTTCTCTCCAGATAATAAGCCTCCAGGTCTCCTACCCCGTTGATCCTCAAGCCAACCAAACACTGTTCGGAAGTCAGCCCATTTCATTGGGAGAAGCAAGGGCTAAGGCCACCTGTTGCTACGCCATGGACAACACGGGGACGTACAGGAGATTAAGGACTACACCCCTCACAGCCTCATCTCACCACCTCCCTTTCTCCGATACTCCCACGGCACCCCTTAACCCTGGGGTCTCAGCACCTCAACTTGGCTCTGGATTGCTACCCGCCCCAGCTGCATACCTCCACCCCCACCTCCAAACCTCGTCCCCTTCCCCATTCCCCAGGGCTGGGATGATGGAAGAAGTCTGCTCCCCCCAGCATCTCCTGTGGAGCAGAGCTGTGTCACTGGCACAATTCTTGTGTGCCTTCTCCCCAGCATCCCCCACGGGCCCTACACACAGCCCCCCATGCCCCCGCACCTTCACATCCCTGTACACACCCTCTTTCCAAACAACGCTAGCCCCAGAGTCCTCCAGACTGACCACCTCCTTCTCTCCCCTGGCTGAGGCTGAGGGGCCCTGGCGGGGGCAGACCCTTCCTGTGATGTGGAGCCAGCTCAGGGTCTCCCAAGAGCTGCAGCCCTTCCCTCCCCCTAGTCCTCTCCATCCCCCAGCAGGCTTGTCACATTCTTTCAATGACAAACAGAGAGATTGACTGGGTGTAACTGGTTCTCTTCCTCCACCTTGCCCATCCCCCAGCTCCAGGTGGGGGGTGTGTGTAGTGGAAGTTTCTAGAACCAGCTGGCAGCATGTATTTTAATGCACAAAATGAAATTAAGAGAATCACTAAGAGAACAACTATATTGATGTACAGTTCTGAAAACAGAAAAGCATAGTAATATATGTGCTTCTTTATTAACGGGATTCAGCAGTGGGTAACTTCATAGAAGTGATGAATGTGAGCGATACTTCAAGGCAGTTACGACTGCAAAGTGATGTAAAACTATCTATTAATGGCAAAGTCACAGGTACGGCCTATGCTTTCTTGCCTTCGTGATTGAAAGCGTTGCTAAATTTTTGTGAAAGCCTATTGTGAAATAAATTCTTTTTTTCCCATCTACGTTTACAAATTCTATCCACAGATGCTTCGGTGCCCAGGACCCAGTTAAGAACCCCACCCTCAGGTAACCCCTCATCTCTGAGCTCAGAGGAGAGAAACAATAATCAGCTCACTGCATTGATCCTCTGGGGTTCTCAAAAGCCCCTCATTCCCTCGAATTCGCAAGCAGCATTTCCAGACCAGCAGAACCTAAGGTTCGGGATGGCACTAGCAAACCAACTCTCCCAGGAACCCCAGATCCAATGGGTTGGAGCTCACTGTCTGCCACGCCGGTCGACTCAAAATACCAAAAGGGAGGTGGGCACCCCAGAACTGGCTGGGAACTTTGGGGCTCAGTGCCTCCCTCCCAGCCAGCCTGGGGGATTGGGTGCTGATCAGTGCCCTGCCCCAAATCCCAGAGCATCAGCGCCAAGACCACCACTCGGTGGTGGAGGAAGTGGGCTTTGCTTGAACAGAGTCAGAGTCCCTGGAATCTGATTGTCGAAAGGAGAAAAACTGCATTTCTTTCGGGTTTTCACTCCCCGAGGGCAAGCCCCCAAATGAGGAAACTTCCACACTCTGCAGCCATCCTCTCCTGCATTTTTTTTTTTCTTTTCAAGTCCCCTCCTTAAGTTTCTTCCGATGCAGGAGAGCCTGTAAGTTGTTCCAAGCAAGGGCCTCATGCTCCCAGCCTCGCACTGCCACCAGCACCCGGCCAAGGACCCCCGGGCTCGCCTGAGACCCCGCGTAAGGAATTGGGGAGCCGCTGGTCGCCGCGCGAGTCCCCAGCGCAGAAAGCAGCGGGGTGGCCCGACCTCGGGGCGAGGGGCCCGGAACGGTTTTCCTTCCCCACGCTGGTCTCCTCCCCCCGGGAAAGGTGCTCACTCCCGGCAGGCGCGGGTGCGCGGACGAGCAGGGCGCACGTCCCCTGGAGCCTGGAATGCGCCCTGAAACCGGACCTCCGGGCTCTCCTTAAAAAGCCCCTTTGTCCGTCCACGCGCCCCTCCCCCACCGCGCCCTCCGCATCCCCGCGGCCCCGACTTCGCTCCTTTTGTTCGGCTGCGTCCTGGCTTCCCGGAGCCGGGCCGGGGTCCGCAGGCACGCGGAGGGCCCCCGGACCCGGGGCGCGGGCTGGGAACGCGCGCTCTGGGAGGGCCCCGGGGACTCCAGCCCCGTCCAGGACCCTGTCCCCGGAGGGCCGGCTCGGCGCAGGCCGGAGACCGCGGGGTCGGGAGCTTGACCCCCCCCCCAGGTCCCCCGCGCGGCGTCCCCCGGCTCCCCCCTTACCTGTCCCAGGGAGCTCCGGCGCCGCCCGCCTGGCCCCGCGCCCCCCGGTCCTGCCCCGCAGCTGCGGCCCCCGTGGGTCCGGGCCACCCCCTCCCTCCCCGCGTCTCGCCCCGGCCTTCCCTCCCGGGAGGTATTTCATTTAACTTCGGCATTTGCAGCATCCCAAATGTTAAAGATCCCAGGACATCTGTCCCCTGGGGCGTACCAAGGCCCCGAGGAGGGAGGGGGAAGCGGCGGGAAGGGACTCAGGGCTGCGAGCCACGGGGCGGGGCGGGGCCCCACCTCGGGGCGGTCGGACGCCGGCGGGGGTCGGGGTCCCCGGGGGACCCGGTCGGAGGGGCCGGGCTGCCCCCTTCCCGCGCTCGGGGGCGCGGGCGTGGCGGGACCCCCCCGGCGCTGCGGGTTCCGCCGCCCGGGCGGGACGAGGCTGGGCTCCCCGGCCCTGGGCCGCCTTTCATCCGCGCGCTCCCGCCTGGCCGGGGGCCGATCCCTTCCCGTCCCCCATCCCCCACTCTCTCCATCCCCCATCCCCCACCTCCATCCCCCATCCCCCACCCCCTCCATCATCACTCCTTCCCCCACCCCTCCATCATCCCCCCTCCATCATCCCCCCATCATCCCCCCCATCATTCCTCCCCATCATTCCCCACCCCCAGCCCACTCCGGGTCAGCGCCTCCTACTGTCCCGCTCCCTCCTGCCCCTGCAGCCATCCTCAGTCGCACACCCGCCGCGTCCCTGCTTTCATCTGTGCTGGAATGTACCGAGCACCTACTAGTGCTGAGCATGGTGGATCGCGGTTCAAACTCTCCCCTGGATGATTCCCCCATTGAGGCGAGTAAACGAACAGGAATAGGATCAGGGAAGTAAGTAAGGGCTAGAACCCAGGGCCGAGGGAGGGAGAGAGAGGGAAGGGGAAGGTGGGCCAGGCTGAGGGTCACAAAGCCGCAGAAGGCAGTGCCGGGGAATTTGGAAGGTGTTTGGAGCAGGTGCAATCATCCGGGCAGAGTGTGTACAGGAGAAGAGGATGGCGGGAGGGGAGGAGACGGTGGAATTTGGGAACAAGGAAGCTCCTGAGGCAGCGATGACGGGACATATACAAAAGCAGCACGGTAGGTCCCAGGAGCTGCAGGGGATTTGGAGCGTAGGATGCTGAGGAGGAAAAAGAGTGGAAACAAAGAAAGACAAGGCCTAAGTGGCAGGCAGAGGCTCGTCAGGAAGCGGGGCAGCTCTGTATGGTTGTCCAGGTTGTGCACTGTCCACCCAGGACTCACTTGTGTTCCACCCACCACACTGTATGCCCGGGTCACGCCTAGATGCGGTGACTTTCTCTTATTTGTATGAAGGCACTACATGAGCTAGGTCCACTGAAGAGCTGGGCAGGCTAGCTAAGATTTAAGATTTCTTCCTTTTTTTTTTTTAAGATTTTATTTATTTATTCATGAGAGACACAGAGAGAGTGAGAGAGGCAGAGACACAGGCAGAGGGAGAAGCAGGCTCCATGCAAGGAGCCCGACAGGGACTCAATCCCCGGTCCCCAGGATCACGCCCTGGGTCGCAGGCTGCCCAGATTTAAGATTTCTATGGGGAAAATGAAGAGAGGCTACCTGTATTAGTTGAGGTTCTTCAGAGAAACAGAATCAATAGGATATACGTACATGAGACAGAGAGACAGAGGTGGGGGAGGAGGAGACTTATTCTAAGGGATTGTTTCATGCTATCGGAAATACTGATAAGTCCCAAATCTGCAGGGTGGCCTGACACGCTGGAGACCCAGAGAAGACTGCAGTTCGAGTCCAAAGGCCGCCTGCTTGCAGGATTCCTTCTTCATCGGAGGGGGTCAGTCTCTTCTTTATATGAAGAAGGCCTTCAACCGACCGACTGAGGCCCACCCACATCATGGAGGAGAATCTTTTTTACTCAGAGTCTACTGCCCCCCGAAAAAATGTTAATCTCATTTAAGAATACCTTCACAGAGGGGCACCCGTGGCGGTGGCTCAGTCAGTAGGATGTGCGACTGGATCTCAGGCTTGCAAGTTTGAGCTCCACGTTGGATGGAGAGACTACTTAAAAAAAAAAAATCTTAAAAAAAAAAAAAAAGAAAAAGAAAAATACCTTCACAGAAACATCTAGAATAATGTCTGACCAACTATCTGGGTACCACAGGCCTAGACAAGGCGACACATCAAATTATCCATCACACTACTGAAAAGTGTCAATCCAGAACCAGGCCGACTCACTTTTAGATATTTGATGAATCAGCAAATGGAGAGGGGAAGGTTCAGAAACAGAGCTGCGTAGGAGGTAGACCTGGCTCCACTTCACTATTGACTAAAGACGGCAGGGAGGAGAGGGAAGGGGCGAGGAGCTCCCAGGTTCCTAGCTCGGGGGCTCAGTGTGGGGTGTGCTCACCCGAGGACACAGGTGATGTCCAGGGGGCAGCCTCGTGGGGCGCTCGGAAGCACAGGGAAGGTTGGAGAAAGGCCGCAGCTCAGAGCGGGTGCAATCATCCGGGCAGAGTGTGTACAGGAGAAGAGGATGGCGGGAGGGGAGGAGACGGTGGAATTTGGGAGCATGTCAGGGACAGACAGAGGGAAAAGTGCCTTTGAAGGTAAGCATTATTATTATTACTTACGCAGTGGGACAACTTGTTGCAACGTTGATGTGCACGCCTTCTCCCATCCGGTCCACCCCTCCCTTTTCTCTGGGAGGAAAGCAGAAGCTTCCGGAAGGCCTTAGCACTAAGCCTCCTGAGCCAATGCCAGGGATCCTGAGGGGCATGGGCAGAGATGTGGCTTTTGAAGGCCAGGAAACGAGGTGTGACGGCCTGAGAAGGTGGAGGAAAATA